AGGTACTCTTCGGGCTTGACCAATTATTGTAAAAGGAACATTATAAAATTTCGTTCTGACATGTTATGGACAATGCCATTGCATGAGTATACGAAAGTTGGTATTATTTTCATGACTAATTATCACGAGAGAAGTTTTATGCATCCGTTTGTATGTAAGCACTTTGGACTATCGACATTGTGTATTTCGTTACTTACTTCGCTTTCGCATGCGAATAATTTAAAACTATAAAAGTTCATGAGTGAATAATATTGCAGGTGCATTATAGTAAAATGATTATAATGATATATATGAAAATAGGTACATAATGTTACAAATAATTTATGATGTACATGCAATCATAACTAGTATTGAAATGAAAGATGGACGTCATTTAATTTTTCTTATTATGTATATATAGATAATAGAATAGAAGTCTATATATAGGTAAGTGAGCAGATGATTCTTGTTTCTGTCCCCCTTTTGTTTGGTCACACCAGGCCAATATTCGTTGGATGAGCACCTCATGCTTGGCATAATAAACAAACAACTTTATTCGGAATTGGTCAAACTAGAATGAATTTACCTTTTATCCAGCTAGGCCTAAAATCAGATCCCCGGGACCAGAGACATTTGGTACGCTTGTGAGTTTGTTTGCCCTACAAAATAATAAACAAGCAACCTTTGGTACATTTAGACCTCAATTTATCCATTTCCCATGTAATTATTTTTAAGGAGAGCAAGTGGTAGGTTGCGAGTAGTATTTTGTACATTTTCGATATTTTACCGACAATATCAATTTATATTTTCAATACAATATCGATAGTGTATCAGGTATTGATGATATACAGATGATCTTATTATTTTTCTTGACGTACGACCAAATTTTAGTTTTCAAGATTTTGCAGATGATCCAATTTGTAAATTCATTCCATGAACTGTCTTCATCGAAAACAAGTGTAGATAGGCCAGCCTATCTAGACTAGATTTATTGATGATATATACAGCTAACCAGAACTTGTAGAGGATGAAATCCTTCGCACGATCACTGTCTATATTTTAACCAAACACTAGGCCAAGGGAAAACGCTTTTAAGTTAAAATAGTTTTTAAGTTGGTGTGAAAAGGCAATCCCAAACACATCATAAACGACTTCTTTACGTATCTTTCCGGAACAATCTTAGTCCATGTCATCTGATCAATTGGAGAACGTACCTTCGTCTTTCGTAGATCACACAAGATCGAAGATGAGTTTGACATTTGGCAAACTTTAAAAAGTAAAAATTATTGGAGGGAAACGCTCCAAGGGCAAAACAAAACCTTACGTGAAGGAAATTTGATGGCAGATGCTTTGACAAATAAGTATGCTCAGCCACATAGAAAACAATCATAGAAAAAAGACGATTTCAAAATTTGGAGATACAATTTATGTAAAGAAATTTGCTAAATACAGCATGAGTGAGTGAGTATATGAGTCGTTAATCATTGAGTCCTACACGTTGCAAGTATCCAATATATTTTGACTGAAATTTTAACCCCGTATATGAATGAACTTAAATGATATCGGATTGAAGTGATTTTTTGTAGAGATAATCTTTGAATGAATATTTATAAAATATACGGTTCATATTAGAAAAATACAATGCGAAATGAGCCCTACAACTTACAAGGGTGTCATTTAAATAAGCTTTATTTGACGAATTCCTCAATAACTGAAATTCTATGTGTGTGTGTGTATATTCATCCAACTAATATTGCTCGAATCCGAAAAGGAAAATCCAAAGCAGGAAAAAGAACAATTAGCAGGGTTCCCAGAATTTGAGGTCACAATTCCACGGTTTCATGAACAAGTCAACAAACAACTATTCTAATAGGTTTTAGAATTTAATAAACCAGATATCTGGCCAAGCAAGTTGTGATTAAAACACCACATTGAGTCAATTAATATATAAATTAAACCTAGTCTGTACATTGTGCCACCTTGCGTAAGCTAAAAGGTTCTGCTAAGCGTACTTCGCGCATGAAGCACATGCCATTAGGGAACAGATTATGATAATAGACATAATCTGAATTAAATTCAGTGTTTTATTAGGTGATGAGTTGTGCTAATAAGGACCCTCTATAGGTTTCCACTGCATTCCACAATTGACAAAACCTAATATATATAGTTAGACATGAAAAGGTAGGGTTGTAGTGTTGGCGTGCTATTTCACAATAGCCCTCAGGTTAGATTTCTGAAACCCTTTGATTCAGATCTATTCCTACTGATTAGGAGAATCAAATAGGCTTGATCCATAAAATATAGTGCCATCAGTTTTTTATGCTTGGATAAATAAAGAGTTACTGAAGTAGTCTTTTTATTAATTATAGAAGTGCGATAACCGAGGAGATAATCGGAAACAAAATTTCAGGTGTAGGTAGATGTTCTCAATATCACTTGAAATTACTTGAAAAGAGGAGAAATTATAGAGTGATACTGTACTACCACGTCAGCTGGTAGTAATCCTAATGTGAAAAGAAAAGAGAAAAAAAAAGGGAAAAACTTAATGTGATGCTTGATGCAATAAGTTGGTAGCAATCCTTACTCTACTGATAATTTAGTAGATATCAGATCAACAATACTCTAAAATAGCCAGATATATTGTTTCTCAAAGTGATCTAAATTATGGAAGAAAACACTGAGTTTACAAAAAAAACAAAATGACACCAACCAAGTTGCATTCCATTCAAGACTTAATTGGTCGTCGAATCTTGTGAACTACAACTAGTCGTGATCCATTCAAGGGAATGCCAGGTTGGTATGGATTTTGCTCATTTTTTTAATAGATCGAATCGAAGGACGGTAAAATTGTAATTAAAACCAATGAATGGAATAACTCAAAAAACAATTCAATGCAGCAATATTAAAATGGGAAACAAAATTAAAATAGTACCATGGTGTTAGCAAAATTCCATGGAAGGACACAAGAGAAGCCCTAGAGAATGTCTTATTGAAATTGGATTTAATTAGTATTAAAACATATGACAAATTATATTTTGCACCCTCCTAGTTTGGAGTGCGAAGTAATTTGGTCCCTATCTTTTAAAAATTAGTAAACATAACCATGAAGTTTGAAATTGTTATAGTATTGGCTCATTCGTTCATTTGGCTATCATGTTCGCCGCTCTTTTTGGATGTAACAATAGACCATTTTGTGCATATATAACAGCTGATTTTTTTTTTTTTTTTTTTTTTTTTTTTTTTTTTTATATAACTGTAATTTATTTTTCATTCTCTCGAAGGTTAGGGTTCTATTTAAAACAAATTTTTATTTGATTTCCATGTGACATATGCTAATCCAAGTGATATTGAGTTCACGTCTATGTAAGCAAAGAATGGATCTACCGAGTTCTACATAAAAAAATAACGGTTAACTTGTTGGGTATAATTATTCTAGAGATGGTTTGTCATATTTTGTATTCTTGATTTTGACTCTTTTGTTAGTGTGTAGAATGTGTGGTATTTTTTTTATAAGAAGGTTTTAACAAGACTACTGTTAACATGTGAGTTATTTTGTAATGTTCTTGGGGTGTTAATGAATTCTATTTTTGTCTCAAAAAACTTTATGGTCAGACCGATAAAGAGATCAATAATGCACAGATTCGTAACTTTATTGTTGTTTTTGTAATTTTTCACAAGATAACAAGTAAATCCAACCCCCAGCCCTCAAAGATTGAATGCGTTATCGATCCTACAAAAAACTTATTGGTAGAAGTAACACACGAACACCATTGTATTATATAAGAGAAAAAAATTCACAGAGAAACAAAGGAAGACAGTAAAATGGTGCAGAGGGTCTTGGGAAAGGGAGATGGACACATAATAAGTCCTCATCGGAGATGATTACAGAGTGGCCGTTTGTGAGGTCACATGGTTTTCCTCTGAACTAAGCTGGTGTGTCTTGTTTTCTTCTCTCTTTTTTCTATCTCTCACTTTCTCTCTCTGTTCATAGATCTTCATCAGAATCTCTGAGACATCCACCAGCTTTTCGTCATCTTTCTCTTTTTCTATGTCCAAGTGTCCCGACCATATTATTGCCAAATGAAACTAATGGTCACCTCCCCAAATCAGAAAATTATGAAAGAGAGTAAACAGTGATCTGTTGAAAAGACCAACTTGGCCCTTCCATTGGCATGCCAAAATGGTGGGTTCAACAGGGAGATGACCGTCCTAACAGTTAAAATGGTTCTGTTCATGACATTGGGATATGCTCTTGGGCCCACCCCAAGGAAATGTCTCCTCCAGAGGGTCCCACTATTGGATTATCTACTTACAATTTTAATTAATTAATAGTCGGTCGACTAGAGGTGTTTAAGGGTTAATTTGTTGAATAAAACTATTTCTCCATTTGCTACACAATGGTTATCTTTTTATGCAAGTGAGAGTAGTGTTGTTTGTAATTTTTTGATGTATGTGAATTTTACGATGCATCAACGACCATAAATTATCAATATTTGTTTAGAAAATTGACTATAATAGTGTTCTTATAAATGAATTACATCATTGTGAAAAAGATATTATCAACAATACGATCAATAAATACAGTAAAAATAACGTTACTGTCATTTGCTTAGTCGACTAGTATATTATTTCTATCTTTGGGAGAACCAAAAGAGAATCTCTCTATAATCTTTGATCTAGTGACTGGTCTACATGAAATCTCACGTGCAATACAATGTAGCTTTTTGTTTGCTAGGCTAAAGGCTCTTTTAAAAGGAACCAGGCTTTCTTATTTGGGGACGATAAAAGGGTGAGTTTGTTACTTGGTCTTTTGGGTGTAGTGCTTTGGACTTGAAGCCTAATACAATTTCTCTGATTTGGGTTTTCTTTTAGAGCAAAAAAGCTTCTCCCCCTTTAAACCCTCCCTTCCTTTCAGAGCCACACAATATCTCCTCACACACTACCTGAAAGAGCACTGAAAATTTAATATACCAATTAAAACAGAGCCGCTGTTAGAAAAAGTGATTTTGCAGGGGAAAAGCATGGCATTAGAAGCTGTGGTTTATCCAAAAGAGTATCCATTTGGCTTTGGTTGCAAAGATTTCTACTCTTTCAATGGAGGAGGAGCTTCTTGGGGATGTGACTTCATCTCACAAGAGGGTCAAAACAACCATATAGAGCAACATGTACTCAATGAAAATTGGGACTATTGCTCCTCATCTCCTTCACTTTTGCAAAATGTGAAAGAATGGGATCCCAATTCCTCACCTGAGGCCTGCACAGCTGACCAATCTGTCCCGCCAGGACACCTCTCTGCCATGGAAACAACACCACCACCACCACCAACAACAACGACAAACCGGCGCAAACGACGTCGTACCAGAAGTAGCAAGAACAAGGAGGAAATTGAGAACCAGAGGATGACTCACATTGTTGTGGAGCGCAACAGGCGCAAGCAAATGAATGAGTACCTTGCTGTCCTCAGATCATTGATGCCACAGTCTTATGCTCAAAGGGTCAGTTTCATTTTTTATTTATCACAAAAATCAAATTCATAATTGGATTTCTAACTACATGTCCTTTTGAATTGAATTTTTTTTGGACTGACCAAAATTCATGTGGTAAAAAAATGTTACAGGGTGACCAAGCATCAATTATTGGGGGTGCCATTAATTTTGTGAAGGAGCTAGAGCAGCTTTTGCAGTCCATGGACAGCAACAAAAGGAGCAAGCAACAACCTTTGGCTGAGTTCTTCACCTTCCCACAATTCTCAACTCGTGCAACTCAGAGCAACAACAACTCAGCTGGGGTCCAAGCAAACGAGCCAAACATGGCTCAGAGCAACAGCAACCAGTGGGCAGCAGCAGACATAGAAGTGACCATGGTGGATAGCCATGCCAACCTTAAGATACTCTCCGAGAAAAGGCCTAGGCAGCTGTTGAAGATGGTGGCTGGGTTTCAAAGTCTCAGGCTCAGTGTTCTTCACCTGAATGTGACCACAGTTGATGAAATGGTCCTCTACTCTGTTAGTGTCAAGGTAGGTTTTACAGTAGTTTTACAGTAAAAGTCTTTTCAAATGATTGCTTTGCCTTTTCACAATTAATTCCCACTTTCCTCAGTCTAATTATTGTTAAGCAATCCCACACTGGGCAAACTCTGTTTTTATTCTTTTCATGTGTTTGCTGCTTTTAGGAATTTGAAAAAGAAAAAGGTGAACTTAATTAGAATATAAAATTTTATTAAAGAACAATGAAAGGAGTAAATAGGGACATCTAAGACTTTTAATCAACTTTACCAACTAATATTCAGTTTATACCCTCTTACTATTATATTATTTACCACACCACATTTTTTTTAATTTGCCTTTGCATTATTTTGCTATGCCCGGCCAATCATGACATGCCATGCTAATAACTTTTTCACATAGCAGTCTATGATTGATAGGGAAAAGCAAAACAGTATTATTTCCGTTTCATACAAGGTATTTTTGCATAAAGTCGGTGTGATGTGAAAGATGCAGTTCTTGTACTACAACGAAAAATTCTCTGAAAAGTGAAAATATACTAGCAATTATTCTCTTACCAAATTCACTACAGTTTTTAGTTACAGAAAAACCAACTAAAATTTTTGTTTATTTTTGTTGTTGTGAATTGGGACAGATTGAAGAAGGGTGCTTGTTTAATACAGTGGATGAAATAGCAGCAGCTGTTAATCAAATGCTGCGCAGAATTCAAGAAGGTGGTTTTAGCTGAAAGCTGAATTCTTTTCTGTCAGTGGATCAATTTTTCTTCGCTCTCTTTCCTTTTTATTTTGTGTTTTTCTTCATCTTTTTTTACTTTTCTAAGAAGGTGTATGTTTGCGTATTGAGAAAGAACTAATCTAATTCTCTACAGAGAAGCCACAATGATTGAAATAATCCCTCTCCAACACAGCATCTTTCCTTTAACCCTAAAACCAGCAAAATAGACAGAAAATATATATTAAGTACCTTCTTTCTCTATCATTGCTTGTTTTGCGTGATATATACAGAAGTGTTAAGAAAATTACAATTATATAATCACATAAATTTTCTATAATTTAACATAAATCTGGGGGAATATTCGTTTCATTGAGAGTCCAACAGTTTGAGCTATGGAAGGACCGAAAGTGGCCAATTCGTACAATTGAGGGTAGGGCCCTCATTGTACAATCGAATATTACTCATAGTTCTTTGAATAATGCATGAATCTAATCGTAAGTTTCTCTTAGTTGAGATTAACTTGCACATGGATTAATTCCTTTTTCACGACTTGTATTTGAGTTTCATGTGTGTTTCGTGCATGTGTTGTGAGAGAGATTATATACGATGATCTCGTAACAATATGTGCTAAGAGGAAGATGAAGTCTGCAATACCAAAAAAAAAAAAAAAAAAAAAAAAAAAAAAAAAAATAATTAATCGAAGTAGAAAAACCAGTTTACTCAACTTAAAATTTTAAGGCTTTCTTAATTTTAAGGTTGTTGTTACAAGTTACAAAGGACAATACCTAGAGAATAAGGTTGGTGTCTCAATTGACACGAAGTCCCGAAATGGGATGTTTATTCCTTATTTTTGAGGATTAGGTGAGAGTAGCAAACCTTTTACAGAATCCTCATGGGTTATTGGGCCAGATGTTATCTTGTACATGTGCATGACAAACTAAGTTGGGAATGAGCTAGGATTGAATTGGAATTGCTCATGTGTCCGATTTTATTGATTAATTTTTATTTCATACGCATACTCACTTTTAACTAGATTGTAGTGTCACGCAGCAAAAACAAGTTTGCCTCGTGTAACTACAATTATGTGGTGTTAGTAAAGTCCACAATACATCAACTGCTGAAAATGCCCACAATTGAATTTTCATTCAAATAGAATGCACATGAGATTATACCTATGTTATTTGCTTTTTAAAAAAATTTATTTATTAACTACTAGAGCACTTTAGATAATGGGTTTATGGTAGGAAGTTGCCTTGTGAGCAAGAAGTTACGATAGAAAGTAAAAGCTAGTGGATTAGTCATGAAGAATTTTTTTGATAAACATGTTAAGTCCAAGTTCTGAGCAAAAACGAAGAAGTTTCATTTATCAAAAGAAAAAAGAGCGAAGAAGTTTCGTGAATGAAATTATGGCAATTCAAATTAAAGTTGTTCTGTTTTTGGCACGTTATAATGAGTGTATAAAGAGAAATGACTGGGACCAATGAAAAGATAAAAAGTTAGCTTTACAAACTGTTGCCAATGGCTGCCTCTGCGTGTAGAACTTAGCCGACAAAACAAGACAAATGTCCTTTCTTTCTTTCATTATTAAGGGTGTGATTAATCCCTGCTTGGGGTTCGGCTTGCTTCTAGCCACAAAGTGCTTCTAACGGGTTTCGACTGTCATTGAGGCACTAGGTAGCTTGCCAGCTAGAGGTGGCAATTTGCCAACCGCACCACACCTTGTAGTTTTTTTCATTATTCTTTAGTATCAAGAAACAAATTTCCTTCTTTTTATCCGGTGAATTTTTCTAACGAAATTTTTTTAATTCTGACGATCTGTTTATAGAAGTAAATAGGCTGCAGCTGGGCTTTGTGAAATTATGATGCTGCTCGGAACCTTGGATATGCAGATGTTCTGGTAGCAGAAACTATTCAAACTAATGGGCATTTGAGATTGTTTGCTTGAGGCACACTCAACAGAACATCAGAACATTATCATTTAAGAAGATTCAAACAATTACATATACTTTTATATTGAATTTAAGATTTGAAGGAGATCCTCGAGACATTGGGTTATGGCGATTTCAGACTTATATGTGGCTCCGTCTCTGATTTCGAACTCAATCATTTCTTGCATTATATGTATCGTGAAGCCAATTCATTTAGTTGCTAATCCGGTGGTAAATTTGTTACATTAATTGTCTAGTGCTACTTTGTGTCAACAACAGTATTCCATTCCATCGGTTGTACTTACTTTTTCTTTGACCTAACATAGGAGGTTTAGTATATTTCTACATCAGAAAAGAGAAAAAGATCTTGGACTGACTCTGGTCAAGGGGAGCTAACTTGCTCAAGTTGCATTCTCCCAGAAACTCGTTTCCTTGCAAAGATGGTCTTTATCCAGCGATTATTTCTCCAATCCAAACTGACCAATATTTCAAGTGTTAGGTGACTTTTAAAGCGTAATTCAGATTATTGTCTTCTAACAAACCCTATCCTTACAATACCGTATTGAACAATCGAAGGGTTAGAAAATTTGGACAAGCCAAAGGGCTAAAAGATTCCTGGGAAATCAAATCCCATGGCAATTGGTTCATCAAAAACTTTATCTGCGTAACCAAAATAAGAGTAACAATGGCATGACGACATCATTAACATGGTAAGTAAATACATATCAATAAACTTATGCAAGAGGCTCGAAGTTCAAGACTTAAGAGCATTTATCTGCATCAAAACCATGTGTTCGATACTAGCATTCTTCCAATATCGCTTGTATCGACACCAAGAAAGCCTCAATGAAACTACTTCTATCGTCTTTACTAATCATTTTATGGAGAGCATCTTCAATATTATATGGCTAAGTCAACATGCCAACATGCCTGTTATAGATTAGTGTACAATAAGTTTAGTATGTATATATATGCATGTAGCATTGTTATGCAAACATCAATTGAATGCTGCATATGCAGTAATAAAAGACTGAAATCTCTTTTCCTCACAACTCATAATTTCAAATCATGTGTCATTTTGCGTGCCACAGAAACAGAACTTAAGCACCCTCAGCTTATTGAGAGCACATGAGAAATTTCTATTTTATAGTACAATCATCTCACCTTGAACACTCAAACAAACGTCACAACCTTTACTGGGGAAGAACAGAAATCATGCTCCACTTACGTCTCAAAGACCTCTTCATCAAAACAGGGCTTAAATGTAGAGATTGACCAATTGAAGAATATCGCTTTCGAGCAACATCCGAATGCAATTTCTCAGCATTCTTCAATTTGATGACTAACATGTTTGCAGCCAAGGAAGAATCAAAAGACCAGGACCTCCTTATAAGTTCAAGAATGGAATTCCCATTAGAATTTGTTGCCTCCTTTGATGCATTTTCAAAACGAACTTGGTGTTCTTCTTCACCTTCATCCTCTGTTTCAGCTCTGCTTTCACAAACCTCATCATATCCCTGTTGATTATCCACACCCAATGCAATTTCACTCTCAGAATTTTCCACTTGGGTCTCTTCATTTGTGTCCACAGAAGCCAAATTAGGAGGCCTCAGAATATTAGCTCGGCACAGCGGGCAATTCGTGTGAGACCTCAACCAAGTATCAATACAAGAGACATGAAAAGCATGGCTGCACTTGGGCAGCAGCCTGAGAGTCTCATCTTCCTGAAACTCAGTCAAACAAACCGAACACTCGGCTCCTTCAATCAAGCCCTCATCTTTCTTGTACTTACAAACTGTGATTGAATTTATGATCGACTGTTGCAATCCAACGGTGGAGATGAGCCACACCGGATGGTCTACTTGGTTCTCTGCAAGAAACTCCTCATCTGTGCTGCCAGATTGAGAGAGAGAGGATCCATTGCTTCTGTAACTACACAAACTTGTGTAAGACTTTACCACAATAACATAGTAGCCAATAAGGAGCAAAAGACTGGCTAGCAAAGACACTAAGAGCACCACATATGGTGAGATATGGTGGTTTTGGTCATTTTGATCAATTGCAGATAATGGTGGGGGTGGTGGGATGTAGAAATCTGCATAAGGGTAGCAGCCATATGCACAATCTGGGCCACAAAATTCTGGACAGTCAGTTTGGTTTGTGGAAACTGGTGCAGCTGGGAAGAGTTTTCTGTGCTTGATCACTGCCATTAAAGAAGTGTGTGTTGAGGAAACATGAAGCAGAGAGAATTGAAAAAGAAGATGAGAGACAAAGAGGGAGTGAGGTAAGCTGTCACTTTGTTTTTTTTTCTTTTGTGTGAATTAGAAGAGAAGAAATGAAGTAAATAAGGTAAAGAATCAAAACACTTCTCTTTCAAGGTTTAGTAGGGTGTGTTTGGTATTTTTTTTTGTGCAAAGTCAGGGAAAGTCCATGCCTCCATGGCCCTGCATGGGCTTACAAGTTCTCTTGCTACAACTAGTAATTTTTTGACTGCATTTTTCTTATACGTCTTCTTCTTAGGCATATTGGGATTCAAATTCTCATTTTTGACCTACAATGCTTTGAGTAACTCTTATGAATGTACTTATAGAAAATCTAATATCTTTGAATTTGAAACGACTTAGATGCAATGAATCAATTGAAATCAATGTATTTTTAATAGCATGTTAAACCTTTAAAAAAATAATCCCTAGAACAAAAACGGAGCTAAAAAAAAACTCGACAGAAATTAATGACGCGGTGTAAAAGTCATGAAATTCATATAATTTGTAGACCATATAACATAATTTTGGTACTAATTATATTCTGAGGTCACCTTGTTGAAATTTTGTTGACCATGAGCCTAACTAACTCAGATTGTATAAGGGTAAAGTGGAAGGTATGTTTAGGTTTTGAATCCTCTTAGAAGCAAAAGGAAAAGAAGTAATAAGTCTCATCAAATGAAATGGACATAGTATCTGCTGCCTTATAATTTAGAAGGTTTACCTTCTGTTCTTGTGTTCTGACTCAGCTTGTAATTGCAGAACCTCTATGTTTACATATAATCAGCCCCCTTTGGAAAAACTAGTTTGTGAATTATTTTTCAATAGTGCAGTGGTAAAAGCATCTGCCTGTAGTCATTGGTCTCAAGTTCAAGTTACCCCAAAGACACCTCCCCCTTCCTTCCAAACTTTTTGAAGAAAAAAAACACAATGTTTGACCTGGGACTTCAGACGGGCTTGGGCTTTGGGCACAGTCAATGATTGGGCCAGTGAAAATGGCTCAAACACGGCAAGTGGGCAATAATTGTAATGAAAGGAATTCAAAACCCTACATATCATGCTAAAGTTGATTAGTTTAGGGTGGTTAGGTGGTAATTCAACATTAGAAAGGACTCCTATAGATTAAGGGGTAAAACGTAATTTACTCAATAATAATAAAAAATAACACATAGTGCAGGGTTAGGTGGTAATTCAACATTAGAAAGGTTGGCTTGCATTGCAGGTAGGGTAAAGAGCATCTGACGTGCCAAGTTTGATTAGTCCAAACAAAAATTAAAATTTTCGAATTTTTCTCAAACCACCCTATACCAAAATATGAAGAATTCAATCACTTTTTCTTCTCTTTGAAAATGATAATATGCATTTTAAAGAAGATTTTCACATTTTTCTTTCAATGCACATGAAAAATGTAAAAGGACTTTCTCTCTCTCTACCTCTATCTCTCTCTCTCTCTGGTGAATTTGATCAATTATGCCCCTATATTATTGATGGGGGACATGCCGTGTGGCACTTTTCTCTTTGTCTTTTGTCAAGTCAAGTTGTGATTGCGAAATATAAACATAAGAATGAAGTCATAATTAATAATTTTGTTTGTACAAAATTATGGCACCAGAAAAGTCAAGTTGTCAACAGAACACACATTTGACCATGGAGGGCTATTCGCACTTACTGAGAAGGAGCTTTTATCCATTTATTATGAAATTCGAACACGTAACTTCGGGTGTAGGGTTACTTCTCTTAATCACTTATTAAGCTATAAAAGCCCCTTAGCATTTGAAATGTTGTATTGTGTTATTTATGTTATGAGTTGAACTGCTCCCCACCGACGTAGGGACGGTGATGATATAGGCTTTCTCCGGAAGTGTAGGGTTCCTGAGTCAGCAAATTCAGTATGCACGTGTTTTGAGCTACCTGTCCACAGCAGAATCTCAGATTGGAACAAAATTAGGACCAATTTTTTGCATAATTAATCTTAGAGGGTAAAGCCAGCACACTTTTGATTGAATGTTTCAAATCAAGCTTTCAAAAGGGAAAAAACAAGAGAAAATGGTTTCTGTTTTTCTAGGTGTTGTCTATTTTCTCTTCAACATCGTTCATGGAACGTGTCAACTACATCAACTAAATTAAAGAACGTGGTAAATTAAATTTATACAAATTTATGCCTCCCAAGGGGTCCAGCTAGCTAAAGCTGCCCAATTTCTTCTCCTTTTTTTTTGGTTGAGGAATGAGTGCATATCTATATACCTTCATGCCTAGGTGCCCACTTGCATTATGATCAATAGGACTTTATTCATGGATCAACACCAATAATATTCTTAGAAGTTGCATGGTTCTAACTTCAAAGGTTCCATTAATACTAACTAGCAAATAGTTTGGCAGTACATATTTACTTAACCTTGGAAGAGTTCTTAAGTTTGTATTTCTCGTTCCAGTAATGTAATCACTTTGTTGTAATTATAACCAAGTCGGAAATGTTTTAAAAACCTAACCAAGTTGTTGTATACACATATTACATATATTAAGTCATGATACATACATATTTAACGACTGCAATTGATCGCTAATGACCATTAATTTAGTCTAATCTCATTTTCCTTTAATCTTGTTGCAGGAGCACCCGAATTCAACAAGTAGGCATCAATCGAGGTGGGCCCATGGTTAGTGGTAATAGTATGCTGTTTGATTTTTATACAAGTTTGTTTCTTCGATGCAACCGAAATGGACTATTATTTTATCCACACGACGGGCACCTCACGAAAATTACACAGGAAAGTTCCACCGAATGTGAAACTACAATACAGAGCGTATCAGAAAACGTGAAGCGAATGAAAAGAAGGAGAGCGACAATCATCATTGACTTTGAGTACGTATATATATATATCATTAGCTCTACTCCAAATCCACAAAATTAGCGTGTCAAACAAAACATTAGTTGAAAATCTCTAAGCCAGTTCGTCCAATCCCTGTAACCCCACAAGCCATTTTCTTCTCTCTTGACGTATTGCTTTTTACAAGCAGGTTCTAGACAACTTAATATTTACCTCTCTAACCTTGTTTTCTAAGTCTTCAGCAAAAACCCATCTCAATACAGACTTGGATTGTTAGGCCATGGCCATGTCGATTACAAGCACAACAACAGCAGTTGCTCCTTGTAGCTCTAGGCATCTGCAGGCTTCAAGTTTTGGTCCTAGTTGTCTCAGTACAAATCGCAGGGACGGCAGATGCCATTTTCTTGGAAACAGAAGCTTCTTGCAGTCGATCATGAAGGTCCAAAATGGCACCAAGATAAAGATGTAAGTAAATCCTCGTTATCTTCAGCTCCATGAATTTCAAATTAAATTTGATTTTTTGTCTCTGATGAGATGAACTTAACTAATGATATGATATATCATATATGCAGGGATGTGGTTGTCAATGGTGTTGAACCTGGAACTCCTCTGCCTTCTGATCCTTCTTCTGGGACTTCTTGGTACGTCCGATTCTTGATCTGTTGGAATATTTTTTGTATAATTAATATCCCATATATGCCTTTTAATTTACTTTGTTGTACACTGTGTATGCAGGAAATTATGGCTCGTGGGGATACTTATCTCAGTAGTTGTACCCTTTTGGAAGAACAAATGGTGGCCATTGCAAAAGTTCAGAGGTAAGGAATCAAAAGTTATTAATGTCATTATCGTCATCACAGTCGTCGTCATTTTTTTTCCTTTTGATCTCGGAAGGAGAGATTCGAAAAGTTGAGACTTTTTCTCGAATATTAGAAAGAGATACCATTAAACTAAGAACTAGTTGATGCATCATTAAATATTTATAATTTAATTGGGTTATGTACAGAGCAAGTCGAAACGACGCTGGATTCAGTAGAAGATGTGGCAGAATTGGTGGAGAAGGTGGCAGGGGAAGTGGAGAAGGTAGCCGACGACATTGCTGATCATCTTCCTCAGGGAGATCTTCAAAAGGCAGCAAGGTTTGTTGAGAATGTGGCAAGAGAAGCAGCCAAGGATGCGTCGCTAGCTGACGATCTCATTGAGAAGGTCTTTAACCTTTACCTAATTCCCTTGTTTTAATTCTTAAACTCTATGTTTGAAAGCGACCTACCATATTATAATAACATTATCTCGTTAGTAGTTAGTACTAATTAAATATTTTATTTCATAATTAACGGGCGAGGGTCGCATGTTTTAAGCTCCATGTTTAGTGGTTGTCAACATCTGGCACATTGATGAAGAAATTAAAACAGAGAAGGGAAGCAAAACAGAGGACTAGTTTTATAAACTTATGCAGCAAGGAAGAGTTTAGTTAAATTTTCTGGTTTGATCTGAACTCTCAAAAGATACATCTAAGTCTGTCGGGTTTTAAGGGAAAATAATAGATAGGACTGCTGTTGTATGATAAGTCACACACGAAACTTAATTAGAACAAAATTGCGTCCATGTGATTGATGCTGAGGTTAACTGTTTGATAATTGGTCTTAGTTAAACAAATCTTTCTGTCTTTGTATGTGTCTCTGTCTCTGTCTCGTGGTTATGTAAGAATATCGAGGAAATGAAGCTAATCTCGTCATTTCTAATGAGCTCAAGCTTTCTGCTTCCCACATGTCCCCATCACATTCACTTCATAGCTTCAGATACATATATGTATATACACCCCCAAACTAGGAACTCTTAATGGTACTAGCCAATTCGTATTTAGTACGAACGCGGTTGTAACTGTTAGATCGACAAGTTCACCCTAAGACAAATTACTCTGTCTTTGAATGTAAGTAACTCCGTCTTTGTATGCACGTTATTAAGACATAGCTTCTATTTTCGATGTGATAAGTTATTGTCAAGCAGAAGGAAGTTTTCTATAAAAAGAATTTATTGAGTAGTTTGGAGAGTGCAGATAGAATCATATACATGTGATTGATGATTGCCATTACAAAATTGCAGGTTGAGGATGTAGAAAAGGAGCTGGATTCTATCATCGGTCAAGCCAATGAGAAAATCAAAGCATCTGACGATACTGAAAAGGAGACAGCAAAAATCAAAGACGCCACTGATATCAAAAATAAGATAACAGAGATCAAAGAAACAAATAATATAAAAAAGGAGACAACTAAACCCTGAGACAGCAGCTTGTGGCTCAATGTAACAACAATTCTTGTATTTTATTCATTTTTATTATGTTATTAAATTAATCGTGTTATGAGGAATTAGGGTTTAAGAATTATTGTACCTATATGTAAAGATTATATGTTGATGAAACATAAGTTCTAGTTAGTTTTGTAAATTACATAAATTTGATTTAGTAGTACTTCTCTTAACAATAGTATATAAGACGGAGTTGAGCTTGATAGGGAACTAAGCCCAATTGGATTTATATGGGAATGAGTTTGGATTTCCTCAAATGGGTTGGGTTAACTTTGAAACTTCCCAACACCTTGAGAATTTTGCTCAATGTGTTCTTAACATTGTCACGTGGTATCCACTTATATTATATCGTAGTCTAATGTAGAATTTAACGATCACTTATATTATAATATGTAAATTAATAATCACACCAATTTTTTTTCCCATCTCACACTTGATGCCATTTATGACTCCCTCCACCTCAACTTGGCACCAGCAATGGTGCCCGATTATCAAATAAGTTTTTTTTTCCTTCGGGTATGATAAATCCCTCCTCACACACCCCAAGTCGGCATTATCGCTGCTCCCAAGTTAATCATACAAAATATGATTCCTTGGGTTTGAGTTTGAGTGGGGAAGGATGGAGAGTGAGTTGCAAAGAGGTCGGCACATTATATTCTTTTTCTTTTTCTTTTTTTAGTTTATGTATTTTTAAATATTTTGAATTAAATGAAAAAATTGAAAGATTTGAATAACAAATTTTGGGATAGGTGTGAAAGAAAATTGAAGGTGGCTTTAGAGCATCTCCAAGGGAGATGTCAAATACCAAACATCAAATTTAAATTTGATGGCTGATGTGGCAATTTAACACTTACTCAATTTTACACTCAACTCGATATGTCAAATAAATAATTATTGTAACAGTCAAATCATTTAAGATAAAGAAGAAAAAAATTAAAATAATAAAATAATAAATGAAAGTAACAACTAGCTGTCTTTAAAAACTAATAAAATATTCATTTGACATCTTGCTTTTGGGATGTCAAAAATAACATCTCAACCTCCAGCCTTCATTCTACATCAACTTTAACACATCGGTTGGAGTGATGTGAGATGTTATTTCTAGCTGTTAAATATCTATGTGACACTTTTGACACATTAGTTGGAGATACTCTTAGAGCGTCTCCAAGGGAGATGTCAAATATCAAACATCAAATTTAAATTTAATGGCTAATGTGGCAATTTTACATCTTACACGGCTTTACACTCCACCCGCTATGTCAAATTAAATTATTATTTTATTACATTTTAGTGTTGATTCATTTTTAATTAAAAAGAAAAGAAAAAATAATAATAAAATATTCATTTGACATCTTGCTTTTGGGATGTCAAAAATAACATCTCAACCTCCAGCCTTTATTCCACATCAACTTTGACATATCGGTTGGAGTAATGTGAAATGTTATTTTTAGCTAATATTTATGTGGCACATTTGACACATCGGTTGAAAATTCTCTTAGAAATATAGATGGTGTTGCATTCGCTAGTTCTTTTTTTCGGGTGATTAATATGTTCCGTTTCGCTTGCCACGTGGATCCATCATCAGGGGCGCCACTTATTTGGTACCCTTCCTGTATAAACAAGCTCTAACGGATAGCGCCCTTAAATTTGAAATCTTGCAGACTAAAATTCGAAAAGCAAAAAGAAAGCAGAAAGAAGCGAAAGACAGCCCAGATAAACCCCTTCTCTCCATTTCAGACCAAAATCCCAAATCCCCACGCCTCACGAATTCGAATCGCTATCAGCATTTCTAGGGTTTCAATTCGAGCCCAGATTGATCACCAGTACCCGCGCTCTGATCCTTCAATCAAACCCTAAAACAAATCTGAATTTTTTTGCATTTCCTAGGGGTTTCGCCAGTCTAGGATTTTCTAAGATCGAGCAACCAAAGAATAATGGATCTTCCGCAAAAAATCGACGATTATATCAAGGAATCGATCGATCATTCCTTGGGCCTCCCTGTGTCCACGCACACGCTCGAATTGAAGCTTCGATGCTCGGAAGAATCGAAGCAGCGGCTTCAGAACCAGTACTCTGTTCTACTCGCAAAAATGAAGGAGAAAGATCAAGTCCTCGAGCGCGCTAGGGTTCGTGTATTTACATATTCATATAATTGTATCGATAATTGTTTTCTTTTTGCGTTTTTGTTTTTGATGGTTTCGTTATTAGGCTGAAGCGAGTATGAATGCACAAGCTTTGAGGAAGTTCGTTGAGGAGAATCAGAGATTGGCGTCAGAGTGCGCGCATCTAGTGACCCAGTGCAACAAATGGGAGAGAGAGTGCTCGCTCTATGATCACGACCGGGAGGCTTTGATGGATTTTGGGAACGAGGCTGACCAGCGTGCCAAGGAGGCTGAGATTCGTGTTCAAGAGTTGGAGGACGAAGTCAAAGAGTTAAGGGATGAATTGGGGTTCTACAAGCACAAATTAGAGATGCATTCGGTAATTTCTTCAACCGTTTTAGTTTTTGTTATGTTATTTGCTTTTGATGAATTGAAAGAAAATGAATTTGGGCCTTTTCTGGTTAATATTCATTCTTTTTTAGACTTGTACTATGATGGGTTTGTGAGACTTGCAAGTGCATTTGCGTATTTGTGGGGAATGGGATTTATGGTGTGAATACCCTTTTACCTTAGTTTTCCTTTTCTGGTTAATATTTTTCCAGCTTTATGCATTCAAAAAGTTCAATTATGGCTGATGCCATCATTTAGTTTTGTATCCAAGGAGACAAGGGGTGAAAATGTTACTTTTGCAGCAATTAAATGAATCTTAATCACACATACATGTGCACGCATTCCACCTACAGACGGTGTGAATAGAACTTGTGATTTTTGGTTTTATCTTGGTCAGTTCTTTTGAAGCATGTGGAAGAACAATAAGTACAGTACATTTATGTAATTATGTTTTGAATGCTGATAAACATTTTGATGTTGAAGGTTGATTCATCTTCTGATGACACAACCATTGGAGAGAAACTACTGGAGTCTGTTTTAGCAACATTGATCAGTAAAGATGAAGCTGTGTCTGCACCTGCATTTCTGGAGGTCAATGGTGGAAATGAGTCATGTCAAATGTTGCTAAAAATGTGGAACCGGTGAGTTTATATACTTGGATGGTGAAGTTGTAAGTTAGAATTAGAATGTGATTTTTAGCAGACTCCAGATTGAGAGTAACTGCCTGTATCTGAATGTTAATTTCTGATTTCTAAATTGAGCCATGACTTAAATATTTCCTCGTCTATGTGGTAGCTTGAGGCCATCGACTCAAAAAGTTCTGTCACTGGTGGCCAAGGTAAAGACACTTGAGAAGGACAAGGAACATCTAACGATGAATCTTTGTACCGCTGAAGAAGAGGTGAGAAAACTTTTTTTTTCCCCCCTGTTCTGTCCTTTATCTCTGTCTTCAAGATGCCACAGATATTGGGTAAATGATAACCCGCATTTTTATGTACATAGGTCAAATTGCTTTTTGAAGAGAACAAAGTGCTAGATGTGGAGAACAAAAGATTACTGAGGCAGTACCACAAGGAAAGAAACCAGTCTGGTTCAGGCGGAAAACATAACGACAGTGCATCAGCAAAGGTGAGACGAAGGGAAAAAAATTAGCTTCGATTTGTATGTTAAGTATATACTGTATATATATACAATTCTCTGAGAAGCTCATCATGATTGTTGGATCTAACTTATATTATGGTTTCTTCTTTGCAGTCGAATAAGCGAAAGTCAAGCTCAAAGATGAGCAGCCCGATTGCGAAGATTGATTTCAGTGACCAAGAACCAGCAAGACAGCCCCTTTCACCCTTGCGTTGTAACTCCCCTAACTCTAGAAACCGTAAGAAGTAAAAGAAATTTTTCCAACAGTCTGATTTGTACCTTTTGTGTATTGAGGATAGCATATGACTTGAGATTACAGAATTTGGAATGACTAACAAGTTTTTTTTTGGGTAAGAATCATTTGCTAAGTCTTTTTAGTGAATGGATGGGCATTGTCCTGTTCTTTTCTTTTCACTTCTTATATTGTTTGTGGTTTTTCTTTTTTTAAATTCTTAGAAAGACGACAATGCATAGGAGGCAGTCTTTTGAAGGAACATATTTCACATAAATATTTTTAAGATCATCTGAAATTTGATTTTGAAAGGCATGTATGATATTTGATCACGAAAGCAGCAGCGACATGTGCATGATGATAAACAGACAAATAATTTGATTGGTTGGGCAAACAAGTCAAATCTGCAAAGTATTTAGGATTTCAAGCTTTGATAGGATTTTAAGCTCTTCTGGTGAAATCTCTCTCGGAGCTCTGTTCTCCAATCTCAGATCCCTATTTCACATCGCCCGTGACTATTGTTCCGGCAAAAAAACATATTCCAACCCAACTATCAATCCCTTCACCCAACATTTGAAATCTCAATTTAAATCCAAATGCCAACAGCCAAACGTGCCCTGAAGGTTCTCTCCGAATGTTTTGCCCAACCGTTTATAATGTTACTGTTGGTGATGTACTGTCAAAAAAGCAATAACGACTAACATCATCCTGGATTGTGGTCCTATGAAAGAATCATCAATAAATTGTCATAAACGAGCTAGAAAGTAGGTTTACGTGGCCATGACCATGGAAGCCACATCTACATCTTTCACTTCTCAATGGAAATATGATGTCTTTTTAAGTTTTTGAGGTGATGACACTCGAAAGCATTTTACAGACCACTTATACACAGCACCGGAACTTCATGGAATAAAAAGTTTCAAGGATAAGCCTGAACTTAAAAAAGGGAAAGCTATTTCTCCAGAACTTTTTACTGCAATTGAAATTGTTCTCTCAGAAAATTATGCATCATCAAAATGGTGCTTGGCTGAACTTTTGCAGATTGTTGAATGCATGGAAGCAAGAGAAACTGTTCTATTAATTTTCTATATGATGTCGATAAAAGATAAGAAGAGGAGATTTACGAGGAGTAAACAGGAGATAAGACGAGAGAGGTTGCCGCCCCACCATTCATAGCCCACACGGCAAGTGCAGAGGAACATACTGAAAGTGCAACAGCCAAGGTGAGACGAAGGGAAAAGCTTAGCTTTGATTTGTATGATATATGTGTTCATCTAGCTCTCAAGTATACATATAGATAAACTACAATTCTGTGAGATGCTCATCATGATTAGTAGGAAGATATTCAAGTCCGTCAGAGAGGTCCACTTTATAATGAGGAGTCTTGACTCTTTTCATCATTGAGAAGGATTTAGCATGCACATCCAGCGCTCTTCGCTCATACATTGATCGGAAAACTATACTTTCTATTGCTTCGGTTCCCTATTATAAACATGCATGAATAAACAACAGTAAGATCATAACATACCAAAAGGATAATATAGTAACTTACATAATATCTGCAAATCAACTAAAATTCTTGTATAAACACTTACGTATTTTTACTCAAAGACATAGTTGACATCTTCATAACGCCACAACCTGCTCCGCCTGCCTGGATCATTTGGTGATTCTCGGCGGACAATTTCTCGACCCATTTCTTGGGGTAAATCATGCATCCATATTTTGTCCCTTGAAATAGTTAAGAGAGATTTCTCCCCAAGGATCTCAATTTCAATACATGTATAAAATCCACAACGGTCTAACACTTCTATTAGTTTATCTTTAAACATCCCGTTAAAGAAACAAGCAATGTCTAGGAAAATTTTCTTCTATCTGTCACAGCCACGAGTCACAGCTCATCAAACAATTTCAATTGCTGATCTTCAGTTTGCAGTCAAGTTTCAAAACCAATGAGGGAGGTTATAAATTGTAGTGACTGAGGGAGCTTAAATTGATTAAATGCCTCAGGAGAAAGTACTCAGGACAGAGGAGGAACTTACTGAACTAATAGTGAAGTGCTGCTCTGGTAAAAAAAAGATTTTATAAAAGCTTAAACACTAAACCAACGGGAATGGCCCACGTGGTGGTTTTCATGACAAAAGGCAAGGAATATGGCTAAAGGCATAAAACAGAGTATTCATGTTTTTCACACTTATCTTCTTTTATCTTCTCTTTTTATCACTTGTCTTCCATCTTCTGCATCTTTTTTCTTCAAAATGCTCATAACTTACTATTCCTCCTTCCCTTAGATGACATAAAAATAAAGTAATAATAATAATTAAAGTACCCAATAATAAGGAAGATGAACAGTAAAACCTGTCATTGATATAAATGGATGAAAATTACAAAATAATATGAAGAAAACCAATACAAAGAAATGTACAAAATAACTCAACTGTTTAAATTCTACATCTAAACCACCACAAAAACTATAAAGAAACTAAAACTACGGAGAGATTATAAAACTAACTACAGTGGAAAGTTAGACACAGTCTGTTCAGAGTAAGTAAAAAAGGCCCCAAGAATATGTATGCTCAAGTAGAATATGTGCAACCTGATTAATATATGAACGGCTTTGACTTTGACATGTGGATCTTCTTGGAACAGCTAGGTATGGAAACTTGTGGTTGGGCTGCAGACCGTGGCTCATCATCCCGGGCTTGGATTGAAATTTGGTTGATAAATAAACAAAGGATACATAACCTTTACTGTTGATCCCATGAGGATATCTAGTGCTGTTTTGATCTTTTTGGATCAGGTTCTTCATCGATACTAGTTGTGTCTCTTTCACCCTGACTTTGAGTTTGACTAGGTCCTGCCCCAACATCAAAGTATTCACAGCCTCTCTTGGCAATCCCATCTGCTTTTTCAAAACCGCTCTCAGGGAATTCCAAGACCTCTTCACATTTGTCAACTCTGCTCTGCCTCGGATATGTTTGCTTCAGAAGCACTTCCACATCTTCCTCGTATACCAAACAAACTGCACACTTCTCCACCTCCACTCTTCGTTGAAGGGATGGAAATGAGAATTCAAGCCGAGTGTGGATATTCTGCCATTCACTAACAAAATTTTTATGACGTGAAAGATAGCATAACCAAAGGTGGCCTGATTTTGCTGCTGCTTGAATGGATCCCAACCAACAGCTCAAAGCTACCTTCTCTTCCAATCGTTTTCCGTTGACACTCAGTTCGCAAAGAATAAAATCAGGACGTGGCTGTCCAAAGACGGCACACAACGCAAATCCCATCCACTTATCAGTAAACCAACCTGGACGCAGCTCTACAGTTATTGAAGATCCCAAACTTTTATGGTTGAACCACTCAGGAATTTCATTTCCTGGAACAACAAAATCACATTGAGACCCAGTAAATTTGAAAGCGCTGCTAAGAAGTTTAACAATGTCTGCACTGGATGTTCCCAGTGAATTACAATTGTAAGCTTCAACAGAAGACATACTAGACGGCAGGTCTGGCAATGCTTGAAGCTTGGGGCAATTCCCCACGGCAAGAGATTCAAGTTGAGAAAGTTGGGCGATGCTGCTGGGTAGGCTAGCAAATGGATTTCCACTTAGGTATAAAAATTTTAATGAGGACATGTGACCGAGATCACTGGGAATATCTCCTTCCAAAAGATTGCAGTCACTTAGATCTAGTTCTGTTAAAGAACGGAAACCAGATAAAGAAGGCAACCACAAAGCTGTGGCATTTGGACTTACTTTCAGCAATGGCCGCGGCCGGAAAGGGAAGAGCATAATATTCCATGCCTTAGATGATGGACCTTTACAACCATTGAAAGATAATACTTTAAGGTCTTTGAGAAGACCAATGGAGGAAGGTGGTTCTCTTACAGCAGTTCCACTCACATCGAGCTCTTCCAAACCCTCAACATGGCCCAAGTCTTCTGGCAATTTCTCAAGCTTTGAGCAACCAGAAACATTAAGAACTTTGAGAGATTTTAAGCCCCGTACACTGCTTGGAAGACGGATGAGGTTTTTGCAATCTTTCAAGTTCATCAAAGTAAGTCTTTTAAGCACCACAACAGATGAATCAATCTCATATAACCGTATACAACCTTTAAGAATCAGACGCTCAAGAACTGGAATACCTCTGAAGTCCGGGGTCTTGACAAGACTCAAAGAGTAACTGAGATCAATCATTTTCAAACTTTTTATAGGCTGTTAAGCAAAAGCATAGAAAAATTAGCTTCTATGAATCAACAATGTCTACAGGGAATAAACGTTCAAGAAGTGAGAAGATACCTTTATATGATTAAGGCAACTATGATGCATATTAAGTTCTATCAAATCCTCTGGATTGAAAGATGATGGCAAATATTTTAATGGAAATTTCGGCCATTCAAGAATCCGTAAACTATCGGGAAGATATTCAAGCCCATTAGAGAGGTCCACATTATTTAGCTTGAGGTATCTCAATTTGTTCATCATTGAAAAGGATCTAGCATTGGCGGTCACCAATTCTAGCTCAAATGGGTGCACCATTATGCCTTCTATTGTATTTTTTCCCTAATAAGGAAGCATGAAAAAAACAATAATTAAACTCATAACATAAGCAAACCATTAATTAGTAGAAAATCATGTTATTTGATATACTAACAAAGAAAAACTAAAGTTAATCCTGTACTAGAATCTCTTACTGTATTTTCACTCAGCACTTGATCGATGTCTTTTCTACGCCACAACCTGCTTCGCCTGCCTAGATCATCAGGAGACTCTCGGCGGATAATTTCTCGACCCATTTCTTGGATTAAATCATGCATCCACAGAATGCCATCTGAATTAGTTAAGAGAGACTTCTCAACAAGCACATATATTCCAATATCTGCATAAAAGCCGCAAGCGTCCAATGTTTCTCTTACTCGATCTTTGCCCTTCCAGTTAAAAAAACATGCAATGTCTAGAAAAATTTTCTTCTCATCATAATCTAGACCATCATAACTGATTTTAAGTGTCTCCAAAATATCCAAATTACAAACTTCTCTTAGCTTATCCAACGCACTTTTCCATGCACTTAGATCTCTTCCATGCAAAAAAGACCCCAAGACTTTAACTGCTAATGGAAGTCCTCTAACATAATCCACAACACAGTTACACAAATCAACATAACTTTGTTCAGGGTAATCTCTCTTAAAGGCTTTCCAACTTAAAAGCTGAAGAGCTTCATGGTCACTTAGTCCCTGGACCTCATATGTTCTATCCACTCCATGTGTGATTAACAAATGCTCATCTCTAGTTGTAATGAGAACTCGACTTCCGAAACCAAACCACTCTCGGTTTCCAGCTAGATATTCTAATTGGTCCAAATGGTTCACATCATCAAGAACTAGGAGAACCTTTCTGTGACATAGAAACCTCTTTATCAATTTCACTCCTTCACCAATGTCCCATATGTATTCCTTTTCTATCCCTATCTTAGAAAGAAGCTGCTTTTGTAAATGAGCCAGGCCACTCTGTACAAAATTATTTCTAACATTTGCAAGAAAGATACTGAATTCAAATTCATGAGAGATTCTCTCAAAAAGAACTCTGGCAATTGTGGTCTTGCCAATCCCACCCATCCCCCATATTCCAAAAAAGCAAACATCTTCCACCCTTCCATCTAAAAACAAATTGATTTCCTTTAACCTTGAATCCATTCCAACCAGATCCTTCTCATCGCTTAAGAGTGTAGGGCGCAAGTTTTTCCATACTAGTTCAACAATATTTTTTATGAGCTCTGATTCGTACCTTTTCAAAGAAAATATTATATATGTTAATCATGTGGTTCGCTTGTATATATTAATTAAATGGACAAAGAAGCAAAATGTAGATACGTTTTTACTAGTTTTATCATGGGACCTGAATCAAACCAAAGCTGAATAATTACAAAATAATATGTGTGCATTGTAGTATTAGCCCAAAGCTGAATAGTTACACCAGAATACCTGTGCATTCTATTTTCTTTTTTCTTTTTCAATGGCATTTATAGCTGCATATTATATCAAGCACATTCTGTTATCTTGCCAATATGTCCCTTGAAAAAAAGTTCCAACTATTGTTAAGCGATGCAATTTTGCAACTATTCATACTGATTACACTAAACCTTGCATATATTGTTCGATCTATGTCATTCCTAAAACATTGAAGTCACAATAGATGTATATATAATCATCATATATAAAAAATGGTCTTGTAAAGCAAAAAGAAAACAGTGATTCATACCAGTCCTTCGAATCCCATCCAGACAAATTTGCCACTTTTGTTAAAGCTTCTCTCCACCTTTGCACCTTCTGTAAATCATTCCTAAAATTTTCTTCATGTTTAGTGAAGGCTTCTGTAAAATTTCCAGTCTGCTTTCGTACATCAGATGGATTGACTTCATAGAAAATTGGCAGCACTGTTTCTCTTGCTTCCATGCATTCAAGAATCTTTAACAGTTCATCCAAACACCATGTTGACGCTGCATAATGTTTTGAAAGCACAATGAGTGCAAACCTCGAATCCTGAATTGCAGTAAAAATTTCTGGAGAAATAGCTTTCTCTTTTTGAAGTTCAGGGTCATCCTTGAAAGTTAGTATTCCATGATGTTCCAATGCAGTGTACAAGTGGTCTGTAAAACTCTTCCAGGTGTCCTCGCCTTTAAAACTCAGAAAGACGTCATATTTCCATTTAGGAGTTGAAGAAGGGAAAGATGTAGAGGTTCTTTCCATTCTCATCCCGGCCGACAGGAGGCTACTTTGTAGATTTTATGGACAATTTATTGGACCATAAGTTAACTGCAAAAGCTTTCATGATTGTTTGAAGTCTTGGCAACGGTTGAAAATGCACAGAAAAAATGGATGAAATTTCCTTGTGAACAGACTATTGGTTTTCATTGTAGAAAGAATTGCACATACAATTGTACTATATATGTAAGAAACAAAGAAACAAAAACAAAAATAGTTGGTCTTGACCTGGTTTCCTGGAAATTATTTGACGTTGGTCAAGCTTCAAGTCCTATCCTTCATTCACCAAGAAGGGAGCTTTAAAAGGGGAAAACAAGAAAGACAATGGAGGGTGTGAGGAAATACAGAGTGATGTACAAGATTGTGGGATGTCAATTGTAATGGCTCAGGAGGAAGCATGAACTGAACTAATTTTGTGTGTGAGTTCTGCTTAAAGGACCTAAAGACAGACAGAGGTAGATGAAGGGTTCCAGCGGGTCAAGTTCCAAGCATCTCCTTTCAGAAGCTAACAATTATTATAAATTTCTTTCTTTTTTATCCTTTTTTCGGGTCAAGTGACATTAAATTCACGTTAATTTGTCTCTGGAAGACTGGGTACCTTCTGACCCAAAAAAAAAGTCTGGGAAAAAAAATAATCTATATATATAAAGCAAAGGTAAAGAATAATGAAACATTCAAAATATCAAAAAATATCATTGGTTAATGTAAACATTAAGAATTGAAATTATTAATTAAGAGTGGTGATTTTCTCACTCTAATTTTATTCACTAACACTCCATTTTATAACAAAAAAAGGAGTGTAAGTTGATAAAATTGGAATGTGATATAATTCACACTTTTCATATTAAAAAAATTAAAATTAAAAGAAAAATAAGATAATGGATCATATTTTTATGAAACACAACTACCCATTATCTTTTTTAATTCTAAAATAAATTTAATTTTTTTATAAAAAGAACCTCTCACAAGCGTAGATGTGCGTGCAGAGAGGCTAGTAACAATAAGGAGCAAAAAAAGACAAAAATACTAATATCTTAGTCACTTGAACTATGTAATGGACTTTAAGATCAACAAAGTTGATTATAGCAGATATACTTCTCATTCTGCACATAAGTTTGAATTCCCTCCTAAAAGAGTAAATTGCTTGTATAAATTGCTAATATTTTAGGTTTTATATCTGATTTTTTTTATTAGATGACAGAGAGAGTCACCCACTGTTTGTCTCATGGCCATTCAAGCCACCAAGAAAGACTCACGTCGCCACTTGCAGCTCTTCGTCTGCTAACGAATGGTCAAGAACAAAATTGCACAATGCCCCTATAGTTATCCGGATTTTTCAGTTTCGTGCTTGCACTTCTTTTAGCATCTGTGGAGTTTTTTTTATAGGTCTTAGTCACAGAGCCAAAACACCTCAAATAACTTGTTTTATTTATAGGTCTTAGTCACAGAGCCAAAACAACCACACACAAAAAATGTACAGTGAGTTGATGACTAATTTGATTTTTAATCCTTGAATCAAACAATTCCTGAAATTTCAAGATCAAACCCTATGAAATTTGTATACCCTATCACTAGCATGAAAATCAAAATTGACATCAGATTTAGATTTACAAAGAGCGTTCTTCAAAATCCCCAGGCTCATTTTCTTCTCTTTTATGAAGGAACACATTTTTGAAATCCCAAACTCGGCTTTTTGGGCAACGTTTAAAAAAATTGCTCATTCTGAATGTGTTGGTCCGCTCTTTGAGGGTTGTGGATGTTTGTACATCCAATGACCGATATTGAGAAGCTAATCTCACTCATCCTTTGTTCTATTAAAAAAAATTGCTCATTCTGAAGTCATTTTGAGCATGACATTTTCTTTTAAAAGACATACCAAACCAAACTCTGAAATTTGGCCATAAACTTTAGCACCAGTATTCAAGTGGAGCTTACCTGTTTTTAAAGGTCACTATTTTTGCTAATATTATTGTTTTGCAGACCCAACTGGAACAACTCTGACGAATTTTATTATTTCACAATTTAGGTGAACCAAAGGAGAGCACTGACACAACTGACTAGCACGAGAGCATTGGATTGTTTTGCTGCCTTCAAGGTTGCACTTTTTGCACTTGATCATGGCATTCAAAATTGATTGTCTCAACCAGTTGGATGGTGCAGCATGCATTCAGGGAAGGGCCCACATAAAAAACAGAACAAAAGGTATATTTCATGCCCAGATTTAGATGTACGTGGGATGCACAATATATCAATGCTTGCTTGCTTAACATCTTGTGAAAACTCTAACCTGTCAGACCAGTAAAGAAATATCAAGAAAGAGTCCACTCTCCACCTTGTCCTTCCTTTCAGCCTTGAGGAGGTTTCAAACCTGATCACCCCATAAGGATAGCTAGTGTTGCTTTGATCTTTTCGGATGACATTCTTCTTCATTAATACAACCATTTTCACTACATCGTGCACCATCATCACAGGGTTCAAGGCCTCGCTTGGTGGCAATGCCACCTGATTTTGATTCTAATTCTGATAGTGATACAGATGGTGATGCTTTCTGACAATCGCTATTGGGGAATTCCAAAACCTCTTTACAAATGCTAACCCTGCTCTGCCTGGAATATGTTTGCTTGATAAGAGCTTCCACGTCTTCCTCATATGCTATACGGATCCCAGACTTCTTCACTTCCACTATTGATTCGTTGACCAGAAATAAAAATTCAAGCCTGGTGTGCAACTCAGTGAAAAAGAAGTAATGACAAGGAACATGGTATAACCAAAGGTGGTCTGGCCCAGATTGATCGGATCCCAATGAGCAACCAGCAACTGGCCACCAACAAAATGGTCCTCCGTTTACACTCAGTTGGCAATAAATAGGATAACGAGGACTAGACAGACTCCGGTTTCCATGGATGGCAAAAACAACACACAATGCAAATCCCATCCACTTATAATCAGTAGACCAACCTGGATGCAGCTCTACACTTACTGATGATGACCCCACACTTTTATGATTGAACCAGTCTGGAATTTCATTTCCAGGAACAATGAATTCACAACTACATCCAGTAAGTTGTGCACTTTTAAGATTGTACCACTCTGGAATTTCATTTCCAGGATGAAGATAATTACATTCAGATTCAATATATTCCGCACCCATACAGAATAGCTTCTTCACCTGTTTGAGACAGTTAGCAAAGAGTCTAATGATGTCCGGACCAGATGCTACTAATGAATTACAATTATAAGCTTCAAAATAGTATATACTAGATTGAAGCTCTGGCAATGTTTCAAGTCTCTGGCAATGCCCCACGTCAAGAAATTCAAGTCGAGAAAGTTGACAGATGCTCTTGGGGAGGCTAACAAATGCATTTCTACTTACATCTAAATGTGTTAATGAGGACAGGCAGCCAAGATCATTGGGAATTGCTCGTTCCGAGAGATTGCAGTCCTTTAGGTTCAGTTGTGTCAAAGAATGCAAACCAGATAAACAAGGCAACCACGAACTAGTTGTAGGATTTGAACTTATTCTCAGCAACGACCGGAAAGGTAAAAGCAGAACATTCCATGGATTTGATGATGGTCCTTTAAATCCACGGAGAGATAATACTTTAAGGTTTTTCAAAAGCCGAATTGAGGCAGGTGGTTCTCGTATAGCAGTTCCACTCACATCAAGCTCTTCCAAACTCTCAACATGACCCAAGTCTTCAGGCAATTTCTCAAGCTTTGAGCAACCAAAAACATTAAAAACTCTGAGAGATTTTAAGCCACATACTCTGCTTGGAAGAAGCACAAGGTTTTTGCAATCTTTCAAGTTCATCAAAGTAAGTCTTTCAAGCACCACAACAGATGGGTCAACCTCATGCAATCGTATACAACCTTGAAGAATCAGACGCTCAAGAGACGGAATACCTCTAAAGTCCGGGGTCTTCACCAGATTTAAAGAATGGCTGAGATCAATCATTTTCAAATAGTAAGAAGGCTGCCATGAAGTAAAAACATAACAAAATTAGCTTCCATAATTTAAAGATTTCTAGGGGTACTAAAGATAAGTGATATTTTACCGTCATTCCCTTCCAAAGATGTTCAATGCAGCTATTACGCATGTTGAGTTCATGTAGATTCTTTGGATTGAAAGATGGTGGCAAAGATTTTAGAGGAAATTGGAGCCAGTCAAGAATCCGTAAACTATTGGGAAGATATTCAAGCTTGTTTAAGAGGTCCACATTATTGATAACAAGGAATCTTAGTCTTTTCATCATTGAGAAGGAATTAGCATTTGCACACACCACCCTTGGCTCAACTTGGTGCAGAACAATACCTTCTATTGCTTCTGTTCCCTAATAAATATGAATGAATAAAGAATAGTGAAACACACATCATAAGCAAAGTGTTAGTGAGCACAACATTATGTGATAAATTAGCAAATAGCAATCAACTTCCTTATTTTAGTAAAATGCCTTACTGTATTTTTGCTCAATACATGATTGACATCTTCACTACGCCACAACCTACTGCGCTTGCCTGGCTCATCAAGAGATTCTCGACGGACAATTTCCCGGCCCATGTCTTGAAGCAAATCATGCATCAATAGAGTGCCAGATGGATTAATAGTTAAGAGGGATTTCTCAACAAGGACATGTATTGCAATATCTGAACATAAACCGCAAGCATCCAGTGTTTCTCTTACTCGATCTTTGCCCTTCCCATTAAAGAAACATGCAATGTCTAGAAAAATTTTCTTCTCATCATCATCTAGACCATCATAACTTAGTTTAAGTGTCTCCATAATTTCCGAATTACAAACTTCTCTTAGTTTATCCACCGCACTCTTCCATGCACTTGTATCTTTTCCATAGAAAAAAGAGCCCAAGACTTTAAGAGCTAATGGAACACCTTTGGCATAATTCACAACACAACTTGACAAAACAAGATGGTTTTCTTCGGGGTAAGCTTTTCTAAAGGCTTTCCTACAAAAAATTTGAAGAGCTTCATCATTACCTAATCCTTCCACCTTAGATCTTCTCTCCACACCATGTGCAATTAACAAGTGCTCATTTCTAGTTGTAATGAGAACTCTACTCCCAGAACCAAACCACTCATGCTTTCCAGCCAAATATTCTAACTGGTCCAAATGGTTCACATCATCAAGAATTAGAAGAACCTTTTTGTGACGTAGAAACCTCCTTATCAATGTGGCTCCTTCACGAGCATGCCATATGTCATCCATTTTCATCCCAACCATAGAAAGAAGTTGCTTTTGTAGGTGAGGTACACCACTTTTTTCATAAACATTTCTAACATTGGCAAGAAACATTTGTATTCAAATTCATGAGAGATTCTATCATAAACAACCCTGGCAATAGTTGTCTTACCAATACCCCCCATCCCCCATATCCCAATAAAGTAAACATCATCCACCCTTGCATCTAAAAACGAAGTGATTGGTTTCAATCTTGAATCAATTCCAACTAAGTCGTCAACATAACTTAACAAGGTAGGACACAGTTTTTTCCCTACCACTTCAACAATATCTTTGATGAGCTTTGATTCAGACCTATGGCATAGAATAGATAATATAATTACGTACTTCACATGGGACCTAAATCAAAATGCATATAATTGACAAAGAAACAAAATCTAGACTTTTTTTATTACTAGTCTTTATCGTGGGACCTGAATTAAGCCAAAGCTGAATTATGTAACAATGCATGTACTCTGTGTTTTCCTTTCCATTCTTCTAATGACATTTATAGCTGCAGATGAGTCATACTTCCTATGTCCCTTGAAAACAGTAACTTATACCATAAAAAATAAGAATAACACAACTATAGCAATATAATTGGATGTATTTCCCTTCCTAAAAACATTGAAGTCTCACTCATTGTACATACAAATCATCATATAAGAAGACGGCCACTGAAAGCAGAAAGAAAATAAGCAATGCATACCTGCCTTTTGAATCCCATCCAGAGAAATTTGTCACTTTCCTTAAAGCATCTCTCCACATTTGCACCTTCTCTGTGTCATCTCTCAGCTTTTCTTCATGTTTACTGAAGGCTTCTGCAAAACTTCTTGTTTGCTTTCGTACATCAGAGCGATCGACATCATAAAAAATTGGTAGCACTGCTTCTCTTGCTTCCATGCATTCAAGAATCTTTAAAAGTTCATCCAAACACCAAGTTGATGATGCATAATTTTTTGACAGCACAATGAGTGCAAACCTCGATTCTTGAATTGCAGTAAAAAGTTCTGGAGAAATAGCTTTCCCTTTTTGAAGTTCAGGGTCATCCTTGAAAGTTAGTACTCCGTGACGTTCCAATGCAGTGTATAAGTGGTCTGTAAAACTCTTTCGAGTGTCTTCACCTCTAAAACTCAGAAAGACGTCATATTTCCATTGAGGAGTTGAAGAAGAGAAAGATGTAGAGGTTCTTTCCATGATCATCGCCACAGGAACCTACTTAGTAGCTCGTTTATGACAATTTTGTGGGGATCGAGACAAAAGACAATAAGAGAATCCCAAAAGCTCTCTGCGTTATAACTTATAACTTATATGAAGTATCGGCACTGGAACGGTAAGCAAACCACTATTTCTTTTGTTTTGCTTTCCTACAGCATAGAAAACAGAAAGATGAATGATTTTCTAGTGAACCAACTCCATGAATTGTTTCTAAATAGAGTTGTATTATTAATTGTACATTGAAGTGAAAAACATCACTTCATCTTACGGACATCCTTCTAACTTGGAAAGAATATATATACTTTATGAACACTTAGTAGTAGCTGAAAGTTGCAAATATTATTCCCAGATTTGTGATATTTTTGTATTTTGTGAAACAGGAGGTTTGTAAATATAGAGTGCTAAGGAGCTTTTGAAGAGAAGTTACTGATCATGTTAGGCATTAATTAGTGCCTCTTTAACAATACATCATCAACAATAACATTAATGAGGAAAAGAAGAAAAAAATTACAAAGGCCGTTTTGGTAAAGAAAAATAAATATATAGCAAAACATGTATGGAAAAATTTAAGAACAAAAACAAAACCCAGACAAATAAATAAATGAATAAAAGAGCTAGGCTTTGGAGCTTAACCTGGGTTCTTGGCAATTTGAAGTGGGGCAAGTTTCAATTGGCAGCCTTCGGTCTTGAGGTAAGTTTCAATCCAAGAAGAGAGCTTGAACACAAGAGAAATAACAAAAACAATTGAGGGTATGAGGAAATGTGTGTGAATAAGATTTTGGGATTTAATTGTAGTGACTGATGAGGAGCTTAACCGCTAATTACATGCCTGAACTCTAATTTTGTGTGACTGCTTAAAAGAAATGGGTGTATAAAATTGTAGGATTCTATGGGACTTGGATTGGATGGGAGACAAATAAGAGAGGCCGAAAGGCAAAGCATTTTTGTTTTTGGTCAAAGGTAGAAGAAGAAGCGAAGTTCCAGGCTTTGGCAAATGTCATTAACTCAACCCGCATGCTAGCGCGAGGAAGGAAGGGAGGCCAGTCATAAAAAAATGAAATTCACAAAATAGAATACAACTATCTGAGTTATCAATGAATTTCATTTTTTACTAGCTACCGGTTGGTATATCCCTTTTTTTTCTTCTCAAAATATACTTGTAAGTGTTCAATTTTCTGATAATACGTTTTTAAAAAAAATAGAAGTGATTGACTAAATTATAAGGAGAGGGGTGCACTGCATATATGAGTTTAGTCAAGTTGGTTAAAGCGGATGTACTTCCCACTCTGCATTCAAGTTCGAATCCCCCTTCACGTACTGTAATTTAGATTAGACAAAAGTATAATATAGCTTGTATAATAATAATAATAATAAGGGGAGGGGATTTATCAAACATACACTTCCAAGATGTTATGAGAATCAAACTTGAGAACATTCATCTGTAAATTAAGGTCTTTTTCTACTTAGCTAGACTGGTTGGCTTTGAAAATTAATGTAACTTTATATAATAAGCTTATGAACTCTATTTTTTTAGTTCAATTAAATAGACCAACAAATTCACTATAACTCATTTAGGATGCTGTAGTTGAAACTTGACTGACAAAATAAAATAAAACCCAACACATTCAGTTTGGGTTCAGCAGGTCCTACCCCACATCAAGTCTTGCTTGTCAGCAATGCCACCTCATTCTGATAAAGGCCCGCCCGCATCTGGCCCAGGGCAGGCTGAGCAACATACTATGGCCCAATAAACGGAGGGGACGCCCAATTCTTTGTTTCATTTTATTAATACTAGTCTCTCCGCATGTGCTTCAGCGCCTGCGAGAGGCTTTTTTGTTTAAAAAAAATTTATTTTATTTTAGAATTAAAAAAGATAATGGGTAGTTGCATTCTATAAAAATATGATCCATTATCTTATTTTTCTTTTAATTTTAATTTTTTTAATATGAAAATGTGTGAATTTATCATGTTATCCTCATTTACTTAATAATTTCAATTCTTAATTTTTGCATTAACCAATGGCATTTTCTGGTATTTTGTATGTTTTACTATTTTTTGCCTTTTCCTTTATATATATAGATTAGTAGAAAACTTACAATTAGCAGAAAAGTCAAAAGCATCATTTTTGGGGTTCAGTTTAGTGTACATTTTAGAGGAGTAGTAAATCCAATTTTAATTCTTTTGATTTGTGAATTTCTCCATTCCTAATAAGTAAACATACCATAACACATAAAAATAAAAATAAAATAAAAATTATTTGTTATGAAAGAAAATATATGTGGACGGCACTATACTAGCCAATCCAATACTTCACAAAATTATGTAGGCTAAAATGTAGCAATGGTCTCCGAACTAAGACCCTGTTTTACTTTTCGTCCCTCAACTCAAAAAATTATTATGATCGTTATTTAATTAGATATTGCATTGCACATCTCATTCTTTCCGTCAATTGTGTTTGTTTTTCCATCAAAATTGATTACATGTGATTCACGTGATATTTCTTTTTTTAAGGACAAACCTCCCCCCAATAATTGCCCTTTCCATTACCTCACCAACCCAGTCTCCCAAACCATGCATGACACATGCCACCCAAACCACTAATACGACCACCTACAAAGGCAGGGGAAGTGAGAATGGGTTGCTAAGAAGAGCCGTGGATAAAAATGTATTGTTAATTTAAGATAGAAAATGTATTGTTAACTTTTACCTCATAAACTCTAGTGGTTGTACCCAGAAGACGCAATTTCATCAGCTGAAGGGGTAGAGTTGCAATCCTCATAAGGACTCTATTTTGGCCCTTTTAAGCATCCTAGATCTCAAAGCTTGTCATGTCATGCCCTGCTGTTCTTGTAGCTGATCCTGAGAAAACCCTCGCATATTTCGTGTTGGTAATTGTATTGTGAGTTTGGCTAATGGGCTTGGCTATAGGCTCAGCTTTGATTAATAATAATTATATTAATTAAAGACTAGGGCCTTGGGGCTCTTGGGATCTAGAGAAATTTAATTAAGACACCCAGAGTAATTACCCGTACAAAAAATTTAGTACTTTCAGGTTTAATACACGTATTTTTAACAAAAGTTTCAATAAGACACACAAAATTAACATATTATACAAATAATTTTCACATATTACTAAATAAAAAATATTATATAGTCGCCTAACTTTTAAGTTGTAGCAAGGTCCTCTTTTAAAAAAAAACCATATAAAAAAATTAATATAGTTGGGCGGCGATACTTATTTTGACACGTGGGCACATAATCGCAAGGGGGACCTCTTTTTTACGTGTATAAATAGTATAGTCGGGCGACTATACTCGCGACTGTACTTATTTTGACACGTGGGCACCAAATCAAAAAGGGTCCTTTTTTTACGTGTATGAAGAGTATAGCCGCACGGTTGTACTCTGAATAATAGAATATTTTAAAAATTCCGCCGAGCAGCTATACCCTTTAAGTAGCTCTCTTTTTAATTACTTTGATTAGTAGTTATGTTTTACTTAGCGAATACTAAAGGAAAAAATTGAATTACTATTTATTAAGTAATATAATTTATGAAATTAATTAATAAATCTAATACTAATTATTCACTAAATAAATAATAATTAAAATATAATTACTAATTTCACTAATTAAATAAGGCAATATGTTATTTAATTACTAACAATAAAATTTTAAAAACTTAATTAACCTAAACATCCTAAGTTTATATTTATTTTATTTCAAAAAGACCTCTCCCAACGAAATTTCGTCGGCAAAGGTATTTTCGTCGGGAGAAACCTAATCCGGCAAATTTTGCCGACATAGACCTATACCGACGAAATTTCGTCCGGAGAACTGTTCTTTTATTATTTTTAAAAATTTTTAATTTTAAAAATTTATAATTAGTTTCTTTACTTTTTCTTTTGCCCAACTTCCTTAAATATCTTATCTTTTTTGAATTACTTTAATTTGTAATTATGTTTTAATTATTATTTCTTTATTGAATATTTAAATATGTTACCTATTTCCTAAATTGCTCAATAAATAGTAATTAATTATTTTGAATTATTTTGTGCAATTTTCAAACCTAATTTCATTCAAATTTAAATTGAAAGGATATGTCAAAAACGAAAAAAATTAATTGCTTATTCTTGTTTGGTGTCTTAATTAAATTTCTCCAAAGCCCAAGAGCCCCAAGGCCCAAGTCTTTGATTAATTTAATTTTTATTAATCAATGCCAAATTCAAAGCCAAGCCTATAGCCAAGCCCATTTCCCCAACTCTTCAATGTTAACCACACTTACCAAACCATCGTAGTGGTTTTGTTTTAAAGATCTTATAGGATTGTGGATTTTCGATGTTGTGTGTTCCTAAAAGGCACCTCAAAAGAATATCTTCAAAATATAACTGCGCAGCTATACTCCGAATAATAGAATATTTTACAAGTCCCGCGCGGCTATACCCTTTAAGTAGCTCTCTTTTTAATTACTTTGATTAGTAGTTATGTTTTACTTAGTGAATATTAAAGGAAAAATTGAATTACTATTTATTAAGCAATATAATTCATGAAGTTAATTAATAAATCTAATAATAATTATTCACTAAATAAATAATTAATAAAATATAATTACTAATTTCACTAATTAAATAAGGTAAATATGTTATTTAATTAGTAACAATAAAATTTTAAAAAATTAATTAACCTAAACATCCTAAGTTTATATTTCTTTTTTTCAAGCTTTCCCATTCTCAATTTTTAAGTCTTCAATCAAAAGTTCAAGGAACCAAATCCAACTACTTTTTGATTCCACCTCTACAATAGCATAAGCAACTGGGTACATTCCATTATTCCCATCAACACCAACGACTGTTAAAACTTTCCATATGTAAGGTTCCTTTAAATGGCATCCATCTATACCAATGAGAGGTCTACACCCTGTCCAAAATTCCTTCTTACAAGCTTCCAAACATACATAAATTCTTTCAAACACAGGTACATTACCCTTCATCTTATTCTTTATAATCACGGTGATGCCCTTATTAGCATTTTTCAATTATTCCTCATAGTCTCATAGCCTCGCATATTGCTCTACATAGCTTCCTTCAATGACCACTTTGGACCAGCTCTTTACTTTATAAATCTGATGCCTTAAAACATTCTTTGCCCTACATCCCACTCAGGATTTTTCATAATCTTGTCAGCAAACCTTTTTGACAACCACCTTGAATTAGTATATTTAAGTTTGTCCACTCTAGTACACTCATGCACTAAGGAGAGAGTCTTTATGGCAAATGTCTGCTCATCTCTGTCTATCTTGGAAGCAAACAGAATAAAAGGGCATTTCGTGTGACCTACACACTTTGCTTGAATCCTTTTATTATCATTCTTCACCAATTTAACATTCCTCCATTGCATAATTGCATACTCCCTAATAGCTTCATTGAGTTCATCCTTGTTGGCAAATTGCATTCCAATTCTAAACTCTAGATTTCTCATATCAGTTTCTTTCCTAAATTGTTTAAAATTTGGCTTCTTCCATTTCCTCTTTTTTTGACCATCTTCCTCACCACCAGAGTTATCACCATAAGAAGGAAGTCGATCACTATCTTCATCATCATATGATATCTCCCATGTAGCTTCATTAAGAGGCATTTCATTCATCTCTTCAAAACATTGTGCATTTTTAACGTTTCGTGCATCGTTCCTTTGTTGTTCTCTTGATGCAGCCTCTTCATTACCATTTTCTTCTTCACTTAATTCATAATCACTGTCAACAATAACATCTTCTTTTTCCTCCTCTTCCTCTTCCTCTTCCTCTTCATTGCTAGCATCTTCACTATGCTGTTGTTGCTCTTTATCTTCACTCTCTAGCTCGTTGTTATGAGTAGGATCATGGTAATACAACACCAATACCTGATATGATGAAATGCTTCCAACCAACCATGGAATACAACTATCATTTATAACCTCATTCACAACATGTTGACCACTTTTTGCAGGCCCCTTATAGTAAACTTTTAAGTTTGTAACCCTTTGTGTTATATCAACTTTGTATCCAAGATCTATTCCAATTTTTTTGAAATCCAATAATGACAGATAATCATGAATACAGTTGCCAACATAACATACTTTGCCTCCCTTATGCACGTCATCTTCCAACAAACCAAAATGGTGGAGTTCAAGAGTACACAACTCTACTTTATCTACCACATTACACAAAGGTATGCTTACAAACAATTTCCATCACAATGAAGACAAAGTAAACAATGAAGATAAAGTAAGTGCATGCATGTGCAAATGTGAAATCACTTCCATGACAAACCGAAAGAAATGAGACCACAAACAATAATAAAGACTCCAACTTCATTTTTTTCAACCTTAAAGCCAAAACTTCATTGTCAACAAGAGGACCACACATTTGCAAACAGAATATATTGCAATATAAAATGCATAAGGAATATTTAGGTTATAGTAACTTACCATACTTAGGGGGTTCTCCAGAGCACTGAAAAATTGTCTCCATTTGAAGAAGCCTCCATACACACTAAAACTCAAAATCCTTTGCTACTTAGTCCACTCAAGCATAATGCGAGATAATGTTCCAAAATCCCCCAAATCGAAGTCAAATAACCCGCGATTTGAAAACCCTAGACCTTCGCAATTTTTTCCTTTTACTCAGACTGCCATTAAAAGCAAAAAAATTCATTTTAATTAACCTTTTTTTTTGTTGAAATTTGTTTTAATTAACTGAAAAGTAAGATTTGCCCATCAAGAATCTGTGATATGCTTGCCATGTCATCATTTTAAACGGAAAAAACTCACAGACTTGATGGAAAGACTACTGGTGCAACAAAACAAATATTTGAGTGACCTCTGCAACTAATAATTGAGTTCAATGACCCAAATGTAACTACAAGTATAGTTGAGGGACCATTGCTGTGAATATCTACATCAAGGGGGCATCTCTAAATTCCAATCCAAAATCTATTGCATTCCCTAAACCCTAGTCATCTACTCTCCACTCTTTGCATATAGTTCTCTGTGTACTTTATTTTGGGTACTGTACACACTTCATGGCTTAATTTCTGGTCCTCTAATCAAACACCATTGTTCATGGAAGTTTTTCCTCTATTAGTTTTGTGTATTGTACCCAAAGTTGAGGGAAATCTTAGCTCCACAAAACTTGGTACAATCAAAGCATACTCATTTCTCCTTTTTCTGTTTTGATGTCTTCGTTTCCAATTGCTCGATTTTAGTCATGCATGTTGATTCCTCAATAGGGAAATCTGAACACCAAGCTCTATCCTTTGTATATACAGTCAACTTGGAGAAATATGAACACCAAGCTCTATCCTTTGTATACACAGTCAAGTTGGAGAAATCTGAACACCAAGCTCTATCCTTTGTATATACAGTCAAGTTGGAGAAATCTGAACACAATCTGTTTTGTCTGCATCTTACTCTAGTACCCAAGTTTGGTCTAGTTTGTTGTGTGGTTATGTTGGTCTAAGTTAGTTGGAAGGAAGACTGGCTTGCTTGCTGACCTAAAGCTAAAGGTAGGGTTGACTTTGCCTTGCCTTAACGTGGTTTTCTTATGAAAGAGTACAATGTAGTAAGTATACTATTTGAATGTATGTTATTGTGGTTTGATTGATATTTGTTATGACCTTTTGTGCTCTTAGCTTTCTTTTTGAAAAAGACAATGCTTAAGCTACATGTATGACAACATGGTAATTTTCTGTAATTCTTAAAAAGGGTTCACTTAATAAGGATAGGAAAGACCCTCCACCATGTTTTTTTTTTTGGCCAACTTCTTCAATTTAATATATGTAATTAAGTAATATCTTAACCTTTTTGAATTATTTTAATTAGTAATTATTATTTCTTTAGTGAATAGTTAGTATTTAAATATTTTACTGATTTCATAAATTACTTAATAAATAGTAATTAATCATTTTAAATGATTTTGTGGACTTTGTTTTTTATTTTATTTTATATAAAATTAGTTTGAGTAAATCCAAGTCTCGAACCAAAAATCCGAGCTTCCGAACTTGTTTCAAAACCTTTCTCAAGCCTCGAATATTAAGCATAAGCCAACTATGGGGCACTTATGACTCGATTAGGATTTCGATCTCAATATACGATTAGTATGACATAACCAGACCTAAACATCTCTAGTACTGAACTGAACTAAGAACCCATTGACAGAAAAATTAGCTGACGTGAAGGAAATGATCAATAAGAGCATCTCCAGCGCCATACCCAAACTGGGGGAAAGGCTGCCCTGGCGAGCCCAAGACACCTCCAGCGCAGCAGATGCAGCCTGGTTTCATGGTGGGTTCCACCAGCCCGGGCAGGCCCAAGGGCAAATTTAGCCCGAGCTGCTGCCAGGGCAAACTGATGCAATACTGACGTCATAATGACGTCAGCAACCCAAAAAAAAATACCAAAAATACCAAAATTCCAGAATTTTTTTAAATAAATACCTAGGCATATTCTTTACTTCCCACACCAAAAATTATATACAAATTTATCTCCTCATATCTCATATGAATAGTATTTGCCTTAGACTTGCCCTAGACTTAGCTCTCATGGGTGGAACCACAAATGCAAAGGCTGACACTATTCACGTGAATAGTGACAGCCTTTGCTTGCCCTTGCCTTAGACTTAGCCCTTGTGGGTGGAAGTGCTCTAATGCGAAGGGGATCCTAATTTAAGGACCACATAATATTGAAATTCAATTTGAAAAATGTCAATAGGGTAATACTTGGGAGATGATTGCTACAGTTTAACCTAAAAAAATAAAAAGAAATAACACATTATATGATACTCAAACGACACCGTTCTCACCCACCCTGCCAGATTTTTTCCTCACTTGACAATCCAAAGACTGCGCTTATCCAAAACCCCACACACACGCACACTACCCCTACTTCGAAGTTCGGGCTTAACAGTCACAAAGCTCAACCGCAATGGCTTTGCTTCGTTATCCTTGTTTCCTCACAGAACAAGTTCATCTAACGCCTCTACTGTCTCTGCAAAACCCACAACACCTCTCCAAGCACACACCAACCACTCTCTCTCTTTCTGGGTCTATTTCCTCACTCTCTCTTTCTCTCCCACACACCCACATTCGCTCATCCTTCATAACTCGGTCCAAAAGGCTGAGCAACTTCATTTTCCAATTCTCCTCTACTGCTCAAGAACAAGCTCTTGATGAAAGCCCAGTGCTGGAGTCAGAGCCCGAAGAGTTCTCTGATACAAGATTGCTTGCCCAAAATGTGCCTTGGACTTGTACCCCAGAAGACATTCGTACTCTGTTCGAGAAGTACGGCACCGTCGTTGACGTTGAGGTTTTCATTTTCCATTGTTCTTTACTTTGAAGCCTTTGTTTGTTATTCGGTATTAATAATGTGTGATTTTATTTGATGGGTTTTATTTTTGTTTGTTCTTTGCTGTGGTGGATAAGCTTGCCATGTATAACAAGACCAGAAACAGGGGTTTGGCATTTGTAACAATGGGTTCACCGGAGGAGGCTCTTGCGGCTCTCAACAATCTCGAATCTTCTGTGAGTATATTGGGTTCTGTTATCTTCTGTGAATGTTTGTATTGTTGTAAGTTGAGTTTTATGCTCGGTTTCGTCCATGAGAAAGACTACTAATTGGTAAAGCAGTTCAAATTTGTGAATTTTATAAATTTATCACTATATAATACCTGAGTAAATTAAGTACTACTTCTGAAGTGAGACCTAGTATTCTACTTATCTACATGACTGTTTTGTGTTGCTTTGCTGGTGTTGAAAGTTTATTGCTTTCTAAAACTATAAAGAGAAAAATTTTGTTCTTTGTTTTGTGTATGTTTGTTGCACTTCCCGTGTGTATGAGCTTTGGAGCTGAATTTATTGGAGAAACTCACTAGTATCCCGTGGACTATAACCTGTGTCCCACAGTTGGCCTTTAACTTTCAAGTGCATGACTTTAAACTATCATCGTATGGGAGTAGAACGTGACTACTTATTGAAGGGCATAATTGTTATCCTATTCCTTGAGATTGTGATCTATTGTTTCATATCTCCCTTTGTAAAGGATAAAAGTCATTCAATCAGTCACCGAGAGAACATAAATGGCAATGCCTTAGAGGCTTCTAGTGCATCTGGAAACACCCATTTAACTCCATTGTCATCATCATGCCAAAACATCTATGTGCCATCATTCTTTCTCATGGCAGCATGCTTTAGCACCATAGCCTCTCATTCACTCACTTTCTTATTTTCCTTCTTCCACCTCTGCCATTGGTTTGTGATCTTCATACTTTTGTTGGACATACCTTAAATTTTGTTCGACAAGCAGAGCTACTCTAGCATAAGGGTTGGAGTTGTGGAGGCCTTGATGGAACAAGGGGTTGAGCTGGAACTATGGTATACTGTACTTCTACCATGCAAATTTTAATTTTGTAGTTGTTCAGGAGGCTGTGAAGGTGCCCTGTCAAATGACAATATGAACTTATTGGGGGGCACTAGCAACTGTTTGGGCTTGGAATTGGAAGTGGAAGAAAATTTATATTTGGTTGGGGAAAATTCGTGTAAAATTTGTGTTTGTTATGAGTAATCACCACATAAGACATACATATTGCCGAGTGGTAAAAACCAGAAATGGATATGGACTTAACAACCAGAAATGGATATGGACTTAACAACCAGAATCTTTATAAAAGAATGTAATGAATAAATACTGAGAAGCTTGTTGGTTGTCAATTGCATCCTTATAAAAAATAGGTACCCATTGGGTTTGTTCTTCTTTTTGTAAAGAGCCTTTAGTTCTAGTAGGAGAGTGATGAAGAGTGGAACATTGTCAAAAGAGGAGAAAGCAAGAGAGGAGCAACGAAAGGGAAGGGGAGAGAATTGTATGAGGTTTTAGGGAGATGAAAAGAGGTATGTGTTTGAATGGAGTGATAGCAGTGGTGCAGGTGAGAAGAGGTTTAGGGAAAGGGAGAGGAAAGAAGACAGTGGTGGTAGCGCTGCCACTGTTGGCTGAATCTTAGAGAACAAGATGACCATAAAATGCCCTTGACCATTGTGCTACTGAGTGAGTACTATCTTCACTACTGTTAAAAAAAATCAAAATTACAGAAGTTACAATAAGGACCAATCATAGTTTAAGGGGGTTAAGTGTCTAGTTTTGAAGTTCAAGAACCAACGTAAAACAAAAGTTAATATGTTGGCTTTTTCAATTTTGGAAATGTGCTAGATAAAGAAAACAAAATTTAATTATATATTTTTTCCACTATAATTTGAGCAAGAAAATGTATGATTACATGTGTTGCTTCCTTTCCATATTGTATTGTAAAGGATCTCCTCATATTTGGAATGCTTCATAGGAAATGGAGGGTCGTATTATAAAGATGGCTTATGCCAAGCCGAAAAAGACAAAGATTCCCCCTCCTTCTTCGCAATCCAAGCCAGTAACTTTCAATTTGTATGTGGAAAATTTGCCATACGAAGCAAGGTCTAAAGATCTCAAGGAGCTTTTTAATTCAGAGGATTGTAGTGTTGTTACCGCGGAAGTTGTATTCCAAGGTAATCCGAGAAGGTCCGCAGGATATGGATTTGTGGGCTTCAAATCTAAGAAAGAGGCTGAGGCAGCCCTTTCTGCTTTCCACGGGAAGGTAATTTTCTCAACTGCGTTCTGTACAGATTTACAGTAGGCTATTTTGAAATGAAGATTTCCCTTAGAAATTTTTTTGTCCTGCAGTTGCTTATGGGAAGACGAATTCGTGTGGCACGTGGTAAACAATTTGTTAAAGTACCAAAAGAAGAGAGTTCACAGTTGGGTGATGAATCTACTGAATTGAATTCTACTGTCGAGCAAGTGAACACAGATGTCAATGATACAAAGTGAATGTGGGGCACAGTGAAATTTCTGTGTTTTCTTCACATCATGTTTGTCTAGGTATGTCCTCTCTTAAAATCATGTTCATGTTTGAAACTAATATAGCTATTTATGTGGTATGTCTGTTTTAATTTTAATTTTGTAACTTTTTAATAAACATTTTGTTAGTCGGACAATTAGGTCTTTGGGTGATCTGGAGCATTAGTTGTTGGTTCACAAGAATATGCATTGTAATATGTTTCCCAATTTCTGCAGTAACTGCTGCATACTTTAAACTACCACAAATTACATATGTACTGTAAATTGATAGCTCTAACAAACAAATGTTTTCATCCACAAAGTTTAATTGCATAGATTGAAAGTAAAATGGTATACTTGTAAATGACCTAAAGTTGAATGGAGGTCGTTGCATTTAGCCTTTATCAATGCCATTACTTTATTTTCTTGGGCATTTCTCACGTTTTCATAGGGTTCTGTGGACCTCTTGACTGGTTTACTTCAGTGCTGTACTGGTCCAAGCCATATTTTAGCTAACCTCATCTTGCCCTTATGCTACTCTGTGCATCTTAAAGCTTATTACATCAGAATATCTCTCTGCTTTGGATTTCCAAACTGTTAACCACACCAACAGGAAAGCTGTGACATGTTCTGGACCTCTGGTTAGCGATTCAGGAAAAGTGAAGTTAAGAAATAGGATTTCCTTGATCTTCTAAAAGAATTTGCTTGCTAGAAAGTGGTAGACAAACTTACGAAAACAAGGGTGAAGAATGATTTTGTGAACTTCGTAGATTTACCTGGAGAGTGGGGTCGAATTCTTTGGCAGTTAACTTGCAATAATTAGGATCAGTCATGATATATGCTAGCACTTGTTAGCTGTAACATTCATTTTTGTTAAACAGATATCTGTTGTTTGAGATACCATCTTAGTGTTTAAATATTCTCTCTCTACCTCCCTCTCATTTGCAGGAACATTTGTGTATGCTCACTTCGACTTTCCTTTTCATGCATACTTGGTGAGATTCTCACCTTCTTTTGAGGGCTAATATTTAGGGGCATTCCATGACTTTCGTACTTGTACAAGGTTGCTGGGGTTCTAGAGGCTGGTTCTGTACGTAGGCTACAAGTTTGGATAAATTGAGCTAAATGTAGTACAAATTTATTTCAGTGTCTTGACTATGATACAATCTGAAGGTGCTTGCATGCCAATGGAAAATTAAAATCACACCCAAAAAAAAAAAAAATTAAAAAAAATCAGGAATGGAATACGGATTTTTTCATTCGTGGAAGTTATATTAGACAGTTTAGACCCTTGTTTTATTCCTTGTCATATCATCTTTAATGCCAGTGCAACTTGAGTTAAGAGTTGATCTTAATGATTTTGATGTCATTATCGTTTGTTTCTTGTCACCGAATGGTTTAAAACTTTAGGTTAAGTGCTACTTTTTTGCCTTTTTGGGATCTTATTTCTTATGTAGTCTTGGTTAGAAAAGAAAATGGCATCAGAGTTTATTTCATATTGCTTTTAGGCAGTAGATTATCCATATTCAAAAACTCAGGCGAATGAACACCCAAAAAAAAATCCCTCTTGCCTATAAAAGGAATTTTGTAATTTTTGCAGACATTATTACAGTGTGAGCTATCCAATGGGCCTTCTGGTAAAAATGAAAAAGTTAAAAACCAAATGAAGGGTGAGTGCTATTGACGTTGAGATTTTACCTCAGAATTAGGTATCCATGAATGATGCCATTGAACTTAAGACAATTTTCTGGATGTATTTTGGAACTTGTCCACTTTACTCTATTTCTTACGCCATGCTGAAGTATACTTGCAACGTGATTCTAGAAACAAATAAATAAATAAATAAGTTTGGCTAAGTGCAACTGTTCTCCATAACTGAGGTCTTTGTAGTTGGAACGTTTGTAACAAAAAAAAGCAGATGACTCACTCTTTCTTCGAGTCTAAGATTTAAGTGTTTACGGATCTGTGTGGAATTGATATGGATTTTAGAGTTTTAGATTTCGTTTTGTGGCTCGACTTGAACTGGATTGAGATTGAGTTCAAACCCGTCTTTATAATTTTTAACTCTCTAAACGAGACTTGTAAGACAGAATATATTGAATTATTATTCAATTCGATAAATTTAGTTTTGACATTTATAGATTCACCAAACAGCAGACAAAAACTTACATAATTTAATTAAAATAGTCTAGTTTAATCCGAACTACTAAAACATGGCAGGCCTTTGATTAGATCCTCTTGAACTTGCTAACCTTATCCAGTGAGGAATGGAACTTGCCAGATCAAAAGTTGTGTGCCTGTCAAGGGCAGTTGTTGGAACCCAAAGGACCCCAACAACCCTTACCAAACCCAAAGTCATCAATTCAAAACCCACATCCAAAGTGATAGACTGCGAAGCCATGCCTCTGGAAAAGTATGGGATGTGGTGAGACGGTCCCACAGGGTTCGTTTGGGTCATGAGTCATGAAGAAACAGAAAAATTCATGCGCATGACAACTTCTACTCGGTTGTTAGGTGACCCGTTTTGCTCATAGAATGTGACTTCCCATCTCCACACCCACTTTAAACCATCCAGGGGTCTCATTCTCACTTAAGAATTTATTTGTACTTGCTTAGTTCTAGAATAATTAAAAAGACCAAACATAAGTAAAGAACATTAGTAAGGTCTACGTCTTTTAATGCTAACTAAAACGTGGCATGTATGTACAACTTCTTTTTCCTTTAAAAATGAAATCAATGTTCACTTCTGTGAATAAAAAATTCTCTTTTTTTTATCATCAATCGAACAACTCAACAAGTTTTCGTTCATCAAATATTATTTTGAAACCTTCTCTAACAAAATAAAGGCCAAATGTCACTGAAGTAAATTTGCATCGGTAAAAATTAATGGTCACTTCGTTTTTCACTTATAAGGTCGTATTGCGCTTCATGTCACCACTCAATCAATAATTGCCTAAAAAAAGCTTTCATAAGCCCGCATAGTTGTAATTTCATTTGGTAACGTTTTTAGTTGTAGTTTTCACTTTGAGAGAAAAAATATATCATGAGATGAGAAGAATGAAATCAGGGAGAATGCATGAAATTGAACTCAAAAAAATGTCTTTAATGTTTTCTTTGTTGAAACTTTCAATGTAATTTTCAAACTTCTCAAAAATTTCACAATTTAACTTTGGCTTGTGGCATTGTGATTGCATCCTCTCTCTACATGAATACGGGGCCTCTACTTAAAGATTGAAAAGGGAAAAACAAAAGATTCAAAGATGGGTTAGATTTTCATGTTTACATTTGGTGTCTAATTATGATGGTCATTGGATTCCCCTTTGGCATCAATCTAAAGTCTGATTTTCTAAGCTCAACAACAAAATGTAACAGCAACCAACCAAAGATAGTGCTCAGATTATGAGGAAACAAAATCTCTTATAAGTATAATTTGCTTCTTTCTTAATTCACAAGCCAACCCTTTTGATCATGCCTTTAATTTGGTCCACTTTGTGCTTAAACAATGGTTTGAAAAAAGATAGAACACTATCATAACTACCTACATGATAGCCTTGTTTATCATATATTTCTTACTTTTGAAGCTTGATTTATTAGGAGAGATTAAGAATTCAAAAAGAAGGAAAAAAGAAAAAAGGTCACATTATCAGAAGCATATTAGGTATGAAGTCTAACCGAAGTCATCCTCATGCAATGAGTTCCTTGACAGAAGTTTTGCATTTCAATGGAATTAAGTGGACCAAACTCTACTTACTCCAACCCCTTCATGCCATTATATAAGGCAATTCCAACTTTATAGTTTTATTATCACAAAAGGCTTCTTCTTCTCTATCTCTCATAGTTGCTAGCTCATCAAAATGGCAGGCACAGGGGCTGCAATTGTGGGCATGTTCCTTGTACTTTCCATGGTCATGATGCCAAGCTGCTTAGCCACTGTCTACACTGTTGGAGACTCCTCTGGCTGGACTAGTGGTGTTGATTATAGCACTTGGACTAGTGGCAAGACCTTTGCAGTTGGTGATAGCCTAGGTAAATCCTAATTATCTTTTAATTATTTTCTTCCATATATTGTAGATGTGTATTTAACAAAAATAAAATAGAATAATTGTCATGCGTACATGCTTCATCAACAACACATATGTTGGTGTTGCTAGACAGTGAATCTAGATCACCGATTAAGTGAATTCTTGTTAGACGGTCAATTTAGTCTATTCATTAGGTGAGCAGCTTTATCACTTTTGACAATTGATTAAGTGAATTCTTGATTTTATTTGTGCTGTGAGAATTAAAAATGGTCAATGGAACTTATTGATTATGTGAATTCTTGTTTCGATCGATGTGTTTTGCGAGAACTACAATCTAGTAACACAACAAGTCACATATCCCGAAAAACAGAATTACTTGGCTACTGCGATTTATATTTTGGACTTGCATCTAATTTCCCAAATTCTCTTTACTTGGTAGCGTTCAACTATGGAAGTGGGCACACAGTGGATGAAGTGAGTGGAAGCGACTACAAGACATGCACAGTGGGCAATTCAATCACAAGTGATAGCAGTGGAGCCACCACCATCCCTCTCAAGGCTGCTGGGACTCGTTACTTCATTTGTGCTGTGGTTGGGCATTGTGGGATGGGGATGAAGCTTTCTGTGAATGTAGTAGGGTCAGGATCAACAGCAGCACCATCTACCAAGGGTTCACCGTCACCGGCTACTTCCGGCAGTAACTCTACAGTTACCAGCCCTGCAGTTACCACACCCTCATCAACAGGCGTAGACAACAGTCTATCTACCTCTCCGGTTGTGGCTTTGTGGAGTATTTGTGTTACTTGGGTTGCTATTTGTGTGTTGATTCTTTCATAAGTTTGGCAGGCTGGTGATTGCTCTAAATATTGCCAGGATAGAGGCAGTGCTATTTTCTCCCTGTTTTATTAGCGGTGATTTGAGTTTCTTATGTTATAATTATTTGGACCAATTTTAAAAAGACAAAAAAAATTAGGGTTCATAATATATATATATATATGTAGCCTGATTGATGTTAATAATATGCATTTTGCTTTTGAAATTACTGTGGGTCGATTAAATTAGTTTGTACTTTGCATGAGGGTATAAGAGAAAAAGAAAAGAAAGATAACAAAAGATTTGAGTATAGGGGCAACCAGCAGGCCCGTAGGCGTAGCCGATGAAAAATAGGCTGAATGGATCGATTCTTAGCAGAAATAAGATTCTTCACAAATAAGCCGTTCAAAACTCTATTGCTCATCACTGGACTCTAATGGGGTTCTTTTTGTCCCTTATGTATTGTTTTGGGTAATAGTTTTTTTTTGTATTATTTTTTATTTATTTCGTTGTGATTGTTTCAGGCCGTGAATCTGTTTAAGATCAAGCTCTGGTTCCTGACTTTCACGTTGGGTTTTGGATGTTTTCATCATCTCCATTGTATACTCTTATGGTGTTATGATAAAGCATCTTTTCCAATAATAAAAACTCTACTTCCTAGTCTAAACCGTTTTGAAGAAAGAAAAAAAATCAGTAACTTGCCCCTAAAAACCCATCCATTCAAAAGTATATTAATTTTCTAATGTGGGATTTCGTTTTGGGCAAAATTAGAAAAGGAGAGAAGATTTTTTCACACCGTCAAAGTGTCATGGGAGTTGTCTATAAGTCAAGACCCTTCTTTATTGGACTAGACATTATTGGCCCAATGTTGGATATTGAGTCCCGACATTCCAATTACCACCAAACTTTCATACCCAACACGACACCCTCAAGTGTTTTTCACTAACATTAACAATCGTCATATTAGGTCCCGGGTGTCATATTAGGAAAGCTAACACGACCCAACTGGCCCGGACCCAATTGTAACCCACCAAGCTCGAGCTAAAGCCCAATGGACCCATAGACCCAATTAAGATTTTCTTTTTCTGGTTTGGACCCAATTGGGATTAAGTCTCTTACTTTTACATCTCAAATCGGCGGAAGACAGACACCTACCTCCATATTTTCCGTGGACAAGGCTTTCGTTGGTCTGATGGTGTTGCTGCTGGTCCCCCAAACTGAGTTTGGGATGTGGACGGAAGGTAGATGGAACTGATGTTTCAGTGCCAAAGAAAAAGCCGGATCTTTATCCCTTTTGCTTTTTTGTAGCTCAATCTTGTGTTTTCCTGTCCTCTCCAAATTGTACGTGGTCCAGTTGTCTTGTTATTTCACCCATCGTGTCTTTTTTTCTTTTTTTCTGCTTTTCTCGAGCTGATTTTTCTTTTGTTCTGGTACAACACCATTGTCCTTTTTCACCCATCAATGAATCTTGAGGATTTTTTTTCTTTCCACCAAAAAAGAAGAAATAAATTCATTGTGGTATGCTTTCCAGAACTTGGTGGAAATTTTCATGGCATGGGTCTAAATTGAAGCAACAAAATTAGGATCAAACCCGCGATTAAGATCCTAAGAATGAGGAAGAACATGTTTTGTCCATGTAATTTGCTAGGGTTACAAATTTTTCCTATAACTATAAATAAATTTAAAAAAAAGACAAACACACCTTTCTCTTTCTACTTTTTAAAAAGCTCTGTGTCGCAAAACACTTGGGTTGGGTCTACAAAGCTTTGCTCTACTTTTGGTTCACCAAACGACAAAACGAAACCCAATGCCAGAAAAATAATAATTAAGGAGTCAACGCTGTTTGACTCCACGTGTCCATAATCAAACGAACAAAAACAAGAATCATTAATTGAAAACATTAAAAGCTCACGAACTGTAATTAAATATATATGATTAGAATCAGATCATAACAAAAGAATTTGATCCATAATCATCATCATCAGCAACAATCATGACAATGATAGTAATTTATAATTAATAATAATGATTAATAAGGCCGATCACATCACGATCAGCCGTTAGATCCACCATCCCATCCAATCAACACCGTCCAATATCGCCAATGAAACCATCATCCTCGAATCAAAAACCAAAAATAGTAAAATTAGATAAATTTCTTTTTCTACCCGCTAATATAAACGAAGCTCAAGATCCTCCCGCCGCAACTCTCTCCCGGTTACGTGAAAAAAGGCCTTTCTCCGCCGCAACAGATCTAGACCAAAAACGACGTTGCAATGACGGCCGCGGCCACAGATCCGGCAGCATAGACTCTGTTCATGACTGCTCCAGAGGGCGATGCCGGAGCCTCAGCCGGAGTGGTAGCGGCGCCCGCCGGGGCGGTGGCCGGACTGGAAGCCGATGTCGAGGAAGTGGGTGGTGCCGGGGGAGAGCCTCCGGATGGAGAGTCGGAGGATGGAGCGGAGGTCGAGGTGGTGGGGGCGGAGGTCGAGGTGGTGGGGGCGGAGGTCGATGTGGTGGGGGCGGATGAGGAGGTGGTCGGGGCGGAGGATGAGGTGGTTGGAGCGGAGGAAGGAGAGGAGGCCTGAGGCGCCTGGGTGGAAGCCGAGGGAGTGGCGGCGGGGGTGGCGGTTGGGATCTTGGCAGCTGGGGGTGGGGTGGAGGTTGGTGGGGTGGCGGTTGGGGACTTGGCGGTTGGGGACTTGGCGGTTGGTGACTGGGCGTTGGCGGAGGTTGGCGGTTGGGTGGGAGAGGAGGTTGGGGTGGCCGAGGGAGCCTGAGCCTGGTTCTTAGCCTGGGTTGGAGCCTGAGCCTGATTCTGGTTCTGCTGCTGCTGAGCCAGAGCCGAGCCGGCGACAAGAGCCAGGGTCATGAACAAGACGAAAGCAGAGCGAGCCATGGCCATTGTGAAGCTGGTGAGAAGGAGAAACACAGAGAGAGAGAGAGAGAGAGGAGGGTTTGGGATTTGGACAAAGACGGGTTGAAAGGGAAAGAGAGGAGGAGGAGTATATATAGTGAGGGTTTGTGGTTTGTGGTTAGTCGGTTGACGGTGTAAGCGCCACCGTACATGTGTAACGAAAAACGGGCTTCTGCCCAAATTATGGGGGAGCTCAAATCCCAGCCGTCCACATTCGGGAATTTTTAGAAACCCGTTTGTTAAAAATGGCGATGCCAATTCCAAATCTTGATGTAACTATTTTTTCACCTTACTTTTATTAGCTGAAAACTACCACGTTATTAATTATTTCTTCATTTTTTTTAGCTTTTTTATTATTATTAAAAATGATACAATTTCCTTTTTTTTCTTTTTTAGGAGGAGCATTATTTCCGCTCTTTAAAGTATTCGCCAGCCAAGAGAGTTTTTTGGTTCTTTTTCTTTTTTTTTCTTTTTTTATTGGGCAAAAAGAGTTTTATGGTTGAGAGATAAAAAGATTCGTATGCGGATTAAGTAATGCCAAACCTACGTAACCTTATATGGACTTTTGACCAAAGTATGCATGAGACCTAGCGTAAACACTCAGCTCAAAACCCTTATCTAATTAATTACAATCAAATTAAGATCAATTAAAGAATAATAACAACTTAAGTATTTATGTTTATCATGTTTTACCGAAATGTAGGTCTATAAAATGGGACGGGCCGGGCAACCCAAAGCAAAGTTAATTCATCCTCTCATGATCGCTATATGTTGAAATGAAAGTTGACACTTTGTGTAAATATGGTTTCATTTCAACATATGCCATTATGCATGATATGATGATGTCGACTCGCAAGGCAACTAACAATAATGCAACCAAACTGCTTTGTTTGGGTTTTGAGTACGTGGCCACCATCCTCGTACATGTTCCATTAGATTCCCAATTAGAAAGGTTTGATGGTTTCCAGCATCCACGTATCACACTAATTAACAACTAAAGTAACATTCCGATTTGGAAAATGAAACGCCACCAATGTCCCATCATTTAATCAACGGGTTATTATGGAAATGTTAATTAAGCACGATTGCATTTTGATTCCACATAGGGATTAGCAAATGCGACCATGCCAAATATTTAAGATTAGTTATGTGTCACGATGTAATTGCAATTTGCAACTGATCCCAAAAATTTAAACCCCCAAAAAAAATATATATAGAGAGAGAGAGAGGAAACGAAGTTACCATTATTATTATTACATGATATAGGCAAAAAAAAGCACACCCTTAAGCAATATTAGAATATGTCTTGAAAAAAGGAATCAGAATTATGATAAACGATAAACGATAAACGATAACTTTTAAAATGAAACTGTCAAATCATCATATGGTGTTATAATAAAAATTTGGTTCCATGATGGTACGACCTTAAAATGATTTATATGCTTTCATTAAAGACTCATAAGCATATCAAACATATCCACTTAGTTTTGACGAAGTAAAAACCAGACATGTGACTGTATATTGCTCTTAAGGTAAGAATGATTAACCATTATTTAAGCTTAGCAAGCAACCAATATTTACATCGGCGCATTAAAAGGCAGTAGTAATATATGGAGAACAATCATGCTTAGCCAAAGAAGCAAAGTCACTCATCTAAAATAAGCTTGTCTGGCAACAACATAATTTGGAGCTGTAGCCCATGTCAATCTGTCATATGATGCTTTTAAAACGTAGAAAAAAGCTTTGGTGACCTTTTATATATATATATATATATATATATATATAGAACCCTAGTTTTTCTCGAAAAAAGGAACAAAGAAAAAAAAAGTATAGAACCCTAGTAGCTGCTTTAGCTACATGAAAAGAAGTTCATAGAAGTAGGGTTTGATATATATTTTTTAATTAAATTTTTTTTGGGTATAAGGTAAGTAGGGGACCAAAGGAGGCACATCGTTGTCAAAAAGCTTAGTTGTCATGTCACACTGGACCCAAATTTGTGTAGTTTTTTGAGATTTTCGTGAAAGATCAAATCTTTTACTAAGGCAGGAGAGCAGGACTGAAGACTCATCTTTACAAGCCTTACACATCAATGTAAGTTTTACGGACTAATTTCATCAATCAATGGGACACAGAACAGAATCGTACACTAACAGCTGGTGCAAATGGGAAACTTACAAACCCTTGGCTCTGCTTCTCTCTCTCTCATATTATGTAATTCACGTGATGAGAGCTGGTGTATATTCTTCATCGAAAAATAAATAAATACACGTTATAAGAGCGATTAACACATAAAATGCCGAGTGTATGTATCTGTAGACTGTAACAAAGAAGTTTCCGTTATGGAGATATGGTCACTTGGTCATCATAATCTGAGAGTGAGTCAGTTCTTGGTTCTGAAGACAGGCAGACAATTCTCTCTCTTCAGTGTTCTTGATGAAGATGGCTTGTCTAATTGTCTGGTACTTTATCCACCAATATCACCATGCATATCAATTACAATCATGAAAAAGGAGAAGCAGTAAAATACCTCCACCATTATTTCTTAATCTGAAACCAATGTGGAAGACCAAACTTATATATCACATATATGAACCCAAAATAATAATGATTAACAAAAACAAAAATTTATCATTTTATGTCAGCAACACTTAAGCAGGGAGGTGCAATAATAAATACACGCTTTTATTCCAATAATTTGATAATTAGAGTAATCCACATATACACCAAAATAAATTCGAAAAAGTTTCGGATAATGAGTGACAAGTATTTCATTTTGTTCATATTTAGTTTCATTGTGAACCTAATTTATTTCTAGTAAGTAATATACTATCATCGTGTAATCTGTCATATCAGACTACAATTTATGAAATAGGCTAAATTGTAGTAATGGTCCCTGGACTATATCCCAACTTTACTTTTCGTCTCTCACATTGTTTTGTTTTATTGTTACCGTGGTGTTTCAATTAGATCTTGCGTTGCATCATTAGTCTTTCCGTCAACTTAGTTAAATTTTCTGTCAAAATTAAGGGCAAATTGGGAAATTCATATATATTTCTCTCTCCTCCCCTCCTGTGCACTCTCCCTCTTCCCCCGACGATTTCTTCTTCCCCCGTTCCCCATGACTTCCACCTGCAAGCTCCAACCCTCAAACTATCCCACAGCCACCCTCTACAGTAGCCGCAACCCCAGCACCCACGAACCCAAAACCCCAGCCCTCATCGTCCACCTCAGACCTGATCAAAACGGAGAAGCAGAGGGTTTATGGGTATCTAGGTGGGCCGCTTGCATTGTCTGTCCCATTTTCATATATTCTTCTTGCATTGGTTTTTGATCAAGTCCCCTTCTCACCCATATTTCTTCTCCCGCCCACCAATTTCTTCCCAGCCCCCACCAATCATTTAAACATGGCTTTAGCTACACAGCCCACCACCAACCTCCTCCAAAATCCCTTCCTTGGCCTCTATAGGTTACGCATGGATGGGTTGTTACCGGATTCTTTTTCCATATATGGTGTTTTGCAGTTGAAATGGATATTGGGAGGAAGCTTTAGAAATTTTTCATAGTTGAGAGTGAAACTCCGACCTAATTGGGAGAGGGGGAGGAATCGGGCTGGAGAGAGATAGATGATTTGAATTTTTTTATTTATTTAAATTTTGTGCGAAAATACATTTTTGCCTATGTCAAGTAAGACTTGTCAATGCCATTTCATCATTTTTAACGGAAAATTTGACAAAGATGACAGCAAGTACGGTTTCTGCAACTGGAGGCATAATTAAAGTATCACAGTAACAACAAAACAATGTGAGGGACGAAAAGTAAAATTAGGGTATAGTCTATGGACCATTGCTACAATTTGGCCTATGAAATATTATGATCCCTTTAGCATGTTTGTTAAGCACAGGGGCTCTCTGCAATTATTGAAGTAATTACACGCTTTCATAGCTCCCTGCATATACATGGTTGAGGCTGGCTGTTCCTCCTTATTGGTGGGGAATCATGGTGATCTACCATAAATTCAAAACTACTTTACTAGTCCCATTGACATGAACATGCATGTCTACAGCTCAAGGACTTCAAAAATAAAAATATAAATCTTGTTCTAGTTTGAAACCAGCCGGATCCTTCAGTCATCTTCCAGATAATCCAAGCCATCTGAAAAAAGCGGCTTCTGAAGTTATGTCATCATTTTGCTTCAAGAAGAATTGAGGAGTAGGGGGCCATGTTATATGTGCTTTTGACGCCTGGGACGCCGTCAAGCACGAAGTCATTGGGAGACTCAAGATTAGTGTCCACCTGCAATTCAACAAGGCTGCTTGTTAGTGGAGTTGTGTGGAAATGGGTAACAATGATGGAGTTGAAGAAATGAACAGACATGCTCCATTCAATTGAACGGAAATGCCAATCCATAGTGCCTTTTCAAAGCTCTACATTGCAAAGCAAACTATGCAGGTTATCAGTGAACAAAATCTAGAAAGCAAGGGGTTATGTACTATAGAATTGGGAAAGAACCAACCACACGAAACCATCTCCTCTTTACTGGTGCTGCGGGTATTGGAACCTTAATAAAATAGTCATGAGCATTGAATGCCATATAGACGTCTCCTCCATTATTGTCATGAAACCTGCAAAACAAATATTTCAGCTTACTTGTTTTATATCCGTTTCACATGTTCAAATTCAAAACCTTGCAGTTCAGGTCCATGTTTCTTATAGATCCAACTTTTTTTAGTATCGTTGAGTCAATCTGTATCCTCTTCTCTTACTGCATCTCCAAAGATTTATCATAATATATATTTATTTTTTGCCAGTCAACTTCTGTGAACAAAATCATACAGATTTTGATCTAATTAAATTAGCATGAAAGTGATCCATCCCAGTGAGATTCTGGATCAACAAGGGAAGCCTAAGAAGCCATAAGGACTGACAATCGATAATCTAATATAATAATAGGCTACTCCAATTAAACCACAGCTAATTTCATGTATCCCCTCAGTTCCAATCAAGGCGGTCTTCAACACTATCTTATGGCAGGACACTTGTTGAAACCTGCTCATAATTGTTGTATGGAACTAATCCAGGGGAAAGCAAAAGTAGTATCTCACTGCCTTAAGGACATTATAAAAAGCCTTTATCCAAAGGAAGAAAGAAAATAAAAATAAAAAGAAATTGTAACAACAAAAGCTAAAAACACGAAATGTTATGCAGCTGTCATGTAAAAACGTCCAACACTGTGTTGTTGGCAGAAAGGGTAAAAGGATCAGATGCTTTTATATGTGGTAAGTACCCATGCTCAGACAAACATGTATGATCATGAAAAGGAACAGCCATTACAGAAGTCCAAACCATATCAGTGACCAACGGCCATCTAAGTAACACATGGACTACTTAAAGCAAGCATGATCGCTTGCTAAATTACTCATGAATTTGTTTTTGTAATTCAATGATCAAGATCATGATGTCAAGGCCACTGAACACTAAAAATACTGTCGCCGCCCCCACTTGCAATATCTTGAATTACAATTTAGACCATTTTATCCCCATTAACAATTTAGAATTACAATATATCATTAAATCCATTTTATCCCCATTAACAATTTAGAATTACAATATATCATTAAATGCATTCTTTTTTTTATTTGATTTAATATGGGTATAATTGAAAATTTATACAAACTTTATTTTCAATTCCTACTCAAAACAAACATGGGAAAGGAAATAAAATGATATTTCCTGGTTACTTTCCCAGCATTACCAAACGTGGGAAAGGAATCTTCCATTCCCATTCCTTAGGGAATGACATGGGAAATGATTTCCCCTCAAATTCATTCCATGAACCAAACGGGGCTTGAAAGAAAATTCAGATTAGGGTATCTCAAATATCTATATTATACTAAGAAGATAGGTGTAATTCCTTACGTAAATGCAAGGAATTTGCTTTCATAATTGTGCCAGTTGTCTTCATGCCATGTCACGTCATTCTGCACAAATGTCCAATGAGTCTTAGAAAAAGTGGATGCTTAAAGTTAAATTTAAAGCATGAAAGAATCGGAAATAAGACAAAGGCAAAAGGAGATTACTTTCTCAAGAAATGTATCACGACCAAATACACGATGTGTTTGTCGAAATTTTATCACCTCTTTGAAAAACCTGAAGTGATTGCTGTTGCGTGCCTCCAACTGCCATGCCAAAAGATTATTCCATGCTAGTCATCTAGATTAAAGCTGAACGGAAGCCATAACAAAAAATAATTTACCAGTCCCCACTGGAAATGGTTAATAGCGGCATCATGTCCATAACTGTTGTTATTTCCATTTCGACTATGCCCATATTCATCCCCCATCAGCATCATTGGTGTCCCCTGGTTATATACATTCAAAAAAATTCATCAGCACTAAATGTTCACTAGTGTTATATTACAAGTGAAGTCTTTTGGGGATACCAAATGGAGTCAGAATTCCAAAAGTAATGTTCTAGCAAGAGTACTTATCAGACATAAGGGTCAAAAACTATTTGTCAGTCAACACGAAGAAAGAAGACTCATGGCTAATCTCAAGTAAAACCTGAACTTTGACTGAACTCAACAAGTTCAATATAATTTCTTAACTGTAATACCTCAGATGAAAAGTATGCATGGATATGATGATATGACACATGAAATTAAATTTTTAATGAATGTACCTGAGATATCATCAATGCCAAATGAAAGTTTTTCATTTGTCGGGAACGTATAGCTTTAACAGTAGAATCATCAGTTTCTCCTGTTGAATAATTGTAGATAAGATCAAATGGCGCCCGGGGGGGGGGGGGGGGGGGAGAGAGAGAGAGAGAGACATATGGCAGAGACAAAATATATTTTTCTTTACTTAAGCTGTACCCTTTCATATCCTACATGGCAAATTGTGCTAAAGAACTGTCCATGTCCCATCTGCAGGAGTAAGTTTGTCTCCACTTGAACAATAAATGCACAATACTTGATATTGCACTTGCACCATCTTTTGTTTGCTATGGTTTTACCTAAATATACATAAACATGGACAGTTCATCACTACTTGATACTATCATTGTAGTTCTTATAATTTTTATTTCATTTTCAAGTTATGACACTAAAACTTACACGACCTAGGAACTCAGGAAGTTAGCCAAGATGACAAACAACAGCAGATCTTTGGCTTTGATAGACCAAAGAGATAGCACAGAGACTTTTTGGCAGATGTAGAACCAGCACTACAAGTCTTTGCAGATAGAAATAGAAAGACACTAACAGTTTTGTGCATTTACTTGATTTTCACAACTTGATACACCATATTAGTCAAGATGACAAAGTGGAGAACAGTATGATGTAACAGACTAAAGAGATAACACATAAGTTATTCAGCAAGGATCCTTGATTGCATGTCTGAGAGAACTGTTATCTCATGCAATACAGTGCTTGTAATTTGTACATGATAATTTATATCACCTTATCTGTATATTTTTCTGCATAAAACAAATGCTGAAACCCCTGTACTCTGAGTTCTGACTAATACATGCTCCCCCACAATAGCATGAAAATGAAAATGCTGCATCAATTTTGATGCCCCATAGAGTTAACAACAAACTTCCAGTCCTCACAAGTTTCAATACATTAAAGCTAGAATTATTACAAAATATATCAAGGAGCAAGCATCAAAGTTTAGCCCTACCTTCATAACCACAATTCCAGCTCAAATTATCATTACTTCCATCATTTCCTCCTTCTCCATTAGCATCATTGTGCTACAAAACCAACAATCAAGGGAAAGACCACATCACACAGGCTTCAATAAATGACGAACTGATGGCTTAAAAATGTTAAAGTACCTTGAAATTGTATGAAACAAGATCATATAGTGTGAACCCATCATGCGCGATAACAAAATTAACACTGTGATAAGGCTTGCGCTTATTCACCTGTGGAGTGAGTGAAAATTATGAGAGCATGAAACTAGAGCTTCCATTGAATGTAGCAGCAGAAAGATTACTAAGAACAACAAATTGTATTTACCAAAAAAGATGTAAAACACTGATACAGACTTCCAGCCAAACATATTGCTAATAATAGAGAATAAGATGGAAGCTAGATGTTTGTTACTGGATAATAGTACATTCAAGAGAAGCCAAAAATATTTCACAGATTCTGATCAGGACCAACTAAAATAATTCAAGATCCAGATTATGATATTGACAGGTACCATCATAAGACATGAGGGTTTTGGGGTACTGTAGAAACAAGAAAGATGCAGGGCTACCTAAACATGAAATATAAGGCATTCGGTCCTTTTGATTGTAATTGGGTTATTCCAGTCGAACTTGAGCAATAAGTTCTCAAACCAAGTAAACCATCTCCAAGTTCAACTTAGTTGATTTTCTAAGCTGGGAGTATTAACCCAGTTGAAAATAAAAATATGTACAATGAGGCCTGCTTAACAAGTTTGCATGGCTGACATCAATAATACCAAATTAATAGTAAAAAAAATATGGAAATGGAATTAAATGGTCAATAGTCACGATACAGCCATATTAATGAAAAAACTAAAGCTTACTTTGTAAAGATCAGCAGATCCAGAAACACGAGTTGCAAAACTTCCTTTCATACCAGAGTCGCCCTGTATAAAGAAAATTTAACCAAAGATCTGAAAAACAGGAATACATATTTATATATATATATATTATATAGATGTATATATACGTAGATCTGTGTGCATTATGGAATTTAAAATCTAAATGTGCTTTAGTTCCGCTAAACCACACAATTAGAATCAAGAAAGTGGAACTAAGAAGGTTGAAATAATAACAATAATAAAAAGGTTAAGATCATGAAAAATAGGGACACTGTAAATGCAATGCTCAAAGAAAGTTGATATTAGTCAAGACTCGAGAGAAAGAATCAACTAACAACCTCATCTTATTGAAATATCAAGACACTGAATAGAATTTTATCTTACCGAAATTCATCCAATTGCATCAGTTTATAACAAAGCTTCAAACAATATCCATTGATCTAATTAACCGAAAACCTATTCACATTTATGCACACCCTTCCTCATCAAATTTAGCCCTTTTTTGGATACAGAGGAGATTCCTGTGAACCATAGTCTATACACAGACTTCAATGTTTGCTTTTACATCGGTTCTTTTACTTTGCATGAAGGTTAACAGTGTGAATAAGTTATAGACCCATCTAAGCAATACAATTATCATCTCATGGAAATACCTTTATAAATCTCCTTAAGTCGTCACGGTATTTACCATTCCATTCTGCCCACCTGCATTTAAAGGAATCTCATAAGTAATGGAGTTGAACAATCCAAACTTCCACAGGAGCAAGCCTTCCAATGTTACTTGATTTCATGTCATCTTTTAACTACTCAATTACTTAGAATACTAGTTTATTTATAAAATCAGTCAGACCAAAAACAAGAACTTTATTTATAGAAGCATACGCTCCCATCCAGTTTTACAGACTTGTTAAGTCATGCAACGAGTATCCTTATTTTCTTTTAATAAGATTAGATTGTCATATTGTTCAATAAGAATCATCCTTTTGATGGAGATGATGAATTATAACTCTTTCCTGACAAGTTAGATAATTCCCAAAAGAGACAGGAAGAAAAGCACAAAATCAGAGGTTAAGTCTAAAAGAGGCCAGAATAGAGGCACGTCCCCTTTATTTTTAGAAGGGAAATAACTTTTATTAATGATAAATATTATTCAATAACAGGCTTAACAGTCTCTCCCGTATCACTATGAAATGCAAATTTGTAGCATAGATTACCTGTCCCAATTTGGAAATCTTCCAACGAGATAAAGGCCTCCACAGTCCCAAGGTTCGGAAATAATTTTACATCTTGATAGGATGGAATCTTTTGCAATAGCCTGGTCCAACAAAGAACACTAAGTCAATCCTCACACAACTACACTTCTAGAATCTTTATGCAATAACTAGAAGGCATGTCTGTATAAACTCAACAGATAGAGAACATAATTCACAACTCACAGGTAATGTGTCATATCCATGACCACTGACCACAAACTTATAAGTGTATGAGTAACAACGGATATCTTTAGAAATTCATAATAACCAAGATCTTGATTTCGAAATTAGATACATAGAGAGAATATATGCACACTAAGCTAGATAAATCAAACTACTGTCAACCATCCAAACAAAAACACTAATGACTTACCCTAATAACTGGTGGTGCACTAAGCGGACTTCCATCTGATCCCCGACAAAGAACACTGGCAAGGTCAAATCTAAATCCATCCACATGATATTCAGTGACCCTGGAAATGGGTAACAAAAGAGGAAGTATGAAGCTTGATATGAACTATCTATTCATCACATAAATTAACAAATAAAGACAATGTATGAATCGTGTCCTTACCAGTGTCTTAAGCTATCTATTACGAGCTCCATGACAACGGGATGGTTACAGTTTAATGTGTTCCCTGAAAACCAGCAGAAAAAACCTTAAGACCTTCATATCCTAACAATAATAGTTTTAACCTTCATTCTAGAGAAAAACCAATTCTGTTTTGCTTCCAGAATCCAGCAGTAAAGTCCAAAAAGTTTGTTCTCTATTAAGTTTCATTTATAGTAAAATACGTACACCTTCCCTTCTTCATTGACATATCCATTTTCATATCATATAAGAAATAAACATACCAGTACAGCATTATATAAACATCCCATAAACTTTTCCTCACTTCATGCAAAATAAACATACCAGCAATGAAAGACGAAACATACTTCATTTGTAAGAAATGGATGGAAAAGCACCATCAGAATTTCCATACAAGAAAGACAATTGATAGAAGAGAGTAGGAAGTTCACTTAATATATATCTTTAGAAGAAGAGATAAGGGGTAAGAAAACAGTCAGGAAAGACAATTGAATTACCGCAGCCAGAGAAGTTCAGTAATTGGCCATTGTTGTTTAGGTCCAGCATGTAATAAACCTGTAGATGTAGGACGCGTCATTTATAAAGAAAAATATAATATTTATTCATACAAAATTTTATAATGAAAAATAAAATCCCAGTGTTTTAAAGAAGTTGTAATTAAATAAAAGATTTAAAGCCATACTAAACTCTGCCCTAAAAAGCACAATAATTAAGCATCACCTTATTATCTATGCCACGAAATGAAGTGGTATAAGGGTTGGCGTCATCAGCTTCATTAGTATGATTATAGACAACATCCAAAATGACCTGTACAAAAAAAAACAAATATATGGTTTCAAAACTGCAATAACAGGAACATTGCAAAAAGATGTAATTTACCTCTATCCCAGCACCATGCAAGGCTTTAACCATTTGTTTAAATTCCTGGGAAGCTTTAAGGGGTCCTCCACCATCACTAGCATAGCGGCTCATAGGAGCAAAGAAATTTATTGTTGAGTAGCCCCATGTATTTATCTTCAGAGACATTGGTAAATTAGATCACTCGGCTTTTTCAGAGCTCAATCGAAATAACTACTGTTACATGTTTTAACTTTTATATAAACATTTCAGTTGAAAACAGGAGAAATTGGTTTAGTTACCATGTGATCTCTAGGATTTGGTCGCCTCTGAAACTCAAACTCATCAAATTCAAAGACAGGCAGCAACTCCACTGCATTGATACCAAGCTCTTGAAGGTGTGGAATCTTAGAATTAAAATGGAGGGAAAAACGTCAGAGAAGTTCATCATATCAAAACAATTAAATAGCTATTCTTCTATTCAAAGAATGTTAAATGATTGGGATAACTCTAAGCACATTAGACAGTATATGTTGTCATTATTCATGATTTGTCTTCAACTTGCCACACATCATTTCATGTGAGAAAGCACTCGATGCATTCACATTGTAAATCATTTCTTTCAGAACATTAGAATCCAAGCCCCCTTAGAAGTTCACTAGTCTTGTCTCATGGAAACTGTGTCCAGCCAGAACAATTTAGCAAGAAACTCAATTTTTATTGCCTGCACCTATGGGTAATTGGGCATCACTCAAACAACTATAATATTTAAACCAAATCCTAAGTTTTTGATGATTAAAAGAGCAGTTAAGAGGTAGTAAATAAAAACCTAAGAAATCCATATATGTGTTTCCAGAGGTAGCTCCTTACCATCAACCGGTTCTAGTTTTTGGGTAATTCTGAAGTGTTGCTTGAAAACAAAATAAAAACAATTGAAATTGCTAGAAACACATCCAAAATTGTTATAAAACCAAGGTAAAGAAGGATAGAGTTGAAGGGAGTATTCAGATAATTGACCAAAAATATTGGACTTTTGTTCCAGCAGATGCTATATTGTCATTTATCTTGCTAGAATCAACTATTACCTTCTCAATCACACCAAGGTAGCTACCACGAATATCTGGATCCAGACCACTGGATTCAGAGGCCGTAAATGCACGAACGTTCATTTCATATATAACAAGATCCTTCTGAAAAAACAGCAGCAAACATACAGGTTAAGATGTAACAAGATGAAGCATCAAATTTTTATTTGGCCCAAAAAAACAAAGGAAAATCATTTTTAAAACGAGAATTAACTCCTATCACCCATGAGTACATGTATATATGTATATTCAGTTATGAGTTTTCTTATCAACCATAAGATGTGATGTCGAAGAGAGAGAGAGAGAGATGCGTCAAGACAACAATTTATCCTATTTACTGCATGACAAACATATATAGAAACTTATTTACCTCAGGTATATTTGGGAGCTTGTAGTTGTCTCCCCAAGCAAAAGGCAAGCTATCAAAATCATAAGTTCCAAGAAACTTAGAAAACTTTTTGCTGCTATCTCCAAAAAACCGGCGGCCATCAACCAGCTTTGCGTAAGGATCTATAAGCACAACTCTGCTGTCAAATCGATGCCCCTCATGCCAACCTCGTGGCCCATCCATACGATAACCATAGAGAACATTGCTCCGGGGCAAATCCTGTAAAGATATAATTTCATTATCATGAGTGATGACAACTACATCAAGAGATATATTGCCAATTTCAAGGAAGAGAGAGAGAGGGAGAGGGAGAGGGAGACAAAGAAAGAGAGTTGTACTTGTTCAAGCTAAGGAAAACTGTCATTCTTGAACAAAAGACAGCACAAAGAAAGGTAGTGATTTGAGCAACGTAAATAAATAAATAAAAATCAGTTACAAGCCAAATCAAATATTACCTTGATACATATGTGCCAAATGTCACCTGTCTTGTTTACATTACGATCCAAAGAGAACTCCATCATTCCACCATCCACCCTTCCAAGCCTTTCCTTGGCAAAAATTATATTCATGAAAAGCATGAGTCTGGGGAAAACTTCAAACAAAAAAAATGAAAAGATCACAAGAACAATAAACTTGAAAACCTTCACATCAATTAATTACAGGTATGAGAATTGACAAGTAGTATTTACAGCTAGTACTGAAGTATAGCTAGTACAACAAAATTGAGCATTAGAAAGACAGACTTTATTTTATTTGAAACAAAACTTTATTAAAAATAAAGAAAGCGTATCTACAAAAAGGGTGGAGATGATGTCCATCTAAAACGAAACTACAGTCCGAACTTAAACAAGAAACTAAATTGCACTCAGGTCAAAGCTCCCTCTAATCAAGACAAAGATGCCCAGGTGAAGTTAAAAATCTACTTCGTACCTTTCCTATATAAAAAAAAACATGTTAGTTCCAAATAAAGGCAAACTTCATCCACCTTATTATCAATTGCACTATTTTTTTTCCACCAAACACCCACATTGTAACCGACTCTGAAATACACCGAAGGATGATTGTCCTTTTGTTAGCCCCTATATTAAGTAATATTCCACCAACAAATTTCTAGGCCAAAGCCAGACCACTACAAATATGCATGAACCTAACCCAGATTTTCGTTGGGGACGAAGTTGATGGACAATGCATACAAAAATAATAGATAATATATATAATGAAGAGCACTCTCCTCCTCTGCTTTACACAACACACAACGTGGAGATACAGAAACGGTCTTCGTTTTTGGAGCTTGTCACAGACTCACAAGTAACCACCAACCATGCAAGAATTGGCCCTTTGTTGAGTACACCAACCTTTCAAAGCATAAACTTGAGAAGCAGTATCTTCTACCATATAATGAAAAAAGGATTCACGGAAAATGTCCCAGAAGCATGAACAGACAAATATCTTGTATCAGACTGGCTCAGATTCAAGGAGACTTTGTCGTTTTGTGAAAAATCATCTGAAATTTTTTCAGAATCTCCATCACTCTAGTTACTTCAAAAAGTTAATTTAAGAAATATCCCAATGATTTGAACAGGAAACAAGGGAAGAAATGGCTGCCTTATGAATCAGAGCTAAATCCATATAAATAAGGAGGACAAAGATTGAAAAGATGATTCTGTACTCTCTTTTTTTTTTTCGTTTAAGAGAGATGATGATTCACAGTACCAAACACCTCCCAGTCCTATTTTAGCCCCAGTCCAAACCACAAATTTCAGAAACTAAGAGAGAGAAGAAATATCCAAATATAAGTATTTTCAAGGGCGCCTAAAAAACCTCTCTACACACACACACACATATGACTGTAAACAATTGAATATTAACCAATTAACTAAATGGAAATACAGTGTCACCTCTCTGGAAGTGATAAGCAAAGTGTGACAGCAGTTGCATGCTGTGAAAAGATAGCAAAATTAGTCCCACTGTCAACTTCTGATACACCCAGCGGAAAAGCTTGACCTGGAAAAGTTTTCCATGATGGACTGGTCTCTGACATTTGGGGGGCCTCGTCCTATAATCACAAATGGTGAACACATGAAAACGTTGAATGCTCCCATTCCGGTATGGTAAGAAAAAGGAGATAAGGGAAGAAATCATTGATCATTGTCTTGATCTGACATTTAGATGGAAACCACCACTGAATGGTAGAGGTCTTATGGCGTTTGTGAACGTAATTAATTATGTCTACAGTTTCTTACATAATCTGGAAGTTTCAGTCAGAAAATAAATAAGGTAAAACATATGATCCTACATGATAAGAATTACCTCAAGTACGCGTTCTTGAGCACGCTGACCGTAAACATTAGCTGTTCTATGCTTGACACAATCCTGGGTCTAACCTATGCCAAAGTCCAACCATATAATCAATAACAGTGAAAAACTAAATTATGAAGGTTGATTTCATTGCATTATAGAAAGATAAACATGCCTTCGCAATTCCTTGCTGATTGCTACCCGATACTTGTTTAATCAACTTCAATCTAATAAAACATTAACAAACAAATCAACAATAACCCAATTGGTTCTTCACAAATCAAAATAGCACCATAACATCAAACTAGTCATTCCAGCTTAGAAGACAACACCATGTCCTATCATAAATTATCACTATACAGTATACTACTAAAATACTGGGAGTTTCACTGCTGCAAATACATTTTGGTAGAATTCCATGATATTTTTAAACTTGAAAGTTGAAAGTACTCAATTTTATTAAGTTAAAACAAAAACCCACCAAATTTTATTCCTTAAAATGGACTCCAAAAACTTAAAAAGGAACAGAAATGGAAATCCAAACCATTAAACTGAAAATTCAATCATGTGCATCATTAAGAACCTGTTAGACTACAATGAGAGGAAACAATACACAAAAGGAAGAAAACAGAGATGTAGAGAAAAATTACCCCATGTCAAGGACAGGAGAAGCTACAGTACATGAAGAGCCATTGTGAGAAGAGAAGGGTGATGCAAAGAGAGGGAACTTAGCGACATGTGAATCGTACCAATGTGGGGTTCGAAGCATTTTGTGATCTTTGTGGACTGATGATGATAAAAGTTCTGAAATTCTGAAAGTATATTGAACCCAAAGGGAATCCAATTCCAGAGAAAGATGGTGGCTTGAGAAAGGAAGAACCAAAAAGGGAGGACCCTTAAGCGTTTTTTCAGCTACATGGAATGGAAGCTGGAAGTGGAAGAGTGGAAAGTCTGGAAGCGAGAGTGAGAGTTTGTACTTTTACGCTTTCTGGTTTATGTGGAGTGTATGGGGATCAACTACAACTACCAAGTGCCTTTTCATGTCTGCCACGTGAACGGATGCGAGAGAGTTGGATCAAGTTTGATGCTGCGCGGGACACGTGTTTCATAATCTTTTATTTAAGATATCACATTCCCTCGTCGATCTGGTTCGATCGACGGCCCTGCCACTGTGATTTGATGGGTCTTTCTTCTTAATATATTCTTGTTTGTTTGTGCTGATTAGCTAGTAATGCGATTGAAAAATTATTTACCGACACCAAGGAATTTGGATTTGTGACATCTTTTCACGTTATAAAGAGAATTATTGAACTGCTTAATGCTAGAAATTCCCAAACAAATCTAAAAAGTAGGGATACCAAAAAGGTGTCACCTTTCATTTATTCACATTGTCTCTCTCTCTCTCTCTCTCTCTCTCTCTCTCTCTTAACCTCATTTATGTCCAAGTAATATCCTATCATTTCATTTGATGACTAAAATTAAAAAGCTTTCCCTCATGCGTAATGATGTAATCATTAAGCTAGAGAGGTTAGAATGAGGGAATCCTTAATAGCCATCCAATCCAATACAGAGTTATTATTGGACGGTTGGATTGAACCCATCATTGTAACCCCTCAACATAGCTCCTCATTATAGAAGCTCCCTCATCAAGCACTAAAACATTATTCTTTCGAATTGGCTAATCATCAATTGAAGCCTAACATATAATCATCCTCATCTTCTTTGATGCATGGCATAATGGATCAATGGCAAGGCAATCGAGAGCAAAAACGAAACATGTAGCTCAAGCTCATTGTCTACAAAACGCAGTTTAGCGTGGGATGTCAATCTTTTAGAGTTCAAACTATAGAACCTCCATAGAAGACAATTGATCATGTTACGGGAAGAACAGAACACCATGTTCTTGGAAGAGGACTCAGACCTTACTCACTTGACAATACCTTTTTGCAGGAAATTGAAGCCATCCAGAAAAACATAAGAAAATAATAAAAACAAAAAAAGATGCTAAATCGTATGAATCTTGAGTTGAACTATTACAAACTATAAATCACCCTAGAAATAACCTTAAGAAACAATTTTTCTGCTTAATTGTGATATTTCCAAAATAAACAAAACATACAGCCTGGTATTATTTGGTGTTACTTTCAAGCATAACAATAAAATAAATACATTTATTTCTTCCACGAATTCATCCAAATAAATGAACATTTTTCCAACCATAATTAGCTAACATCAATTTTCCATTTCCGCCCCACTTGAAAGAGAGGTCCACGGAACAACTTCTTCAAAAAATAAAAAAGGAAAAGACATCCTTCATCAATTTTCACCACATCATTTCGTCTACAAGTGTGACTCGTGTGAACTTATCACAGTGAAAAACTCACATAAGAAGTCGAGAGCAATTTTACCACACAATGCCTTTTTCTTTTCTTTCCTCAAGAATGTTTTCATGTATTAATGAAAATTGCAGAAATAAATGTGCATCATTTTTTATCCCCACCTCCCTAAAAGAACAAAGAATAAAGGAAAGTAAAATGAAACAAAAGTGTGTATTGTTTAATTGGTGGGCATAAATCACCAGGATCTAAGCACCATGTCCACTTAAGTGTATATTTAAGCAAAACCATATATTATTTTCACTGTAGTTACAAACCCGGGGTGTATCCATAATCTGACAAAGTTTTGTACGAAAACGCCTTCCTGCATTAATATAACAGGTATCAAGCAAGTGAAATTATAATAGAAACAAAAAGACAATAGACCTAGGAAAGGCGGATTTATGAGACGTAATAAAATATGAACCAATATTGGGCAAAGCAAAAGGGGAAAACTTACAGAGGTAGTCAGTTTCAGAAAGGAAAACCTTTCCAGTCAGTACTATTTCATAGACAGAAAATAATGTTTTCAGATGCTGAACTCAAGAGCTTTGCACTTGATGACAGCAAAGAATTTTAATTTAATCTTTCTTTTTTTCAAATGAGGGCCCATGCACTTCAACATAAACAAGTGTCTCACAAAGTCTGCAAATAAATTTGAGGGGCGATACAATCAGATGTTCTTACCTCATCACCAAACTACTCAGTTTAGGTCTTTTACTAGGCAGCTAAAGAGAGCCAGAACATGGAATCAGGAAACTAATTTTAACTTCTTTTAAAAAGAAAAAACAAAAAATGATCCTTGTCAAAGCAATCCAAGTAGATTGAAGATAAATCAGATTTGACTACTGAAGCTGTCATTTTGTCCCAAAAGAAAAATAAAATAAAAAAGAAAAAAAACGTAATTTAAGGTTTGAAAATAAAATCGTGATTCTACAAGAATACTAACTACACAGGTCATTTGTGACAGTTATGTCAAGCACAATCAGGAATTAAAGAGATACCTGCAGAAAATTTTATTTTATTTTATTGGAACTCATCTGCAAAGATTACTAGTCATTTAATTAATTAAATTAATCAATAAGAAACTCCTGGTATTTACCTTTGAACAAAGCTGGAGCTGATGTGCATTGACCAACCTCAAATATGGGCAGACGAGCCAACTAATCAGAATAAAACAAGCATGAAGGACATGACAATTCCTAATTGTTACTCACTAGTAACGTGATGAATTCTTCTATATACGCCATCCAAGCAAGATTCTATCATGAAGTCCTACTTTGTTGAATAACTGCAGAGGCAGCTGCTGCCTCTGCTATTAATGAGACTGGTTGACGAGCCTGTAGACAAGCACCTATCTCGAAGGGGTGCAACTCAGAGCCATCAAAAACAAGATTAACACCAGGAAGGACTACTTCTCTGCTGTCAGCTTCTTCTTGCTCAACTTTTGTAGTGCTAACTGGAGGGGCTTCTTCAACAGGCCTTGTGGCAGCCTCATAAACAGGAGATAGAGCATATGATCTAAATACCAGTAAATACAAAGGGGTTAGAGCAAGTTCTGTGAATACCATCATATACAAAGAAGCTAGAGCATATGATCTGAACAGCAGTAATTAAGAATTTAAAGCAAACAAATTGAACACAATCATATACAAAGAAGATAGAGACTATCATCTGAATACTATTAATAAACAAGTAGATAATTTATTATTCCTTATAAGGGTAAATCCATTACTTTTAAGAGACTTGTAAGTGAGAAGCATCTATGTGTCCAAAAAAAAACACAAACGTAAAAATGCATTATCCAGTGAAAGTTACATTGTTCATATAGTAAATACTGTAAAAACAAAAATCTGGTAGAAATAGTAAACAAACAGATGTTAGGGAAAGGAAATGGGATGCAAAAGGAGAATAGAGAAGCTTGACATAGACCTTAGAATGCTTCCATCAAAGCTCAAAACTTCAGTTCGGGAACGATGTCGGTTAGCAAGTTTGAGTCTCTGATGCTCACTCGAGGCTCCTGAAATGGGAGAAGAAGAGTCGACAAGTGGATTCCACCTTCCACTTGCATAATTCATGAGATGTCGTGAAAAGTCCTTTGATTGCTCTTTCTGGTAAAGAAGTTTAGCAGCAGGACCTGTTGCTTGGTACTCTGCACAAACATCACGCAACCTTTTCCGTAAGCTTTGCATCGCATCGTGATGTTCAGTGAGTAAATCTTTTTGAAGTAATTGCGATGAGACCACTCTTTTACATATATTATTGCATAATTTTGGACTAAACAGTGGCATCCCAAATTCAACACTCAACGGGACCCATTCAAACTTCTCATCATCAGGTGCAAAGTGGTCTGAATCTCTTTCTTTAAAAAGTTTCAACAAGCGAATATAGCCAACTGTCCACAACTCTATCTTACTTGTCAAATCAACTAACAGAGAATTCAGTTTTGAACTTTCCTTCTCGCACATGTCCAATTCCTTCCCTATGCAAGCAACTGAACCATCAGAGTTCTTTAGGGGTAATGGAATATCCATAGTGATGATTCTTCCAGATTCATCAAGGTCATACTTACTGAGGGGCTGCACTAGTACAGCAGAGTATTTAAGAAGTGAATTTAAACAATGTAAAAGTATGCTTCCCTTTACCAGATTTCCTTCAAACTTGCCTCCCAAACCTCCAATTGTAGAACCATCCCAAGACCACAAAAGGGCCTTCTCACAACCAGCCAGTGGGGCAGGAAGCAAGCGTAAACATTGTCCTTTCATCAGAATAACTGATAGAGGTCCACAGGCCACAGTTGAGTACAACACTAATTTCATCCAAGGTGTCATGCATGAATAAGAGGGAGGACCAAAATTAAAAGGACCTGCTGGTCCAGGAAGTACTGACGAAGGTGGAAGAGGAATCATAGACACAACAATATCATAGTCACGACGAAACAACCGATCTAAAGTTGCTGGTGCAAGAGACGCCAAGCTTTCACAGCGAAGGATATCCACTCGGAATTTATTTTTCCTCTTTAACATTTCTTTTCCAACATCTGACCCTTCATCACGCACCTCTTTCTCATTACTCTGCAGATTCAAGTCTGATTTAGGGACTTCAGTTAAGCTGGTGCTATCTTCTGATGAAGTACCAATTACTATTTCATCACTTCCATCACCAACAGGTTCAGCCAAAACAGAACCTTCCTGGGGCATCCCTGATTTCACAGAAACATCATCATCGAACCCAACTTCTTGCCCAGTCAAGTGTCCTGATGTTTCAGTCAAAGTTACATCAGCTATGAGTGTGGCCTCATCGTTGTTTGAAGCTATCATATCCATGTTATTGCAAACTTCATCTGTTTTCACATCAGTTGCAACTCCTCCCGATTGAAGGCATTCCAGAACACAACGGAGGCTAAATGCATGATTTGCAAATTCCTGTAGTTCTCCTTCAAATTTTGTTCCCTCTAGCGTACTCAGATCCTTGCAAAGATCCGTAATACTAGCATGACCCAACTTTCCCGCTTCATAAAGTGTTACAGCATGAGATTTCAAACCTAGAAGAAAATATGAGAAAACAAAATAAATATAAGACTCATGTAAAAGATTCAAGTTTGAAACAATTGCAGAATGCTGCTAAAATGTTCAAGCATCAATCTGAATAGTGTATAAATACTTCTAGGAAGCTGATCGAGCAAAAATTATAGTTAAGTTCCAGAAAGCCTGTCTCCCCATGTGTAAGCAGGTTCTGGGAGAAGTCTATATCACTTCCTAACTTAAGCACAGTCCATCTAAAGGAGAATAACCTCCACCTCTTTTGCTTGAGAAGCCGACCCTTTTTGCACATACAGATGGAGCTTGTGAAAGACTATCACCTCTATGGTAATTTTTCAATAAAGTTTAGGACACCAAAAAAAAAGATTTTGTGAAAGTTGTAGTGCCACTGCAAGGTAAACCAGTACATAAAAGAGAAATAGTAAGAGGCACTGTAGCGACTGATAGCTCCTATGGAACTGGTAGAGCATCTGTAAAGAAGAGGTTCTAGATCATATTCTCGTTATTTTATGTATTTGTGGCCTACTGCATCCAATATGCCGGTACTTCTTCTAGACATTGATATTTGTCTTAAGGTAAAGTTTCAATAACAACTGCAGATACAAGCCTCCTTATCTATTTCATCCAAGTGACTAATATGTCAGCAAGATTCAGGTTGCAGATCAGAAGTTGATGATATGCAACATAATAAACAAATTTTGCCTTCAGAAGAAGAAACAAACCTGGTGAAACAGACCCCATCATAAGATAGGATGTTATGTTAGCATCAACAACAAACGCAACGCGATCATATGAAGAACTTAGGCCATAGTTTTCTGTCCCTGAAACATCTCCTTGTAGACTAGCATCACCATCAGCAAACATATTTGCTGAGCTTATACTACGACGAGAAGCATCTTCATCACTGAGACTGTTTCTAGGAGATCCAGGTAAACTTGTATCTCGAAGAACAGATGCTGGATCAAATACTTTTACTGCCCATCCCAATCGACATGCAAAAGACGCAGCAGCCTGCAGTTGTGCAAGGTCAGCCTGTAATGTTGTTGCCAGTTCGGCAACAGTTGCATGCTCGCTTGAAACAACGAAAACTGCATATAGCAACCTGAATAATAGAATTTAGAGTATTAAGATCCTGGTTTCACAGCCAGTAAACAAAATTCAAATAACAAATTGACAATTAAAAGGCATCTTCGTACTAAACAACTGCCTTACTCCTCTATAGGATCTTCGTAAGATTGCTCCCTGTTGGAAACAAACCCTTCAAGCCTGGAAACTGGACCACAAAAATTGTTAATATTTCATCTAGTACTTGTAAAAATGTTGGTAAAACTTGAATTAGATTTGGTCAAAATTTTGGGCTTCACCAAGTACTTGTAAAGATAAAACGTAAGTATCGGAGAAGTGCGGGATTTATATGAACTTCATACAGACACAACAATTAGTATATATGATTGTAAAGTGACTCGAAAAACGAAGAATATAATGGCAACACAAAATTTAAAAGTAAAAAATCAAAATAAAAAAAAGTTGATCCATGACCACAAACCATCGGTGTATGTTTCAGAAGGTAAAAGTGTTTGAAACAGGGGACTCAAAAGCATTTGAAACAAGGCAGTAAACAAAGATAAAATCAGAGAGGCTAGAATTTGCAAGTCAACTGTTCATCCATAAAACTGACCTTTGAAACGATCATCAGGATAAACAGGGACATCAAAGTATATTAATCCTCGTTGGTGAAGACCCTTAACAATATCAGGATCGAACAGGATATATGAATTTGCTTCCTCTTTACATATTTTATCTATTGTTGCCATTTCTTCCTCCGAGAGTTTCTACAAAGACAGTGAGTTACTGTAAGGTCGGCCAAAAAGCACATCACCAGTGTTATTTGCTGTTTGGCAATTTTTCAATAGGATGACACTGTTAAGAATTCAGTGTAATTTGGGTTCTCAAATCTCACCTTAAATTCTTCCAGTGTGAAATTCACAAGACAAATTCCCCACCATGGATCAATTGCAAAATCCACGGGTTGTGTAGGTAAAAGTTCTTTTGCAATTGACTTGTTGAGCTTCCACATAATTTTCTGGATAGCTCAATATAAAGTAAACAACAGGTAAGACAATACAAAGTTACCCTTTATAAAGTAAGCTTAACCATGGCCTTAAGGCAATCTTGAAGGTAAAGGATTTGCATTTCCATCATAAGGTTATATAACAGAATCCAAGAAGCAGTATGTCTAGCATAAATAGGACTTAAATTACCAGCTATAGTTGCTCTAAAATATGCCAAAGAATTCATAAATTTTGACTTTGTATGGAATCTTTTCCAGATATTTGTTAGAAAACCATGATACCTTCTATGGGTATCTAGGTAGCCATGCAATATTTGTATCCACATACCAGGTATGCGTGCACCTTAATGTGGCCCATAAACAAGTAAATGATCCATAAAGAAACAAGCAAATTTGATTAATACCTTAGATCTGCACTTATTCATTATATCAATAAATTCGTTTCTCCCTATCCCTGTAAGCCGCAAGGCATCTGCAGCGCTAAAATTGGGGATGCTGTCATAAGGTTGTTCTGCAAATAATGTGATAAGCATGAGAATGAGGATAAGCTGCTAAAAGTATATGTGAGTGTCTCAATGCATAATTTGTTTACAGGATAGAAACTCTTAATGTAATTGTTCAGAATCTCTTTTCTTTTCCTTTCTTTTTTTTTCAATTCAATGTAATTGAAGGGTATATTCACAGTGAAATCCTGGACTTCTAATAAGAAAATATATTAATGTTTTGTTGCAACTTTTACCCACATACCATGCAATCGCCCCTAAGAACCTTTCATGCTTTCAACGTATCTTAACTCATCCACTGCATTTTTTAGATCTCTACTGCAATAATTTCCTGACAACTTTCCCTCATCTGATTCCCTATGAGGCACAGATACTCCCCCAGATACTTTCCTGATACGTATCCAATACCTCAAATCCTAGTTACTAAAGTAATACCATTCCTTTCATATACCTATACAATTACATATACACAGACTTGTGATTTAATAAGCGCCAGCACTATCCAACCTAAAACAAGTGAACAAACAATCTTAATACACATTTAAGCAGCATCTTCCAGCCGAATTCACACCCTTACAACAAGTTTCTGCTTTTAATTTTCCAACTTAGAAGCTAAAAAGTACAACCAGTATGCATTAAAAAGGACCTATATACTTGTGTTAGGTTTGAACCTCAGGCCTCCAATAATTTAAGTTGATGCTACATAAGCAGCACAGGCAGGATGTTAAATCTTCGAAAGCCCTATTAGAGAATTATTTATAGTTCCAATACAAACTTATACGCATCGTTCCTCCTGCAGACCGAGTCCGCAAACTATACCTTCAATCAGACAATTATTCTAACTAATAAGAGTGTTACAAATTGAAAAATAGCTAACATGCCTACTTTCTAAGAGAAACTTTCAAACTAATCACAGTAAGAACAGTAAAATAGCAGCAGATTTCAACATATGCAGAAAGGATTTGGTAAATTACCATTTTTCATAACTTCAAAATCATATCACAGTAATATCTGAAAGGCGATACCCGCATTACACGGCAAACATACTCCGCAAGGTGATAGGGAAATAGCTGCAAGTAACAAAATTAACATGTATTGCTTAGATGACATAAGAAATCTATATCTGAAGTATAAGATGACATAAGGCTGTAAGTCAAAAAAGCTGTATTACTTAGATGGCTGAATTCACTTCATATGAAAATGAAAGGATGAAGCTAAGCAGCGATGTCACCCTAGTTGTTCAACAAGAACAATCTTACCAATTCACGGTGTTATATCCCAAATACAGTTTTACCAAATTAAATGCAAAACAGTAAGAACAGAGTATGAATATTAAAAATGTTCAGCTTCTCCAGTTGGCCTCCAAAAAACTAAAGTTAGCGTACTTCTTTCCTTATCAAGAAGAAAGAGGCTTCCCATAGAATGTAAACTATCAATGCACTGCAACACAGACTAATTCAAGGAAAGGACTTCTGATGAACTTCCCAAGTAAGAAACGAACCGCTAAATTCTTTCTCAAGTACCGCATCATGTCTTCATAATATTCACTTTCTTTGCATACTTTTCGAGCAAAACAAGTGTTCCATGGGAGTCTTTTCTTTATGCAATGCTCAATTACCCTGCACGGAGTTAGCATATTCAAACCAATATCAGAAACCAAGGATGAAACCCCATTAATCTAACTTTTATCTGTCTTCTAAGACATTATTCAAAACTTTTCAATGAAGCATGAATTTAGGTCCTTCCATTTCCAGTACATAAAATTAAACCATGAAACTGAATATCGATCAATTCACAGTCCGAAGTACTTAACCACCCTCTATAGACATTTCTTTGAGAAGTAGAACTAAACAAATAAAGAGAGCAGTGGCAAAAACAACAGCTAGTCTAACCTTCTATGCCATTCTTCTTTCGAAGACAATGTCACTTGAAGCCGTTTCGGGAGATTCTCCCACTGACATTCTTCTTTGATTGCTTTTAGTAACAACTGTTCCTCGATCGTCGCTGGAGCGTGCTGCATTTCCACTCAATTTCCTAATCAAGTGAAAATTAATCACTAACATATTCAAACAATTCAAATCATCAACACCCTGCCATACCATGCAATAAACCCCAAACTATAATAAACAAACAAATAAAAAATAGATCCAGGAAAATCAAATTCAGCTATTTTTCACAAATTAAGTTGTTTTTTAAGAATTTCTTAACATCATGCTGTTGAAATCAACAATGGCGACAATAAGTAGAACAAGTCGGTATTTGGTAAACATAAAACGAATCACATTTCGGAGCTTCGGATTAGAGAATGGAAATTAGTAATGCCAGTGACGGATTAGTGGATTCTAAAAGTGAATTAACTGAAAGATGAAGATTGTAGGTACCCGATGAAGATGACTAAGGTGGATTAGTAAAACTAGGGTTTCAATTTGCTGCGTTCAGCTGTGAAGATCTGAGGAAATTGCGATGTCCAATTTTCTGAAATTTCATTCTCCATTATGTCAGATATGACCTGTTTTCATTACTGTGGTGGTTACTCACGTTGGGTTACCGACCCGGAACAGTTGACCCGCATTTCATGTCTCCCTACGCTGGAAATGAATGTTGGGCTGATGCGGGTCGGGCCAATGTCTGGTTTTCTTTTTCTACAGAAACGCAGCACGGCGTCGTATTGCGCATGTGAAGTAATCATGCAACTCTAATTTCTATGTAAAAAAGGAAAATTAAACTTTATGCATTCCCTTGCTTTTTAGTTGTCAATTAGCACGTGTCATTTTATAATTGATTCTTATAAAAAACAAACAAACAAACAAACAAATAGGAAAATGTTAACTATTATTATATTAAACTATTTAAATAATTTATTTAAGATTAAGGTTATTATAGTTAGTACAAGAGTTGGCAATGGGGCGAGGACTAGGTCGGCTTTGCCTCCTCCATCCCCTCCCTATATAATTTTGAACAACAATGAAATTTTAGAAACTCAATTGATTTCAATTTCGATAAATACCACCTTACATGAAATCAATATCATTTTTACTTATATAGTTTAGTAAACAACATCAAATCAATATTTTGACTCATCTTTAATCCAATTTCTCATCACCCCTTACTATAATATTATGAGGGACATAAATTTTCCGATCATTTGAATGGACCTTTGCACCCTAAAACCAAGAAGAAAATACGTTCAAAATATTTGAACACAATGGTGTGGTGTGAGTCAAAAAAACATTTTATGCACAAGTCTTTGCAAAAGTAGTCTAAGCAAATAGTAGGGTTCTTAATTCAATGAACAATGACCTTCTCCATGAGATGGATGTTAACTTAGTTGATTTATTGTCATGAGAGACAAATTATCGTGCGTTGATTTGGTATATTAAGACCTGTTAGTACACACATCAAGTCAATTACTTGTTTAACTTAGGAACATAGGCTAATCACTTAATTTGGATATGTGTGATCTTTGGTTCACTAGTCTTGATGGATATGGAAATATGTGATTGTAACTAACTTATCGGATGCTTATTGACCAAGAATGGATCCTATTGGACTTCCCTTAGTTAGTCGTGTTTGACCTTTTACCTTTCTAGGCTTTTGGACATGTGATGGGCCTAAGCCTCACTTTGCCCTAGTAAGGGAAGCATTCTTTGCCACTTGAGAAAAACTTAGTTGCAACAGGAATAGTATTATTTTGCTATCCCAACTAATAATGACATGCCAAGTGGAAGTGTTATCACGTTTGCCATAGCATCTTTGGCCACATGATTCGATATCATCTGCACCTAATTAATGCTTAATTAGGCTAGGATTTTCTTTCCCGCTCATACCCAAAGGACAATTTTGTTCGTTTGGACCGGTTTACATCCATGTATTATTGGGGCTTTAATAACTACTTCACATATTCCATAGGAGAGATGAGAAGTTGAAAATTGGCTAGTGAAGACTTTTTTTTATTTTTTTTATTTGCATTGAAAATAATCAGATCTTTAACCTATTAGAATCCTCACTCATTTATCCACCCTACTCGAATATTTGACCCAACGTGAACCCCATACGAAATTCAAAATCCAAACACCAAAAACACTTATCATAGCGTTATTGGCCACATGATTCAACATCATATGCACCTAATTAATGGCTAATTAGGTGAGGATTTTCTTTCCTGCTCATACCCAATGGACAATTTTGTTCCTTTGGACTGGTTTATGTCCAAGTATTAATGGGGCTTGAATAATTGCTTCCATATATTCCATAGGAAATAAGAGAAGTTGAAAATTTTCTAATGAAGAAAAAAATAATAATTTTGATTTTGTTTGAAAATAATCGATCTTTAACCTATTAGAATCCCCACTCATTTATCCACCCTAACAGAATATTTGACCCAATGTAAACCTAATACGAAATCCAAAATCCAAACACCAAAAACGTTCTTAAAATGAGGAAAAGCTCTTTAAATATACTCTTCAATGTTTAACTAACCAAATGCATTTGGTAAAATCTACATCAAGGTGCACTCAATTAACTAGGGTTAGGTCCAGTTATATAGTACTAACCGCATATTGAGATTGAAATTCTAATCGTAAAATCCTAGGTTGAGTTATGTGAGTATCTAAACCTAATCGAATCATGAGTGCCCCATAGTAGTCTTGTGGTTAGGGTTTGAGACTTGGATTTAGTGTTTGGAGGCTTAAATCCATTTTGGAATACTAAAATAATTTTATAATAATTGAAACTCTTTCTAAAACATATTAGGAAATTAAAAACAAATTTTAAAATACTTAAATATAATTAATTAGTATTTATTAAGTAATTTATGAAATTAATTAAAATACTTAAATACAAATTACTCATTAAATAAAGAATAATTAAAACATAAATAATTATTATTATAATTAAATAAGGCTAAGATATTACTTAATTGGAAATATTAAGCTAAACAAACAAATTTTGTATAAAAAAATTAAAAAACAAAGTCCATAAAAATAATTAATTAGTATTAATTAAGTAATTTATGAAATTAGTAAAATATGTAAATACTAATCATTCACTAAAGAAATAAAAATTAAAAGATAATTACGAATTTAAGTAATTCAAAAAGGCTAAGATATAACTTAACGGTATAGCCGAACGGCTATACTGTTTGAATATTCAAATATATTTATAGAGTATAGCCGTGCGGCTATACTTTTAAAATATTAGTATATATTTAACACGTATAGCCGAGGGGCTATACTTTTAAAATATTCGTGTATAGCCGCCCGGCTATACTCCTTAAATATATCGTATTGCCCATATAGCCATTCGGCGATACTATTTTTAAGAAAAGAACCCGGCCCTTTTTTTCTACGGGTATAGCCGACCGGCAATACTATTCATTTTGATTAACGAGTATAGCCACCCAGCTATACCACTAATTGAAAAAAATTTAAAAACCACAGCAGTATAGCCGCCCGGCTATACGCTATATATTCTGAAAATTTTGTAAATTAGAGAAATACGTATGTAAGTGTACAATATGTGTATTGTATGTTTGAATTTTAAAAAACATGTATTTTATCGAGTATTTAAGACGTGTAAAATATTTAAAATATTACTATATATTTAAAGAGTATAGCCACGTGGCGATACAATTTATTGAAAATAAAAATAAGCAAGGGCCTCAGTATAGCCGCCCGGCTATATTATTTGATTTATGAAAAGATAAAGAAATGACCCGTCTTTCGCCTGGGTGGCACTAGGAGTATAGCCGGCCGGCGGAACTTTTAAAATATTCAAATATATTTGAAATGTATAGCCACCGGCTATACAACTCATTAAAAAAATTTAAAAAAGTGACCCCAGTATTACCGCGCGGCTATACTATTTGTTTGTTAAAAAATTAAAAGGGGTCCCGGGTATAGCCGACCGGCTATACTATTTATCTATCTTTTAAAAAAGATACGAGTGAAAGTTGAACGAGTACTTGATTGTTTAAGGACACCATACCAATTTCATAAACTTAAAGACATATTAAACGACTACGTCCACATTAAATTGGCCAAGACTAAGCTGCAGCCACAGCTTCTGCAGGCTTTGCTTCAGGCTTTGTTGGTGCTTCTGCTTCCCAATAGGCAGTCTTCTTGCCAGTTTTGGAAACGGTTTGAAGGACAAATTGCTTTTCACCGTCACTTTCTGTGCATCAAAATCAATGTCATATGATTCTACGCCTGAAGATGATGAGAAAGAACATATCCCATCATTATCAAGATAATATGAAATCAACAAAGCATGGACTCTACTATTCTTATAGTATATTACAAACACTTAAAGAAGCAAAGTCTCAGAGAAGAAGAAGAGCAAGACAATTGAACTGGATAAATGCAGGAGCTTTCAACAAACCTTCAAGTTTTCCAAGAACCTTTTCACGGCACCAACACAGCCTTGGCATGACATACCAACCTTGAAGACTGTAGTCTGCACCAAAAACAGATCCAAAATTGAATTACGAATAATAGAGAAAACAGAAATCCAACATATGCCAACTTCACAGTATCAAACTTATTTTAAAATATGGGCATTCTCATGAAAATTACAAACTCTCCAATCACTTTCGGAGATGTCCTCCACTTCAAGACATAATCAATTTCTGTTCTTTCTCTCAATTTATGTAGTTTATTCAAAAAACACATCCCAAAACAGAACAAAACAAATTCATACCATAATAGATTCTTGAAGGTGCAGAATGCTTTCAAGTGGCCCGAATGTTCCTTTATATTACATAAAAAATTCCTATAAAACCAAGAGACCATTGAACCAAATAGCTGTGTTTATTCAATTGTTCTTGGTCAGAATAAAAACCTAACTCAGTGATAAAATTCAATAAGCAAAAGAAAAACTTCAAAATCATTGTAGCCTGGACAAGCTTCAAGCTTCAAGCATAATATTCCTCAACCCAAAATTTTAGTTTAAAAAGTTTTTGTACAATCCAACTGAAATAACATTCTCTACAAGATGCAGAAAGAGGAGAGAGGAGAGAGGGGAATTAGGCCAGATGAGGTCGATGGTTGATGTGGATTTTCTCTGATGTTTTGCAGAAGGAGGAAGAAGAGAAGAAGACCAGAGAGAAGAAGATTTGAGAGAGCTCAGATCAGAACAGAACGACAAAAAAACAAAGTGAAATAGGGGCGATACGCGCGCAATAGGGAGGTTTTAGAGGGGATGTTTTTTAATGAGTTTCAAAAATTGGGACATTATTGAATAAAACATTGTTTCCGGGGACATAGCCACCAATTTCCCAAAATTCAATCCTATATAAAACCGAGAATCCCCTAGTCCTCGGCTTTCCAAGAGTGGAAACCAAACATAACAGAACACAACACAAAGGCTTCGTAGCCGCCAGCGGCGGCACACACAAAACTCAACCGCCACCCACTCTTCTTCATTGAATCATTGGCTCATATTACAACCTCCTCCTCCTTCTTCTTCTCTTTGCCTTTGCTTTTTACATATATTATAGTTTGTAGTCTGTAAACGCAGGTTTTGGCATACAGGCTAAGGCTGCTGCAGCATAGATAAACTTTTTCGAATGGCACTTCGTTTTGAGGTAGGGTTTTGAACTCTAGGCTAAACTTTCTCATGCCAATATATATATTTTTTATTTTGTTCTTATTTTTGCATAAGAATATGCATGAGAGATTCATAAGCTCATTAACCAATGGAGTGTTTATGTTTATGTTTTCCTTTTTTTGGGGTTTTTTTTTTATGTTTACTGATATGGCAAGTTGGTTTTGTGTTTTGTAATTCAGGTTTTAGGTAGGTTTAACCGTGCTCGAGCAGCTAGACTGACCCTCCCTCACTTCGTGTGCCAGACACCTCTTTTCATGCCTGTGGGAACACAAGGTTGTTGCTTTAACTAGCCTACCAAATTCAATCTATACATATAACTATATAGATTATCAGATTCTACCTGTCAAATATCAATGTTATTTGTTTTGGAGAACCACAAGCTCTGTTGCTAATTTGCTTTCAATTCAATTGATGTGGGATATGTGATATGTCAACTTAGGCATTGAGAGAATACGTATTCTTGGGGCTATCTTTAGGTGCTCATGGGTAAGGTTGGCTGGCAGAATCGTGCAAGCGTGCACACTCATTTTGCTTATATTTTATCCAATATTCTATGTGTTGATAACGTTTTCTGGGTTCATATAGATGTTCATGTGCACATGTGTAAAACCATAATGCCCTAGGCTTTGTTGTATTTAGTAATCGATGATATGGATAAGGTTTTCACGGTTTCAGGAACTATAAAAGGGTTGACAACTGAACAGCTTGAAGAGATTGGTTGCCAAATAATACTGGGGAATACATATCATTTGGCACTTCGTCCTACCTCTGAGCTTATTGATGATTTGGGAGGTCTCCACAAATTTATGAACTGGCCAAGAGCATTGCTTACTGATTCTGGTGGCTTTCAGATGGTTATTTTCCCTCAATACAGCACTATATGCTAAATTTGATCAGATTATTGTTGTTTTTCCATTTAAATTGTTTTCATCTCTAGGGGTTTGGTTGATGTCCTTATTGCTTGCATAGACTGCTATTTACATACTTCCACCAAACATGAATTCATGATTTTCTCATTTGGAACTATTTATGCAACAAATCCAACCGATAATTGGGCATTTTGGTGAATTTTCTTGTCCTCAATCCCTCCACCTCCTGCCCATCCATTTTTCATGTTGATTATCCAAGTTGTCGTAATTTGTGTATCTATGCATTCTTACTAGTTAAATTGTAATATATGTTAATAGGGTTAAGCTTTCCCTCATTTAAGTATGCCGCATTTGTCTAGGAGGCAAGGGAACAAGTCTACTGTATCTACTGTCCCAGTGACTTGCTTTCTTACCGCATTCGATTACTAACATACTAAATGCCATATCAAATATGGTGTGCTAACGGTGATGTGGTTACTAACCAGCTTACTTTCTAATATATGCTAAGGTAGAAGTTAAAGGGGTTTTCTTTCAGAACTTCTAGCCTAATTTTGATAATTATTTTCAAGCTTCGATTGATGAACTCATGCTATTGACTTTGTGGTTGTTTTGTTGGTTAGTTCCTTGCATGGACATTGTTTTTCTGGTTTAATAATAATACATCTAGTTAAATCTTAAAATTCATTTTGTTAATGTTTTTCAGGTTTCATTATTGCATTTAGCTGACATCACTGAAGAGGGTGTAACATTTCAGGTAATATCTTATTTTGGCAACGCATATTGTTGTTTAGGTGTTGTTGAATCGTTATTGTTTAGTTCGCCTCATGTTGAGCTATTATTCGTCACCGGATGAAGCTCTGGAAAATTTTCAACATCACAAACAAGTTGTCTCCAATACTCTTCTTCTATGAAATAAGGGAAAAAGATTAAAGCACCAAATTTGGTTAAGTTGAAATAAAAGTAGGAATCGATGGACATGGAAAGGCTGGAAGGGTGACGTGGCTTCATGTTTGATGTGGTGTACTGGAGAGAAGTGAATAGAACAGAAGAGGGGATGGAGATACCTCTATGCTTAATCTGTTTTGTCCTTAATTGTTAATCAGTTGACTATTTTGTCCTCATTTTTAAGTGCCTATATGTCATACTCATAATAAACTTCCTAAAGAATTGGGTTTTAGGAAAAGAGAGAGAACTATTTTGTTCAGTCCATGATGCTATAAGGTAGTAAACAGATAAGTGTTACTTTTGGTATCATTTTGTGCTGCCAGTGAACACAATTTATCCTAAGATTATTGTTTCAAAATTTTGAAAGCTGTTGTAATCTAAGCTTTTAAAAAAAAAAATTAGTTTACTTATATCTTTTGATCTCATGTTGACATGGGTGATGTCATTTCTCCTACATCAGTCACCAGTTGATGGGAAGCCAATGCTCTTGACACCTGAAGAGTCAATTCAAATCCAAGTACGTACATCTATTTCATTTCGTTTTTGCTAATCTAGGGGCATTTTTTTTCTGTTAGTTACCGAGGTCTTTGACTGGATTTGTTTGAGTCATACTATTGAGTGCCCCCTACATCAAGATGTTATAACGATGCTGATGTAGCACTGGGAGATATGGAATTATGGAAGAAAGAGAGAGAAAGGAAAGAAAAATGGAGTATCAAAGTCTAAACTCTTAAAACAAAGCCCATTATCTAGGCAAGCCAAAATCTAATTAAAATTTTATAAGTAATAAAAGAATACATTAAAAATATATGTGTTCAGCAAGATAATTGCATAATGGCATTCATAGGAGCAAAATATATGCTCAATGCAGAATGATTAGTTCCTTAGATCTGCACCTCTCTTTTTGTCTAAAAAAAGAATGACTCGTTCCAACTTTTCCTGGTCACTGTAAATTTCCATAATTTATTTGCAATATGAAGTAGTGCACTCATAGCATAGAGCAAAGCTTTCAAGATATTGAGTCCAGATGAAGCATTAATTTTCTGACCATGTGCTTCCCCTCTATCTTCCCTTCTGTACTGTCAATGACTTGTGCAGAACCGAATTGGAGCAGATATTATTATGGCCCTTGATGATGTAGTCAAAACCACCATCACTGGTCCAAGAATTGAGGAGGCCACGTATCGCACTATACGATGGATAGACAGATGTATTGAAGGTAATCTGGGATATGTAGCAGTGATTGTCACTGAAGTTTCTTGAATATATACTTCTAAGTAGATATATGTATGTATGTGTGTGTACTGATATGTAATGAACTCAAGATTTGATAAAGCCATGCTGACAATCTGCCATAAGTGCCTAGATTACGTAGAAGATCATTCCTCAGGCTTTAGAGCTTCGGCTACTGTGCACTTCTAAATTTGTTTGATTAGGTGAAAGCCTGTTTTGAAGGTCCAATAATGGTTAACTAGCGAGTTTCTTACATTTACAACATCAAGATGCCAACTGCTTCATTATGCATATGTATTGAGCTGTTCCTTCTTGCCCTAGATCCCCAAGTCATCCTAAATGGTCCTATAGATTCTTAGATTGGCATATACCTTTCTCCTGTTATTAACTTAGCTTCATTTGGCAACTCCCGTGCATTTCTTATATTTTTTTTATCTTATCAGTTTTAATGCTCTTGAGTTGGCTACTTAGCAACGTTCTTATTGCTTTGACTTTTATAAACAGCTCATAAGAGACCAAATGAGCAGAACTTATTTGGTATTGTACAAGGTGGCTTAGATCCTGTACTAAGGTGAATTTCAATTGAACGTGTAATCTTCCTGCTTTGTGTTGATTGTTTTATGCATTTTTATTGTTCTTCTGCTCCTCATACTAATATCTTTGTAATAACACATTGCTTTATGTCATAACTTGTGGGGAACAGAGATATATGTGTTAGAGGCTTGGTGGATCGGAATTTACCCGGGTATGTGTTTTCTTTTCTGGCTGATTCATTCTAGATTAAACACTTAAAACACTTTATTTAACGCATCAATACTTCATTTTCTAGATTTTGAAAACACTTTATTTAACACATTAATACTTCATTTTCAAGATTTTGAAGTTAACCAGTAAAGATAGTTGTTGGGTTTCAATGTATTTTATAATAAATAGTAGCACACATGAACTGTGATGAATCACTTAGACAATAAGTGTAGCCTATGGCACAAAAACATCATAAATGTGCTCTGCATATTTAAAATTTCTGGTCATTTATATTAGTGTCTTTGAAAGCTAAAGCTTATTTCAATTTTCCCCTTTTAATAGCTGAGACAATACTGCCAGTCATTTATTTTTGGTCCATAGTGTTCTAAAGTGTGGAAGAAAGCATTTAAAACTATCCTTTTCTCCCCTGAAGGGTTAAAACTTAAAACAAGCTTTTCTCTGTATTCCTTAACTTCAAGTTTATTGATTTGTACTCTCTGCAGAAGTTTATTGATTTGTACTCTCTGCAGAATTAGCAACTTGTTTACAGTTCTAATATTCAAAGGGATTTGGAAAGTTTCCACTGAAGGAGTTCAGTTAACAAATTTTACTTCTGTGACAGCTATGCTATTGGTGGTCTTGCTGGTGGTGAAAGTAAGGATTCATTTTGGCGTGTTGTTGCACAGTGCACTGCTTCATTGCCTGAAGAGAAACCACGATATGTTATGGTGCTAGAGACTTACCATTTTAACTAATCTCCTTTAGATCTTTTTTTATTTGTTCTGTCATGATATTTGCTTGCACTTCTTTCAGGGTGTTGGTTATCCACTGGATATTGTAGTTTGCAGTGCTCTAGGTGCTGACATGTATGACTGTGTTTATCCTACACGTACTGCTCGCTTTGGTACAGCTCTTGTACCCGAGGTGATGACTTCAACAATGTGATCTACACTTTTACATCTTTATTGAATATATCTATGCATGCAGGCCATTGGTTAGCACCTCAAGCAGCTAATCTTGAATCATTACATCTATGATTGTAACACTACTTTCATTAGGATGAAAACATTTGAATGATTGTTTATTTATTTTAGTTGCTTACGAGAGTCCCTCCGTGCATGTATGTATTTATCATTTCTTTTTGTGTGAACTACTGTGTACTAAAGATTTTTTATATGAATGGTTATATACATATGCATTAGAAATACACATGTAGTGGCCAAATTTTCTGACACTGCCTCAAAGTTACTAAATTAATCCCATTTCAAAAGAGGGTTTCTTGTATAGTTATCACTTGGAGTAATAAATTTGAAATCACTTTTCTTGCATCAAGTCCTATATTTGAACGCTTGAATGATAAAATTAGATTTCTGATAAAGCCTCATGTCCTTCTTTAGTATTCAACTAGGTTGGCACCTCTGTAAGTTCCAAAACAGTTTGCGATTAATTGTGTTATTTGATCAGGTTATTTGTTTGAACTTTGAACTTCATTTTTCACTCTTGTGTCTTTTTTAATTTGAATGGGGGGAATAATTTATTATCAGATATAAATTTTGGGTTTGCTTCTTCTATCAGCTGCTAAGCTAGTTGTCCTCATTAAATTTGTTGATATACGAATGTCACAAATACGGTTGTTTCTTTCATAGCTTCTCAATCATCTCTGTACTTCATAGTGCTCATACTTGAAATGAGTTGGGGTTTCTTCAAATTTTCCTGTTGATGTTTTATGTTTGCATGCACCTACTGTCCTGCAATATTTATGTGGATGCCTCCATACGGTTTTTATAAAAGGGGGTCCCAATATTCGTTTTATATGTGGATGCATAATTCAACCAGAGGAAAAAGATTCCCTCTCATTTTTGGTGTGATGTTTATATATTTCAGGGAGTGCTCAAACTCAAACACAAAGCGATGGCTGATGATACCCGTCCCATTGATCCTACATGTGATTGTATGGTACGTATAAATGGACTAATTTTTAGCTTGAAATATCAATGCATAAGGTGGTGCAAGGATGTATAACTGCTTCATTCTATCTTCAAATGTAGGTCTGCAAAAATTATACTAGAGCTTACATTCATTGCCTGGTTACAAAAGATGCTATGGGATCTCAGCTTCTGTCATATCACAATTTGTATTACATGTTGAAGGTTCTAACACAAAAATTATTAAATTATTTTCCCTATAATTGTTTTCCTATATATCATATCACCAAAAATCTCTCTTTTTTCCCCTTAAATGCAGCTAAGTAGAAATCTGCACTCATCAATAATCAAGGGAACGTTTCCAGAGTATGTTTGCCTCTGCTTTACCCTTCTCAACCTTAGTCTTGTATTGTTTGTGTGATTATGTGATATACGTGCTGTTATTATTTTTGTTTTTTAACGAAGTTCTTTCCAGAAAAACATGTTGTTATGGGTAACTGTAGGGACTTTATCCTGTTGACAATGCTTTTTCAAGTGATTTCTCACTTGTTCTGGTTGTTACTCATGTAACATTTTGTTATTCTTGTTGCAGGTTTGTACGTGAATTTCTGCAAACCATGGTATTTCCTTTAGATGCCCTTCCTCCTTTTCTCTCTGTGCGTCTGAAGTTCTATTATGGCTGTTTGACCTCTCTCTCTCTCTCTCTCTCTCTCTCTGGGGTGGGGGGGAAATAAATGGTTGTGGTTGGATGGACAGTACTGCAATCTAAATCATCCATATCCACAGTGCACACAACTGTTAACACAATCCAATGTTCATATGAGTGATCTTAAAGGAAAAGGAGAAAACTATTATGCTATTAGAATCTCCTTTGGTCTTCTGCTACATCTTTAAAATAAAAATGTTTGGCCTCAGTCAAATTTGCCTCTTATCATAAATTACTAAATTAGTAAGATCTTCTAGTTGTCTGCTGTGCCATTAGCAACTGGTAGCACTGCCGATAACAAATTTGACTGCCATCGTAAATTAGAGAGATATGTGCCTTAAATGATTCTTTCTTTCCTTTTTGCTGTTGTTTGCTTTGTAAGCTTTTCTATTCTTTAAGGAGCGACTTGGTGCAGTATCTACAACTTAGCTTTGAAATGCTTCACATTCATATTGTCTTGTAGTTTCCGAAAGGTGATGTCCCAGAATGGGTCTGCAATGCCATGGAGGTTGCTGGAATCGATATCTCTTCCTGCTGCACTCCATTTTCATCACCCCAAGATTAGGAAATACGAATGTACACCCAACACAGGTTAGGCTTATGCAAATTTTGACACAAGAGGTTGACATTGAGGAAATGTATACTCGGTAAGGGCAACATAAATTTTTGTTGTCCTTATTTTGTTTCACTAGAAATTATAGGATGATCTTATCCGCCAGTTTTGTCTCTATTGATTGATTAAACACAGGTTTAGCTGCAAGAGATATGATTCTAGAGCCCCATTAAATCTAAGATAGAATATTTGGTTTACGGTATGGGGGAAAGGCATGTATATGCGATAAGAGTGTTATCAATTTTAGGATGATCTTATCCTCCAGTTTTATCAATTTGCTTTAGAATAGGATCCAACAAAGATTATCTTTCGATTTATGTTCCCTGTCTTCACTGCTTGTAACTTAAACAATACAAAATCAAATGCAGTTAACAAATTACCATAGCTTGTATTGTGAAATTTAAAATTCTTCTTTCGTGTACTGTTGTGTGACCCATTTACATAGACACATTGTCAGGTGGATTTATTGCTCAATTTTTTAAATATATGTTTTAAGAATTTCATTTCAGATGTTATATAGTGTTATTCCGTGTCGGACATAGAGTGGAGAGATATATATTTATATATATATATATATTTGTATATAAGTGATATTGAGGAAGGGAGAATTGAACTTAGGACCTCAAGCATAGGTAAATGCTCTTAACTACATGGGCTACAAGCCTCATGCAGAGTAGAGATATTTAAAACACAATAAGGGAAGAAACTTCATATAAATTCTAGATTGAGTTTTCGCTAACTTGACTCTCTGGCATGTTCAAATTGTGAAATGTTGAAATCCAACATTGAAGTTCAAAATAGTGCAAGCACTTTTCAATCCTAGCCTACCCTTTGTAGTCTTTATCCAAACCTCCTTTTCAAACCATCCTTACGATGATTCTATGCCCTTTCGTTTCAACAAATTCGGCTACCCTTTTCTGAAACTCACATATGAGAGCGTGCAAGTAAAAGCTAGCTTCCCTCTACGGTTCATGTTCCTTTCTCACTATTAACTTGTGTTCACCGAAAGAGAAAGATAAAAGTACGAAAACAAAGCAAAGTTATATGCAAAGTTAGGTAAGTGGACAAGAGGCATGGAGACCAAGTGCCCTTCATCTCAAGACCTGTGGTAGAGCCACACAAATACAGTCCCACAAGTAACCTGTTCTTTCTTGTTGGCATGTTAGGGCAACTCCAATCTTGCAAGGCAAACAAAACCAGACTCCTTAAAGGGAAAGGTGAGGTCTATTTGAGCCTTTGATTTTAGCTGTGAAAAAAAACAAAAAAAAACTACCTACACTCCTACCTAAATCCATTGAAACTAAGAGATTGAATGTGATTCCATCTGCTATAAATGGGTGCCTCTATGGCCAGCAAAACTATGAGGAACTATTTTTGAGAAAGTCATGGCTGCCCTCCCGGTCGTTTGGCCTTTATTTTTTTAATTTTTTAATTTTTTAATTTTTTTAATTTTTTTAATTTTTTTAAAGCTATATTGAGGGATGGGCAATTCAAACACAGGATCTCGGATAAACTACTTTTAACCACCTGAGCTACAAGCCTCTTGCTTGCTTATCCTTAATTTTATGAGAAAAATATTTTTTTTCATCCCTACACTTGAGGTAAATGTAGAAATATTTTGAGCGCTGGGTGTGTGCTACCATTGTTGCGTCTTTTAATGGCCTTATGATACTCAGGTTAGCTGTGAATATAGAGGAGCTTCAAGGATGCTTAGGAACAACAAGAACACTACCTTTAGTCATATTTTGAGAGTGAAAAGAACATTACCTGTGAGAGATGTGGGAGTATGAACTTTACCCCTAAATAGAACATGATTCATTCAAATTCCATATTGAATTTGAGTCCTAGGGTGGCAATTTCCGACATGACTCGAAATCCACACTAAAAATTAGTGGGTCAACTCGCACGATTAAATTTTCGGGTCAACTCACTAAAATATTTATATAACCTGTTTATCGAAAATACCTATTTAACTTGCTAAAATACTTATGTGACCTGCCAACCTGCTAAAATACCATGTAACCCGCCAAGCTGCTAACCTGTTTCTTTGTTTATTCATCATTTTTCTAATTGTTTTTAGTTTTTTTAATTGCTACCACTTAGTAGGTCAACTAGATACACGACTCGAAATCCGCATAGGAAATTAGTAGGTCAACTCAACATGACACATTTATTAAATGGATTGGATTTGGGTTGAATATTCTTGACACATATATAATCCGGACATGACACGAATTCGGCCTAACACGACTCATTGTCAGTCTTGTCACTAGCACAACGTATTGTCCCTTGCGTGTTTGGAAGCGGATACAATTGTTTGTATCACATTTATAATAGAAGTAAGACTCACTTGTATAGATGAATGTCGTTTAAAGTTCAGAGATAAGATATCAATGTGGTATGATGAGAAATGCTGTACATTGCTTGATTTCTCTCAACAATTTATGAACGTTCTGCTCGTGTGGATGTATGACATGAATTAATTAAAGTGGTAGGACCAAACTAAATTGTTATTAACGACAATTGTTTAACATCATCAAGTGGTATAAGTTATCTCTACTTATTTTACAAATTGAAAACAAAAATTAATGTACTGAAAGTCCAACTTCCCTTTATGAAAAAAACAGAAAAAGAAAGGGAAATGTTAACACGTGAGAAACGAGAGCCAAATATTGTTCTAAAATTTGAAGCATAGGACAAAAATAGAAAATCCTTTCTTGTCAAAGTGAAAAAAAAGCAATCTTTGCAGGGAGTGAAAAAAATGGTTGAATGCAGCCTCCACTTGGGCAGAGAAAAATGTAACAAAGTGAATCCAGCTTTTTAAAGTCCCATACCGTGACTCAGTATCCTTCATTCAAAAAAGTGAAAAAGGAAAAAAGAATTGTGAGTCAAATCAGACCATTCACATCAATTCAATGTATATATTGCAGCAGAGTGTAGTAAAGCAATGCAATCTAGCTGTGGTTGAGAGTTGCTTCCATCCAGTTGCAGTAAAGTTCTCTCTCTCTCTCTCTCTCTCTCTCTCTCTCTCTCTAGCTAGATATATATATATATGTGTGTGTTGATGATTATATAATGATTAAGTAGGAGAAAGGGGTTTTGTTTATGAGGTGTACCTGGCACTTTTTTTGTTTCTTTGAAGGGCTCTGGTTTTCTGCTACAAACCGTAGTCTTTACAATTTAAAGGCAAGTGAACCTCTAGCTGTTTTGAAGCATAGTCTCACAGCATTTCCCACTTTGGTACTTCAACCAAAAAGCTTTCCTTTGAACCCTCTTTGAGAGCTTGCACAAATTTCAGAAAGATTTGAAGCAAATACATTGAAGGTTCTTGGGGGTGTTCTTTTGAATTATGAAGAGGTTCAGCAGCAGCTCAGATTCATTGGGTGTATTGGTGTCCAATTTCCCACCAAAAGGTAAACAAAACAGGAAAAACAAATCCAACTTGGTATTTGTCAAGTTTTGGTATTTCTGTTGATGGGTTTTTATATCTCAAAAATTTTAGTTTAGTTCCTCAGCTGACACTCAAATTTCTTTCACTACTTTTTAATGCAGAGGAGGAGAAGCATGGAAAGGACAACTATGGTTATAGCAAGGAGTTTCAGGCAATGTTAGATTCTTTAGACCAAGAAGACTGTGGGGAAGAAATGACAGGGAAGAAAAGGCGCTTAAGCTCAGAGCAGGTCAAGGCCTTGGAGAGAAACTTTGAGGTTGAGAACAAGTTAGAGCCAGAGAGGAAGGCCAAATTAGCTGAGGAGTTAGGCCTGCAACCAAGACAAGTAGCTATTTGGTTCCAAAACCGCCGCGCCCGGTGGAAGACTAAGCAATTGGAGAGAGACTACGGCATTCTCAAAGCTGATTATGATGGCTTAAAGCTCAACTTTGATAGTCTTGAGAGGCAGAATAAAGCTCTGGCTGAAAAGGTTCATATTGGTGAAACACTTTTGTTTGCATCTTTTTCTAGATAGGGTCTTTTTTTTCTCCTTTGTAATTGAGTCTGTTTCTTTGTAACAATTGCAGCTAAGGCACTTAAAAGCAAAGCTGTGCAGAGATAGTGCAGAAAGCAATGGTTCAGCTAAAGAAGAATCACCAATTTCAATGTGCAAGAGCAGTGTCATGGAGCAAAGCAGACACCAAGATTTCAGTGACAATGGAGACAATGCAGAGGTGAATTTGTTTAAGAAATTGAAATCCAAAGATGGATCATCAGATAGTGACTCAAATGGAGTTATGAAGGAAGAGAGCAATGGAAATTCTTCTCTTGGCTATAACAATGGCCATTCATCATTGTCTTCAAATTCAATGGTAAACTGGTTTCAATTATCAGACTCTAGATCAGTAGCTGGTAAAGGGTTCCAGACACAGCTTGTGAGGATGGAAGAGCAAAGTTTGTTTAGCACAGAAGAATCCTGCAATTTCTTCTCAGTTGATCAAGCTCCCACTCTCCATTGGTACTCTGCTGAGCAGTAAAAAAAACTAGTTGGACTTTTCTAAGTTTTTTGAATGATCTAATAAAAATGGATCTTATTGAATTTTGTAATCTAGAAGCAAGAATGTCAAAAATTTAAGCTTTATTGGCCACATCATAAATATCATGGTATTTTCTGGTTAATTTTAAGAAAAGCTAAAAGTTCCTCACAGGAGCTTGCAACTATGTGACCGTAAAAAAAGTCACAAAGCTACAAAGTACAAACTATTTGCAATATGATGCATCATACAAGGAGGTTGTACAAACTACGCACAGTTGTCAATTTTTCATTTCAATATGCTTCTGCAGCTCACTAACTTTAGGATTTGACAACAGCTTTTTAAAATAGGAGCCAAAGCACAAAGTTGGGTCTCTATAGATATAGCTGATACTTGATAGCTCCCCTCCAACCCCTCCTTTTTTTTCTTTTTCTTTTTTACAGCAGAGAAAACTTGTAGGTTCCATTTAGTGGTGTGTAAAACAGCAAAATGTTCTATCTAGATGGCCCCATCTTTCAAGCTCTTTCTCTTTTTCTCTGTTTTGATTTCTGAAGGGAAACTATCAACCCCCATGTGGTTGGTGAAAAAGTATTATCCTGATCAATAGCTAACACATGGAATTGCAAGACTAGTGCAACAAGAGCCCCCTCTCTAGGTTTCTACAAGTGGTACCACTTCCTAAAGAGAGAGGAGACTTCTCAGAACATTGACAAAACAATGCATTCCAAAGGTATTGCCATTCAAAAAAATGCTAGCATACTGCACCCAGAATTAATTTATAGCCGTTGATGCTCGCGAATTTTATTGTGAGTAATGATCCTTTCGTCTTTGATGCATGTAAGCTCACTTTCCTGACCCAGATATTTAGTCCCATGTCCACTAGTCACTCTTCTTGCATAAAAAAATATTTACTTTTTGTACAAACTCAGACCAAATGAGAGCACATGATGGAATTTAATTTACAAGGGCCATACTCCAAGCATGCAACAAAATTCATTGAATGGTAGATTTGATTTTCCTTGGAGAGTAGGTTTTTATTTCAAAAACTCATGGAGGTGGAGAATACACAAGTCCTTTTCCACTTTTGCTCTCACTTTAGGTGGGAAAGAGACAGACCAAAAAGCTGCTGCGACTCTTAGCTCCTCCTCCATGTCTCGCTCATGTCAGAGGTGGGCCCTATGCGTCATCCATCTTTGACTGTTAATGCCCTATGGAATCTAGCCAAAAGCCCTTTCCCTTCCCATATGACGGTAGTGTGTGGTGATCCCTATAAAACCACCAAAAACCCTTCCTTGATTTCTGTGCAGCTGTGACATGCAATAAAAAAGGGTCCCACGTAAATTAATCATGCATTGGGGGCACCCCACCCTTGGAACAATTTTAGCCTCGTAATCCTCATTTTCACTTGCATTATCCTTTTGAAATCTTGCTTTGAGATCTAAATTGTTGTACTCGATAGAATTTCCAAATGCTTTATCACTAATTGAACAATGAATTCATGATTACAAGCTTTTTGTGTTCATGGTTTTAGAATACACATACTTAGAAACAATTTGGCTAGAATTTTGGCTTTAAGAACATATAAGTTTTTTTTTGGTTCACGGGTATACACTGCTTGTACTTGCAAAGAACTTGACGAGAATTTTGGTCTTGAAAGAGAGCTTAAAGGCAGATGAGTTGTGTTAATGGCATGGAGTGCATAGACAAACTTAATCTTTAAAGCTAAAGTATATGTACCTTTTTTCCAGAACAGTTAGATTATTATTTTCATTAATTTATTACTTTAGTTTAGGTAATGCCATTCAATTTCAAAAAGAACCCTATTGGTTGGGCGAAAGTTAAGGACCTTTTCTCTGTGGGGTTGGAAGATTAATTGCTAAATTGGATGAGCTTGAAGATGTGACATGGGATGGAAAAACTGAAGGTTTGTGAGGGGGGTTAATGCTATCAAAACATCAGAAGTTCCTATCAGAGGGAAAAAAATATTGTTCTGGAACATTGAGGAAGACGTCCACAACAATGAACTACGGCCGGGCAGGAAGAGAAGGATGTTTTAGGAACAAAACAAGCCCTGTTGTCTTCAAGATCAAGTTATCATTAAGACTGAAAGCACATAAAGCCTCTTTCATTTCTCTGCAATTCGTTGTGGTCCTCTGGTTTTTGTCCTCTGAATGAGTGTGCTGTTGAAAAACAGTGTTGCCATCTGATTCACAGTCACTACCGTCTGGGGAGATGTGCCCGTTGGAAAACCAGTGAAAAAGGAACCATAATTTTACTTCACTTTTGATAAAGCTTGGTTTTCTCGAAGTTGGTGATTGAATGAAAAAAAAAGGGATTATAGGCCTTCTTCCTTTTCCTTGGAAAGAATATATATGAATAATCATGGGTTCTAATCTATCACAAACCTGTTATAACAACAAAAAAGAAGAAGGGGTTTTTATCAGAAGTTAGATATCAATTGTTGAATTTAAATAATAAAAATAGGAGAAGAGCGAGAGTCAAATTCTTGTCGTGAATATGAAGTAAATTGTTTACTTCTAAAGTCACGAACTCAAAATGATATGCTAATAACATTCTCTCTTTTTTTGCTTTTCATATTCACTCTTATTTTCTTACCTTATTTTATTTTTGGAAAAAGACTTCAATATTTGACTCTTTTGAATTTGTTTTTCCTTTTCAGCTCTCTCAAATGAGTTGGAGTGTCAAACAGTTGAAAATTTGTTTTGAAAAAACTGAATTCCTTTTACATCCTTTATATTTTTGTCCACCAAAAAAATCATTACATTTAGCAAATAAAACACCATTAATATTTTTTATTATTGAAATTAGGACATTAAAAGTCTCTTTATCTTGTTTCCATTAAAAAAACAGAAAAGAAAATGAAAGTCTCTTTATTAGTATAATAATTTAATCCAACAAACCCAACCCACCTCAGTTATGGGCCTTGCCCATATGTCGTTGCTCGCTATCCCAAATATTTTTTAGCAGAAAAGCCCTAAACCCTCTGCAGTGGCAGAGTCACACCCCAAAACCCAGAATCATCATCTGCACGACATCGTCGACATCAGAACCTCACTTCTCATTGTTCAGGTATCATCTGCTATCTATCATTGCCATTTTTTCTTCTTTTTTTTTCTTTCATTCGTGAAATTTGTTGAATAATATTGTTTACTCTGTGAATCTTTGAGGGAAAATGAAGAGGCTTTCTTTAGCCTAAGCCAAAATCATGAACTGGGTCTTGCCCTTTGGAATGAAATTGCTTGAATCTCATAGCTTTTTTAATTTTTCCCTTGGAAACCGAAGTTTTTTTTTAATTGGGTCCAGGCTTGGTTAGAACTTTGAATGTTATCAGTAATTTGATTGGCAGTACGTAGTGCCATGAATCAAAAATCAAATCAATAGGCCAAGTTTACTTGCTTGTGGGGATGAGCTGAAGGTGTTTGTGTATTTGTCTGTTTGAGTGATACAGGTTATGCCCGAGCAGAGAGTTACGTTGAACTTATTGTGTAATTGTTTTAGCTAAAGAATTAGTATGAAGACAAGTATATTGCAATCATATGTCTTTTTCCTACTCCCATAGGATTTATATGTAAGGTAAATTGAGTGAATTTGTTAAAACTTAGGATTTATTTATACATTCATTAGTTTGTTATGTCATAGAAAAGCTATGCTGCTAATATTCTCTTAGAATCTAACATAACTTGATTGTATAGACAATGAGGTATAAAAACTTGTTGAATGTAGTTATGACTTGATAATATTGTCTTCGCCACAGTTTTCTTGGCCCTTTTTGAATAGGAAATGCCTCTCACTCTCTCTCGCTGATATCTTTGTTGATTATATAGCATGTATTTATGGTTTCAAGCATGTTTTATAATTGGTTTTAATTTAATTTGTTGTTAGAAGAAGTGAAGAAATGGCATTGGGACTAATACTAGGGTTAGGAAGGGCATTTCGTCGAAAGCGCACATCATCCCTTGACATTCTTTCCTCCAAACGTGCCCCAAGGGATTACTACAAGGGGAAGAATTGCAAGCCCATTGGTTTCCACACCCGAAAAGGTTTGCCCTATTTCCATTTTTGCAATTTTGACATGGGGCTCAATCAAATTTTTTAAGGGTAGGAATTACTACTTGACATGTTATCCAAATTGCCCAAATTTTTTGCAGCTAAGTATGTCGTGCAGCAGGAGAAATTACCTAACTACGTAGTCCCTGATTTAACTGACTTCAAGGTGAACATATTTCTTTGTTTCTTTCTTCTTCATTCTTTTGTTGCATTTAGCATTTATAGTTTTTATCTGTAAATTCGAGGTTCCAAATGGAAATTGGAAGATGCATGCTGCGGCTCTGCTATCGCACACTTCAAACTATTCTTACTTAAATTGATGCATTTGAAGTTTTAACTAAGCAAACTACTCCTCACTGTTATAAGCATACATGTAGTTCTGAATTACTTTTCCCCTTCTTTCTTGCAGCTCAAACCGTATGTATCCCAGTGCCCCAGAGAGGTCAAGACTAGTGAGTCTGCTGAATCAATTAAATAACCAGGCTGAGAGACAAGCATCTGATCTGTTCGTTTATTGTTGTAATTGCTAATTAAGTTCGTGTTCATTTATTTTTGAGTAGGATGTAAGACTGAGTTGGTGAGGTTCTTGTTTGGCAGTTTCATACCTTGCGCTGTGAGTTAGGATGGAAGACTGTAAGTTGATGATAAACCTTTCTTCTTGGTTTAAGCATTGCTTTATATTTGACTCAACTAATAACCATAACTTCATCGGATTGGCTTGCAGAATATATACTCGAGTATTATTTGAATTAATATTAACTATTGCAATTTTCCTCTACAGCTTAATTCGAAGGTACTTCACTAGAGACACCTATAAATACTAGCACCAAAAAAAATTAAAAGCAAGTTGCTGGTGCCTGAAGTGGCGTGCCCTATTGCATAAACGTGAGCTGTAGCCAAGTCCATATATTTACGGACATGAATGCAGCACTCCGGTGTACTGGGGCTTTTAGAGGCCCAAAATGGTTTTTTGGGAATGGGTTTTTGTGCATGGGCTCTATTTTGTCCACCCCTATGGTGGTTGAGCCTTAGATACAAATCCTATTGGGGAGACCTTAAGAAAAGTTTTAGCCACCAGCCTCAAGAGAAAACCCTAAGGTGAGAAAAGTTTCAGCCACAGACGCCCCCATTCAGGGTCAGTGGCCTTCATCCTTTTACTACTCCTCTTCCCTCCCCTCTACTATGTTCTCTTCTATGAACAGATTCAGGATTTCAAAATGGGGTGGGCTAAAATTTACATTATGTAATTTATAAGGGCCCGTCCGGTAACGTTTTCGGAGAATGTTTTCTTAGAATATTTTAAGAGATCGAAAACAAGAAAACGAATTTGCATTTTCAAGAAATGAAAATGCGCCTGGTGGATTAATTATTTATCTTAGAGTGAACATTCACGTTCACCAAAGGGATTTTCACACCACTTGTGTCGCAACCGATTCTTGCTTTATTGGGCCCAATGTCGCTCATTCTCTTTAACTTGTGTTTCCCATTGGACCTTCCACTTTTACTCTGCAATAAAACAAAAGGTTGGCCCAATGAACCATATTTTATAGTGCTATTTCAACCTCGACTGCTTGAATTTAGAGCAAACAGAAAGAATGACAGATAGAAATAATCAAATTCTGGGGCATGCGCATTAAGAAGAGCCCTTGCCAGTGCCAGATGCCAGCAAAGTGGCCATTTGGCTGAATAATAAATTGCAGGAATTGCAGGGACCAGCTGGGAGTGTAAAGGACAGACAAAATATACACGTTTATTTCCCTAAAGCCCATGCCATGAGAGAGATGAGATGAGAGCTTTTGTTTGCATTGCGTGTTTATTTAAAAAAAAAGGTGTGGATGAAGAAGAAGCACATGAGGTTGGTTTTCCTGGCTGGAAGGAATCCAATCCCACTGTCAAAGGACCTGGTTTTCCGCGTGCTATTTAATGAAAGAAAAATCACTGTCATCAGATTGGTAGACCAAAAGCTGATGCCCTCGCCAACACAGCAAACCTTGGTTGTATTATAGCCTTGTTTGACCATTTCGGCATGCAGAGTTCACACTGTTCATATTCATTCTTGGCCCACTTTTTCAATATTATTGTCATTATCTCTAGTCTCTCAACTCTCAACCAATATGCACATGTTATATTATTTTCTGAGCAACAGCTAAGCTAGTTTCTTTTCTTTTTTTTTCTTTTTTTGGGGTCAATCTGCTAAGCTGGTTTCTAGTGCTGCGTTTCGACTCGGGACTGAAGTAGACATGGAAAAAGGGATCAAAGAACCTTTGCTAGTAGCTACTATTAGCTAGGCAATTTTTTTTAGTACAAGCGATCGGGGATGGGGTTCACAGAAATATTTATTGAGTGTCTAAGGATTTCGAACATCTAACTACATAGATGAAGTTGGAATAGCTCACAAAACTTACTAGGTTACACCTTTTAATTGTACCACAAGAAAAAAGAAAACAAAACCCAACCGAGTGACCAACTAACCACTATTGTTTTGTTGATCACATTTTTAATATGTCTAAATGCATGAGAATATATGGATTTTTCTTTCTTTTATTCTTTGTGAAATTACATACAACAACCACCGCATTTAGAACCCATGTTTAGTCTTTAGGGATCAAGAATTTTCCTGTTCTTATAAAAAAACAAACAATGTATACGTCATGACCAACGTCCTTTTAATATACTTCCGCACATTCCCTACATCGAAACGTCGTCGTCTCCTACTTTGATCCCGTCCACGCTCGCGCTTTATCCTTTTTGCACGCCGCCCCCCCGAGAAAGCTTGGAAATTTCCCTTCTTTTTTTTTAATTATCCTCCGCGCAAGCATCACAGCCACCGACTTCCAATTCCAAGTGGACCCCACACACCCTCCCATCAAATCACAGCCCTCCACTTGGTCCTCCGTATCCAACATTTTTTCAAATTCTCCAACTCGTCAAAAAAGGGTATTTTAAAGAAAACCCAAAGAAGCTCGCATGAACTGAGGAGATCATCCAAAACAAGCAAGCCCGATATTGCCCGGTGCAAGAAGCACCCAAAGGGAAACACACCAACCATAATATCTCTCTATATATTTTGACAAAAACAATCCCACACCTCAGCTTACATGACCAAAAATGGAGAAGCTGAGGAGATCATCCAAAACAAGCAAGCCCGATATTGCCCGGTGCAAGAAGCACCCAAAGCACCAACAATCGCCCGGCGTTTGCAGCTTGTGCTTGAGAGAAAAGCTTGAACGGCTTGCTCAAAAGCTGTCAACTTATTCTGGCTCGCCACTTCTACTACGTAGAATCACCTCTCCTTCGACGACGTCGTCTTTATCTTCGTATTACTCATCCTCTTCGGGTTCTTCTTTGTCGTCTCCGGCACCGGGATATGAGCAAAAGGGCCCCATTTCTTGGTTTCTGAGTGGTGACAATAATGTGCTCACTAAAATTAGGTCGCTGGTTAATTATTTTCCAAGGAGAATGAGAGGGAAAGAGGGCAGCGAGGAGAAGAAGAAAAGTAGGTTTTGGTCGAAGTTGCTTCGTCCCAGAAGTAAGCGGAGGGAAGAGAGTTTGGTGCATTCTAGGACTGTGAGAGAGATCAGGGTGCCTAATCGGGTGTTTTGAAGGCCAAGTTGTTAATATTTTTATTCTTCATTATTTTTTGGAATTGTTCTTGATATAGATTAGAGTGTACGTAGCAGATTTCTGATCACAATTTTACATCAGAAAGCTGACAAAAGGAAATTAAAGATTTGTACTATTTGTGTAATACCAGTGTTTTTGTACAACTATATATCGTGCAATCATACATACAGGTCATTTGAATCCAACCACAGGACATTAACAGTGCTTCAATTTTTATCGAAACTCTATTGTTTAGGTTTAGGATTTAAGATTTAATTCGCATAATAAACATTATCTTTGTACTTGTTTTTGTTTATCTTATTAATAAAATACTATCGTTCTTTTATTTCAAAAAACACATAACAGAAAAACACATGACAACTTGAACTTCAAACAGTTGGAGGTTTGGGATGTTCATTTAACATTTATATATAGTAACGTTCTCTTGACAAATTTGTGTTGTGAGACGAAAGTTTATGGTGTCAAAAATTATGAACATGAATCATATATACGTTCGAACGAGAATCAACTTGATCAATGTTAATATTCACAGGACTTGCAACATAAACATCTTGTTAGGCACACAATCTGGCAAAAGATCATTTTTGTATAATATTATATCACTTTAATTTTGTATTGATGCAAGTATTTTAGATCTGATTCTCCATAATATTTCTATTTTGTTGTTATGCAGTTCATGTCGAAGTTGGTGAATATTCTGTTGTGTCTGCAGCATAATAATAAGACAAATTTCATATGCAACAACAAAGAAACAAACTGGCATGACTTTGGTTGTCAGTTCACAGAAACTCCATCCAAGAAATTTCCTGTGGTTATAAATTCAACAGTCAGCTGCCCACGGTGCTTCAATTTTTATCGAAACTCTATTGTTTAGGTTTAGGATTTAAGATTTAATTCGCATAATAAACATTATCTTTGTACTTGTTTTTGGTCTGATGGGAAAGAGACAGACCAAAAAGCTGCTGCGACTCTTAGCTCCTCCTCCATGTCTCGCTCATGTCAGAGGTGGGCCCTATGCGTCATCCATCTTTGACTGTTAATGCCCTATGGAATCTAGCCAAAAGCCCTTTCCCTTCCCATATGACGGTAGTGTGTGGTGATCCCTATAAAACCACCAAAAACCCTTCCTTGATTTCTGTGCAGCTGTGACATGCAATAAAAAAGGGTCCCACGTAAATTAATCATGCATTGGGGGCACCCCACCCTTGGAACAATTTTAGCCTCGTAATCCTCATTTTCACTTGCATTATCCTTTTGAAATCTTGCTTTGAGATCTAAATTGTTGCTAAATTGTTGTACTCGATAGAATTTCCAAATGCTTTATCACCTAATTGAACAATGAATTCATGATTACAAGCTTTTTGTGTTCATGGTTTTAGAATATACATACTTAGAAACAATTTGGCTAGAATTTTGGCTTTAAAAGATGACCGGAGAACATATAAGTTTTTTTTTTCGGTTCACGGGTATAAACTGCTTGTACTTGCAAAGAACTTGACGAGAATTTTGGTCTTGAAAGAGAGCTTAAAGGCAGATGAGTTGTGTATGGAGTGCATAGACAAACTTAATCTTTAAAGCTGAAGTATATGTACCTTTTTTTCCAGAACAGTTAGATTATTATTTTCACTAATTTATTACTTTAGTTTAGGTAATGCCATTCAATTTCAAAAAGAACCCTATTGGTTGGGCGAAAGTTAAGGGCCTTTTCTCTGTGGGGTTGGAAGATTAATTGCTAAATTGGATGAGCTTGAAGATGTGACATGGGATGGAAAAACTGAAGGTTTGTGAGGGGGGTTAATGCTATCAAAACATCAGAGGTTCCTATCAGAGGGAAAAAAATATTCGAAATTTAGA